TTCCCACCCGGCAACGGCCGTCGAAACAATGAAACGTCACACAACCAACCTCCAGCGCTGTCAATTGAGCCATTGGACTCGATCGAAGGACTCCACCGTGTACAGCAAGCTCCAATGTCTCTAAGTCGTCCATTACGTCTGCTATTGCTCGGTGCTCCGGGGTCTGGGAAGGGTACGCAGACCTCTAAGCTGTTGAAGGAGATGTCGCTTCCCACGCTCAGCTCTGGCGATTTATTGCGCCAACATGGCGACGACCCGAAGATTAAGCAGGCCATTGCTCGTGGTGAGCTCATCCCAGACGACGTTATGACGGGGATGGTGATTGGAGATCTGGCACGCAGGCAGCTTCTGGCAGGTGCCGGTAAGTCCTGGCTGCTGGATGGCTTCCCAAGAACGTTGAACCAGGCAGTGCTGTTGGACAAGGAGCTGTCGAGCCACGATTCCAAGCTGAACTGCGTGGTTGAGCTGAACGTGCCACAGTCGGTGATATTAGAGCGAATTGAGAACAGATGGGTGCACATTCCAAGCGGCCGTATCTACAATCTCCAGTACAACCCTCCAAAGGTTGCCGGTCAGGATGACGTTACAGGCGAGCCTCTGAGTAAACGACCAGACGACAACGTTGAAGTGTTCCAGCGCAGGCTGGACAAGTACAACGAGCTCATCGAGCCCTTGAAGCAGTTTTATGCGAAACAAGGCGTACTACACACCGTTGATGGCGAGACTAGTGATATCATCTTCCCAAAGCTTCTCAAGCTCATCAGAGACAACTTCTCCTAGATTAGACATTATTATTATTATACCTTTATATACATCGAAACCTATGCCAGCCACGATATGACCTTCTTGATCAGTTCACCAACAGAACTTATGTAGTTCGTCTCCTCGTCCCAGATGATGCGATCCATCTCTCTTCTTCCAGAGTCCAAGTCCAATTGATCCAGCCTGTGGATCTTGGAGCTTCTAAAGAACTTATAACCAAAGTAGCAGATAGCAAACAGCATCAGGGCACCATAACTCACAAAGAAAGTCTGTGTGTTCCAATATCCTTTCAAGAACACAACAAACCCCATAAATATCACAATTAACAACGACCCTATCAGGCCGTAGATGGCTAAGAACGGTTGTAGTGGTGATCTGTAGGGGTAGGAAGGATCACTCCGTGAGATGATATCAGGCCTCAGCTTGAGTCCGTAGTAGAACCGTATGAATGAGAGACACATCCCTGCCCACATCAGCATCGCAGTGGTTGAAGAGATGTTCGCAAAATCCTGGAACACCCTCAGTGCCTTCTTATTGATGGACAGGAAGGCCAACAACCCGAACGATCCTGACGAGAGCACTGCCACGTAAGGGACACCAGCATCCGAGCATGTTGCAAAGACTTGGAAGGCCTTCCCTTGGGTAGCCATTGAGTAAATGGTACGTGAAGATACGTACAGATGGGACGAGCCTGCAGTGACAGCAAACATGATGAAGAAGGCATTACTCACAGCAGCATACGAACAAAGCCCCACTGTCTGTAGAGCAATGATCCAGGGAGACTGGTTCCCGTTGGAGTATTGGGATAGCGTGCTAGAAGTGCACTGTGTTTGGTAATGTTCCAAGATTGAAGGCGAGATATCCTTAGCAGCATCATCAGGCGAGTAATAGTGCAATAGACGAGGATCGCCAGAGTAGAAGTTCAGGCTCACGAGGAAGATGGAGAGCAGATAGAGGAACACCACACGGCCAAAGACTCTCTTCGTCACGCTTGGAAGGGCCTTTCTCGGGTTCTTACACTCCATGGAGGCGATGAATCCAATCTCACTTCCAGTGTACGCATACGACGAGATCAATACCGAAGAAAGCACGCCCAACAGACGGCCCCAGCCTCCACCAATGCCACCCCTGGAGCCCTGTCCAACGTCGTTCAAGTCAAAAGTGGGCCTGAATGGACCATAGCTGGCCCACGACGGTGACCGGGACGGGGTCCAGTACATGAACCCATAATTCTCTTGCACATTGAGCACGATCATCGTGATGATCAGGGCCACGGAGAACAGCACCTTGACCAGCGAGGTCACGTACTCGATGTTGCCGTAGACTCTGACGTCAAAGAGGTTGATCCCGATGATGAACACCAGAAACAGCACAACAAAGCCAGACGTCGACGCGGAGGGAACATCCAGGTCCGTGTAGTAGCTCAGCATGATCGTGGCCGCACACACCTCTGAAGGCATCGCAATGGTGAAGCTCAGCCAATAGCACCATCCCAGCGCAAAGCCAAAGGCATCTTCGACAAACCGTGACGCCAGCCCTGAAATGCTCGACGTGGTCGGGATCAGCGTGGACATCTCCGCAAAGCTCAGCATAGTGGCCAGCACTATGCTTCCAGAGATGGTGAACCCGAGGAAACAGCCTAGCGGCCCAGCAATGCTGAAGGCCTTGCCCGAGTTGAGGTAGAGCCCAACACCGAGCGTGCCGCCCAGCGCGATCATCTGGATCTGCGACCGGACTAACTTCCTCTGGACATGGCTCGTGGGCTTGTCCAAGGACGACGGTGGTCTGTCCAGCGACTTGATCTCGTTGGAGTAGTCGATGATCTCCGTGCGATTGCTTCCTCGCGAGGTTTCTCTCATGAGCTCCAGGTCCTTCTCCTTAACGTCCCGCTCCCTGGCCCTCGGCGGCTTCTTCAGCGGAGCGTGCTGCTTCTGGTACTTGTGGTAGCGGACGTGCTCCGCTCCAGCATCGAACTCCAGCTCCAGAGGCTCGTTGATACGAAGGTCACGTCGTAGATGCTCAACCTTGCGGCGGAGCTGTTCCTCCCTCTTCACCATGCGGTCGTACTGCTCGAAGTCGCTGCTGGCCTCGACGTCGTGGTCCAGCCCCAGCAGCGTGGTGTAGTAGAACCTGTCGCTGTTGTCCCTGGCGTGCTGGTCCCCTTCAGCAACCTCCTCCAGCCGGCGCTGAATCGTCTCCGTCAGCACTGGCGAGAGCAAGTCCTCCTCGTCCTGGCCGTCTTCACGGTCAGCGTCCTCACGCGTACCGTCGCCGCCGCCACCACCGTGCTTTTCGATCTCAGGGAACAATCCAGGCAGCGGGCGTCTCATAGTGCCCTCGTGCCGTTGCTCTTGTTCGTGTTTGCCAGCGATGTTGATGGTGGAATTAGTGGTTTTATGTCTTGCGAATGTGTCAAAGAGGCTTGCCGTGGTGGTGGCCATCGCCAGGCTCTCGGGGAGTTTTTTTCGCCTCTGCGTAGGCAGCGGACAGGGCACTGGCCAGTTGTTCACGGCGAGTTATTCACAGCGAGTTTACACCACGAGGACTGCGGAAACAGTGTGAGATGTCGGAGGAGTCGATTTCGTTGGAAGAGACTAATAGGATTCGTCTTTCTTTGGGGCTGAAACCGATTCCTGGCGCTGGAGATGAGCCGGCGAAGGCCAGCGTTGGCTCAGAATCGCTCACGCTTGATGAGACGAATAAGTTGAGGGTGTCGCTAGGGATGAAGCCTATAGCAGCTGGTGGGTCGCCAGCTGCGGTGGGTGAAGCGAGTGACCGTGGAGGACGGAAGGATGAGCAGCTGGAGAGCTCGCTGGCGTCGATGAGGTCCAAGCTGAACAGGAAGCGGAAGTCCACCCTGGGGAAGACGTTGCTGGATGATGCCAGGGAGGGCGAGGAAGGCGTTGATGATTGGCTTTCGAGCCTGGGCAGGAGTGTGAGGAAGAAGAGCAAGAAGAAGAGCAGGGTGACCATGCCAGACGAGACACCAGCGATGACTGGGTTCAAGATTGGCCATAACGCTGGTGAACTGCAACAGCTGGGGGAGGATTCGATCCTGACGCTGAAGGAATCGAGCATTTTGGATGAGAGCGACAAGCTGGAGTCTGAGTCGCTGGTTCAGCAAGCCAGGTTGAACAACGAGCTCGAGAAGACACTCAACAGCCGGAGATTCAACGAAGATGGAAGTGAAAAATCGAGGCTACAACTTGCCAAAGAAGAGGAGGAGGAAGAAGGCACCAATGAGCTCACTGTTGAGAATGAGGTTATTCAGCTGGGCAGTGTTAATAAGGCACCAGAGGACGTGAAGCATTCAACCAGGATCACATTCGATTTGAGCGAAGACGAACAAGGCGAGGTGGAAGACGACTACGCAGAGGCCAAGCCCATAAAGATGAAAAAGCTCCTCAAGCGTAAATCAAAGAGCAGAAGCCGACAACGAGACCGTACTGATGAAGAGGGCGATCACATTCTAAGAAGTGTTGAGCTTGTGAATGAAGATTTGGACTTCCAGGACGACTTGGACCTACAATCAACGCTTTCTTTAAAGAGACAACACAGGCAAAAAAAGAGGCAGAAGCTCATGACGCCAGAGGAGTTGGCCAGGGAGATTGAAGAGGAACGGGCCAGCAAGATGGAGGTTGACGAGGAATCCAGTGGTGTCGTCATTGGTGAGAATACAGAGTTCCTAAGCTCTCTAAAAGCTTATCTGTTGGCTGAAACTACACCTGAGGCCACCAAGGGTGATGAAACCATAGAGGAAATCCCAGCAGCCGATGCAATTGAAGACACTGAAGCAATTGAAGAAGCACAACAAGAGGCAGAGCCGCAAGGCCCCGACTTCTCTGGAGGGCTGGCATCGACGCTTTCCTTCCTCCAGTCCAAGAACGTTGTTAAGGTCAAGACGAAGCAGGAGATCGAAAGCGAACGCCAGAACGAACAACTACGCAAACAGATCGTGCTGAACCCAGACGACGACAAACACACCATCGAGGCCAAGCTCAGGAACTACAAGCCTCAGGTCTCTGTCAAGTATCACGACGAGTACGGCAGAGAACTGAGCCAGAAGGAAGCTTACAAGCAGCTATCGCACCAGTTCCACGGCAAGGCACCGAACAAGAGCAAGATAGCCAAGAAGCAACGGCTCGTGGAGGAGGAGAACAAGAGGAAGCAGAGCGAGAAGCTGCTGGACGAGGAGAAGAAGGCCAACGATGGCCTTAGAATCCAGTAGGCAGTGCTTATAGTGCTTATAGTGCTTACTAAGCACGCGCTGACGTCATCGTCATCGTCGGTGTTTCGGCGTTAGGGGGAAACTTGGCAACGGCCGGCGTTATGTCCCAAACGGGCCAATCTGCATAATGGAAAATTCTTTTCTTTCTTTGCCATTCTATTTTTGTAGTTAACAGCGTAAGATCGGAGACGGTGATCGGTATCTAAGAGTCATCAGTCGCCTGGCTTTATAACCGTGCAGTTTCCCTCCTTGGAACGGTTGTTTGGATCATATTCTGCTGTACTGCTCCGGAGGAATAGCGTCCTATGGTGTACAGACTATGAAGAAATCGCAAAAGACCTCAGAGGAGGACACTGCGACTGAGATGGAGGTTGAGAAACTGAAGGACTATATCATCTCCGAGGATGGGCTGCTGCACCTACAGGAGGAGTCTGCGCTGAGAGCAGGCAACTGGCCGTTCAAGAAGAAGTTGCGGCACACGCTGCTGTATGGGCTGGTGACGTTCTGTGCGCAGTTCAACTCAACAACGTTGGCATCTGCCAAGTTCAGCGAGCTCATCATGGAGAACTATGGTGTAACGAGGGAGGTCACGGTGCTATCCTCGTCTCTCTACATCCTGGGCATCGCGTTCGGACCAATGGTGTTTGCTCCTATAAGTGAGGTCTACGGAAGGAAGATTGGTGTGCTGGTGCCATTCTTCATAAGCTCGATATTCGCATTCGCATGCGCAACTGCCTACAACGTGCCGTCACTTCTGGTGTACAGATTCTTATCTGGGTTCTTTTCTGGAGCCCCAGTGGTGTCATCTGGTGGAGTTCTGTCAGACATGTTCCCAAAGCCCAGTGTGCGTGGGAAATACCTCGCCATCTACGCTGTGTTTGTCTCCATGGCACCTGCTGTGGGCCCAGTGGTGTCCTCACTGCTGATCTTTAGTAGGCCTGAGAGCGACAAGCAGGCGTGGAGGATACCAGAGTACTTCAGTGGGCTGTTAAACCTGACATTGTTCTTCATCTGCGAGTACTTCATCGAGGAGACATACCCAGCTGCTGTGTTGAAGACTCGTGCAAGGCTCTTGAGATTGGCTACAGGCAACTATAACATCCATTGTCAACATGATATGTGGAGGCTGGAGCTCAAGGACGTTGTTAGGAATCACTTGGTTCGCCCGTTCGCCATGCTATTCACCCCAATTGTGTTCTGTATAGTGCTGTTTGCCTCATACGTCTTTGGCGTATTCTATATCTTTGTCATCACGTTACCAGAGGTGATGACAATCAGCCGTGGCTGGACAGGCACAATATCGACGCTGCCGAACATCTCTTTGTTTCTGGGCACCCTCACAGGCTGTATCATCAACATGCTGTACGCTAAGAGGTTTGCCAAAACCATTGAAAGAAATGGAGGTGTTGTTATACCAGAGGAGAGATTCCCATTGCTCATGGTATTGGGATGGTTTATGCCTGCTGGCATCTTCATCTTCTCATGGACTTCAGACAAGAGTATACACTGGATTGTACAGTGTATCGGCATCTACATGTTTGCTATTGGCTTCTTAACCATATTCCAAGGCTGTTTGAACTACTTGGTTGATACCTACACCAAGTACGCTGCCAGTGCCATAGCCACCAATACCTTTCTAAGATCAGTGTTCGCTGCGTTCTTCCCACTGTTTTCAAGACAACTGTTTGTTAACCTTGGTGTCCATTGGGGAGGCTCCTTACTTGGGTTCATTGCCCTTGGTATGATTCCTATTCCTTTTGTATTCTACAAGTACGGTGCCCAGATACGAGCTAGAAAGACATACCAATCTAATCAGTTCTAAGCTATTCCCTTTCAGTTCAGTATACAGACATCACTTTGCTCCTTGCTCGTAGGCATCACCTTGCTTCTTGCGCAGTTCCTTCTTGTAGGAGTCGAATTGCTGCTCAAACTCTTCCCTCGACAAGTCGCTGGTCCATCTATAGCCATAGGCAGGATGGTGCTTGCCCAGGTGGCTCGCACCCTTCACACCTGTCAGGTTTTCCCTCAGCGTACCACCTGGAACTGGGTAATCGTCCCAGAAGAGTCCCTTTGCCTTTAGCTTTGGAATGACGAGATCTATGAGCTCATCATAGGAATCTGGGTTGATGGCTGATGCAAAGTTGAAGCCATCAGCACCACCAATCTCGACGTAATCGATCAGTTTCTGTACAACCTGGTCAACAGAACCAATGATAAGATCAGCATTGCCCTTGACAGAGACATGTCTGCCCAAGTCTTTCTTGGTGATTGGCCCTTTATCGAGGAGTGAGTTGCAGAAGTGCTTTACAATATCACGGTGCATGCCATTTGACGATTGTAGCAGATCAAAGTCGTCAGCATATTCAGTGAAGTCAGCAGAGGTCCATCCACAAACCATAGCCAGGGCAGCGTCAGGATCAGCAGCATCAGCGTATCTGTTGAACTTTTCCCATGCCTTGGCCTCTGTATCTGATACAATCACCATGACGAAGGCTAAGATCTTAACGTCATTCCAGTCTCTCCCGTATCTGCTCTGTGCACATTCCCTGATTCTATCAGTTTTGAACCGCAACATAGCTGGTGTTGAGCCTGTGGAGAATGCCACTTCAGACCACTTGGATGCCAATTCAACACCTCCCTTGGAGATTCCTGCTTCAAAAAGCACGGGTATTCCCTGAGGTGAAGGAGAAGTGTAGGCAGGGCCTGGCACTTTATACCATTCCCCTTCGAAGTTGATTGGACGGACAAGGTCGGGGTCGATAAATGTCTTTGTCTTTGGATCTGCCTTCAAGGCATCCTCCCTGAAACTTGAGAGCATCAGCTCTGCAACGACTTGAACGTACTCATCTGTCTTTTCATATCTTGCAAGCTTATTTGGCAATTGTCCTCCATTCAGCAGGTTTCGAGAGGCACTGTCGAGGTACGAGCTGACAATGTTCCAACCCACACGGCCTCCTGTCATCTGATCCAAGGTTGCGAGCTTCCTTGCCAATAGGTAAGGATGTTCGCTAATTGTACTGAAGGTGATACCAAAGCCAACACTTTTGGTTACTGCAGCCATTGCGCTGATTGGAATTGCAGGATCGATGCCTGGGAATTGGGTACCTGCCTTGGCAACGTAGGAGTAGTTTCTCGGGCCGTGGTAGATGTCGTAGGGTCCCAAGACATCAGCGATGAAGATGGCGTTGAACTTTGCCTCTTCTGCCTTTTTGGCCAGCTTCTCCCAGTATTCAAGCGTCGTGTATTGACTAGATACATCGCCAGGGTAGCTCCAGAGACCTGCAGGCTGTGTATTGCAGCAACTCTGTGTAAAGATGTTGAAGATCAATGGCTTACGAGTCAATTGACGTTTCTGCTTCTTTTGAGCCTGCGCATCTTCAGCGTGTTTAACCTCCATTTTACTATTCCTGCTTTGTAGCACAACAGCCTGAGAACCAGAGTCGTAGGAGTACAGGAGATGTAACAATGATGCACACACCCACCACCTTTATAAACCTCAGTACAATGCGATCTGCCCATATATGCCGTTCTCGATGTGGCACCGTCGTATTCCCCAATTAGGACATCCAAGCGATGATTCCGTTTGTATACAAACAACGTGTGCAAGAAACGATCGAACCACTGGTTCATCCTTCAAGTCGAATGGGCTGAAGTCAAACTGAGCTGATGGAATGGTCTGATTAGTCGTTTGAACGATGGTATCTCATTTATTTTGGGTTTGTAGAGTTTATGCCTTAGCTGCAGGGCCGATGAGCTCGTGCAGTTGATGTAAAAACTAACATGGGGGACGTGCTCTGTAGAGATGTCTGATGTTTCGATGGCAGCTCAACTTGTGCTGCAGAGCCGTTTATTTGTGCGGGGAGTCACTCATATTTTCGAGTTTAAGCGAAATGAAGAAGAACCAATATGGTGTGAGCTGTTGTAATCATCGTGTAGAATTAGCAGGCCATATACGGAGGTTCAGGTATAGAGAGGTATACATCAAGGATCACCTCATGAGTCTCAATAGGTTCATTGAGTTATTAGTGTGTTATTAGAGCTTCTTGAGTGTTTTTACTGTCTTGTAAGGATACGATACTCATGTTCTATAGTACCAAGTGAATGATCCTATGAAGCAATCATACAAAGTACATGAACCACACACCGTTCACAAGACTCGCTGAAGTATGTTTCGAGCTTGAATACTCTCACACTCACTTTCGATGCAAATGTGAGCATCTAGTACAGTTGGTTTTAGCCGAAGTGATGCCAAAATTTCACTGAGGCTCAGAACAGGTGGGTACACTTGGCCTTTGAATCTGCTGTTGATACTCCCATAAAGGCAATTATTGAAGTCTGTGAGCCGTCCAGTCTTTAGTCTCAAGATCTGACAGTTTGAGAAAAGAGATTGCTAATGACTGATGGTGATTTCTCTTCCATAGTGGTTCCACTACATGTATTAAAAGAAATTAAACATAGAGCAAAGGACAATCATACTAGCGTTCATTCAAAAATCTCAGAGTTGATTCAACTATTGCAAAGACCTCTCAACGAACTTCCCAGAAGACAAATGGGGTCGAAAATACTGCCAATTAGTCTATCCATGCTGTTAGTCGCTATCCAAAAACTTCAATTGATGGGTAACTGGGCTTTACAAGTTGCTAATACCCATCTCGAAGCTATCCAATTGGTCAGTATTCACCAACCATGAGCACAGTTTCAAGTTCTCCTCGTTCTGCTTAGCAGCATCGTCGTTATATAAGCCTTGAAACTTGATTGCTTCTATTGGCTGGACGGTTTTTCTACCATCCTTCAACACGTATTTGGTAACACATGTGGAGGCCACAGCTTCAGATCCATTCAGCACAAACTTAGAGAGAATAAAGATCCATTTATCATCCCATGCAAGGATACGTGAGTCTATATGGTATCTGGCAAACGGCTTGATCTCTTTCTTGAAGCTCCCAAAGATATTAGCCACTGGAACGAAGACATAACCACCACTCTTTGTAGGATAGTTATGGAAGAAATGTTGGAAGTTTCTAGTCATCAATTGCGATCTTGCAATGTCCAGTTCCTCGAAGTAGCAAGCGTTATTCTTGTGCAAGTAGAAATCACATTCCAACGGTGAGTTATAAGTCTGGAATCTATCCACTCTAAAGATGTCCTTAGCGGTGAACTTCCAATACGGGAAGTACTTTGCCAATATCAAGTTTGATCCAAAGACCCAGTAGATACGGACGTAGTAGGCAAATGGTAAGGACTTATACGTCGAAAGAGCAAATGCCCATAGAAGGTATTTGACCCAAGTGTACATCCTCGAACAACAATGGAGCAGTGAGCCACGAAATCTACCCAATTGAAGATGAACAATGGGGATTAATCTTGAGATGTTCGTTGATGCAATTTTGAGCAGCAGTTGTACCGCGGTTAAATAGGAAGCTGGTGTCCGGGTGTATGTTTGGATGTACACCTCACGTGACTTCCCAAGGCTCTATATAAATGTGTACAATTGAAGATGAATGAAGTAATAATCAGCAGGTGGATACCTAGTTATATAGATTTTATCGTTATAAAAGTTATATAGTAGTGTATAGAAAGAAAGGAAGACCAGCGCAATTCAATCACGTGCCTTTACGCCAAAGTTGTTGATGTTTCTAAACATTCTAACACCGTTATCACCATCAACAAACTGGCACTGTCTAGCGGATTTCCACAACGATTTGAACATGAATTCATCAGTCTGTTGGTAGTGCTTGCCCATGACCTTTTGAATGGCAGCACTTGCCTCTCTAGCGTTGTAGAATGGGATTCTTGAAACGTAATGGTGCAAGACATGGGTTTCAATGATATCGTGGAAGATATGTGGGCCCACAAATGGGAGAGATCTGTCAATGGTTGCGGCTGCACCACGGGCAAAGTTCCATTCAGTAGCATCGTAGTGAGGCATGGTTGGTGCTGTGTGCTGGAGGTAGGTGATGAACACCAACCAGTGGTTGACAAACATGTATGGGATGAAGTAGTTCATCAAGAAGTTGAAAGTACCATAGTTCATGATCCACTTGTAACAGACAAGCAGCTGAACAAGGATACCAATGTCACTAAGCACGATGAACCAATAGTCCTTCTTTTCGAACATTGGTGCCTCTGGGTGGAAATGGTTGACTTTCCATTTTGGCACATCTGGATACACTTGACCTGTGACGTTGGTGGTCAAATGAGCCCACCATCCACCGAGTTGTTGGATACACAGCTGGTAAAGTGTCACGATTGGCGCATCCTCGGAGAGGTCCTCCAATCTCTCGACAAATCTCTTCTTCTTGAACTGGTCCTTTGTTGGCGGAACAAAGACAGTGTCTCTGGTCAAGTGGCCTGTAGCCTTGTGGTGCTTCCCGTGGGTATACTTCCATGAGAAGTAAGGAACGAGCAAGTAGGAGTGCAACACCCAGCCGGTCAGGTCATTGACCCAGCCGTAATCACTGAATGCCTGGTGACCACACTCATGTGCAAGCACCCAGATACCGGTACCAAACAGACCTTGCACAACGGTATACAGGGCCCACAGAAGCCCTCTGACGGCCTGGGAGCCCACGAGAGGAATGTAGTTGTTGGCAAGGTAGCCAGTAACAACCATACACAAGATGTCTCTGAACACATAGTAGAAACTCTCGGTCAGTCTTCTCTCGTAGCAGTGCTCAGGAATGGCACTGAGGATGTCCTTGATGGAGTAGTCTGGAACCTCAAACTCGTTTCCAAATGTGTCGATGGCAATGAGTCCCGACGTCTGCTTGAGAGACGAAACATTACCAGATCTCTTTGTTGTTGTACTGGAGCTTTGATCACCACCACCGAGCGATGAGCCTGTGACGGTAGAGGACATGTTGTAGGTCTAATGAAGGAAAAGAACACACACACAGCGAGAGAGAGAGAGAGAAAGAGAGCAGGAAGAGAATGAAAGAGTCAGATCAGGGGATTAATATTGGAAAAACAAATTAACGGTGTATGAAATCAGACGAAGAGATGGCCCGGTATCACAGTGCCCAGGGAGAAAAAAAAGTGGCTCTATTTCCCAAAGAAAGGGGATAAAAATTTTCTCCTTTGGCTCTCGTTTATTACGTAGTGGAACTACGATCTGATACACACACAGAGCGTGCACAGGGTGCACATCTTCCCGGCCTTCCACGTTTTGTTGTATACACAGCATGTTGGTAGGCACTGCGCATATTTGTTAGTGGTTTTTGCTTTTTTTTGTAGGGTCCACGCACGTATAAAGTGAGGCCTGCGCTTACAGGAATGTCCGACAGAGTAAAATTGTTGGGAAAAGCTTTTGTTATCGGGACCGAATGTTGGGGATTCTGTCGTAACGGGATGCCGTTCTTTAAGGTGGTGTCTGGGTGGTGTCTGGGTGGTGCCTAAGTGGTGTCCGGGTGTTATGAGATGGATATTGTACTGGGGCAGGGTTCCCACTGTTGCCTCGGTTACTACGTGTTATTGTTTTTTGGCTTTCGATCCGGTTCTCATAAGGTGTGCTTTCAAGTAATGGTGGAATGTCTCTTTCTGTCTATATATGTATATCAGCCTGCTTAGACCCTCTTTGAACCAAATCGATCGTATAGATATAACCCTGTCATTGTAAGCAGCAAACCACAGCACTGTACGCCGTTAACACTGGTGCGTTCCATCAACAGCGCAAATAGTATCACAACTATTCTCTTCATGATGTTTGCAACTGAGTAGTTAACAGGGGACACTAACCCAATCAGGTGGAACGCAAGCATTGCCTGGAGGAAGTGCGAACCACCGTGGAGTAGGAATAAGGAGATGATCTTGGCATTCATTTTACAGATGGTACAGCCAACGTCACCGTAGTTGAGGAGTTCTGTGATTGTGAACACCGGTAGCGTTAGGACGAAGCCGATCAGTGAACAGTACAACAAGATGGTGATCTTATCAATCTTGGTTTCCTCTTTAGGTCTCTGCTGGGTTGGTAATGTCTTTTCCTCCTTCCACGTCAAGATCTGTTTGGCGTATATGTTTTGACTCACAAATATGGCCATCGAGATCAAGGCAAAGAAGAGCCCTTTATAAAATCCTTCCCCATTGTTATCCTTACTCTTGTAATTACCAAAACACGTCAAAATGACACCAACCATCAACGGGATCAACGTCAAATAAGTAACGGTGCGGTATTGAACTTTAAAGCCAACCCTATAGACCAACACGGTGGTTAATGGACTCAAAGCTTTGACGCTATGAACCAGCGACACGGGAATCACGCTGGTGGCCTGATGGGAAGTGATATGACCCACAAATTGAAACATGCCCATGGGTATGGTCGTTTTCAGCACCTTCTCGTTCGGCTTAACAAGGTTCCACGTGGACACGGCACCATTCTTCTCAAACTGATCCATCGTTGGAACAGAGCCCTGAGGGAAGTATTTGACCAACCAGCGCTGGTTGTTTATAACCCACAGAGTGCCGATACAAAACATCGACGAAATTAGAAATTGCACCTCTGTCAAGGTTGTCGGGTAGGGAAACTCAATGAGTATCTTTTTGGTAATGTTTGACGATATCGCACTCATCGCATACCACACCAGACAAAACGTAACAACGCTAAAGTCCACTGGCGGGAGAAAGCTTTTCAACCGAGCGAATAGCGTGCTTCTCCCTTGGACGGTGAAATGCCTCTCATATTGAGCGTCGGTGAGATAAACCGACGACTTTGAAGGCTTCAAAGCACCCGACCTTGGAACGTACTGCGGTAATGGCGGCAGCTGACCTGTTGTAGCACTGGTTGTTGTTGTTGTTGTTGTTGTTGCGCCTACTGAAGTGGCAGCATCACCAACGTTGACGGTGATCTTACCAACGCTTTCTCCACGATGGTGTGTTGATTTGGCACTCTCGTGGAAGTTGCCCTTCGTAATCTGAACCGTGGTCATAGAATCACACACCAAATGAATCCCAAAGCACTGTGCTGTTTGTCTGTTGACGTTGTTGTTTCCGCTGTTGTTGTTGTTGCTGTTTTGGTTTCCGAGCACGCGTGATGGCGCAAAAAGGAGTAAACAAACAGTAACGAAGAAGTGAACCACAAACGGTTATGAACAAGTCAAAAAGAGGCGAACAGATTCGAGGGGAATAAGCGAATGGAACGAACCTGAAGTTCTTGACGATGAAGCTATGAAAGCGAGGAGGCAAACACGTGAAGGAAAAAGAAGATGATTAAAAGAAGCAGTTTCAGTGGACAATTGACAACATCAAAGTTTTTTAGAGTTTGCACGTTTTTTTCTTTTTTTTGCATTTCGCTTTTTTCTGATCCAGCAGGTTTGCGCCAATTTGCGGCGCAAATCGCTGGATGAAATCCTTATTACACCGATTTGCGGCGAAAATGGCGCAGACGATAGCAAGGCAGGCAATTACCCGATTTGGATGGAAATGCGAAAACTCATACACATATACGTTCTATATAGCGATGGTTGTATCATTACGGTTGGTGCAATTCCGGAGCCACTTGTAAGGCTGGCATTCACCAGACTTGTAGCTCTTCAAATAGATCAACACGGTAGTCGACGTCCTCCACGCTCTTTGCAACCACGTGCCGTATCTCGTCGCACATCATTCCAGGACCACAGGTCACAATGGCTAAGGAACTTGAGCACAGTTCAAATTCCTGGTGTAGGATCTTTGCAGACGGGGCTCTCCCACTGTGGAACGTTATATGGTGTTTGAACTGTGAAAGCAATGGGTTTGCACGCACCATGGACGCTTCGAAGCCCCTGGTTATGTAGATGTCACACTGTATCTTTGTCCTGCACAGTCGCTTCAACTCCGGCTCGAACCATTTGATGGAGTCGACAGATCTGATGATCCAAATCAGTCGTATCTTGGACTTGGGTAGTAGTCTAGAGCCTTCTGCTAAGTGCAGAGCATGGTAGAAGGGCCCCGGTATACCATTACCACCGGCAAATAGAATAACATTCTCATAGTTCTCGCACGGGGATTGGTTGCCGTAAGGTCCCTCCAATGACACTCTCATGGATATCTGGCCAGTGTGTGACAGCAGCTTGGCAATCTGACCCGTTAGACCATCCTTGGCTTTAATATAGATTGTCACTTGCTCGTCTTCTAACACTGAATCAACAATGGTGAAAGGATGCGATTGCCAGAAGATTGACCAGTGTAAGAAATGGATGAAGACAAAACATCCAGGGTATGGTTTCCAATTGTGTGGTCTCTTAACACTCACTTTGAACGTGTCGTCTGAGATATGTTCTATGGTGGCCCTTGGTGCACCAAATCGAGCCAACCTATAGATTCTGATCAATCTATCAGTGATCCAAAAAGCAAATGCACATGCGATCCAATCAAGCCAGCCAAATGTCACACAATGCTCCCAGCATGATATAAAGAACAGCAATGCAAAGACTATATGGGATACCAAGAACCATTCGTAAAATCGTACTCTGAAGTAGTGAGCAGCAAATAACAGGATCAGTACTCCCAAGACAATAGCCAATACCCCCATGACAAACCACCATTCATGGATAAAGACCGCAAATGATCCTTTATACCAAAGCATCCACAGGTACGCCAATGTGTGTAACGTTGCATGCACAACCATAACCCTTGCAGTCCATTTATGGAATATCATAAACGTTGCATAAGGCAATTCAGAGAATCCAATAAGGATATTGTTTCTACCGGCGAATAATACCAACAGTGGGAAGTGTGCAAATGATAGAACACCGGCCCTGTCCGCAAGGTATCTTGCCGTTTGTAAGGTATTGGAGTTTGGTCCAAAAAGTTGATTATCCTCTGTAATCTTGTAGTTATGGAACAAGAAGAATACATTCAACGCAAAGTAGCCAAGGAGAACCAGTGAATCGCCAAATGTCGGTAGTAGGGTGGTTAACCATGGGGCCATGTTGAATGGAGTCTGATGTGATCCAAATAGTAAAGGTAGTGATATATTTGCTCTGAGGAAGTTTATCCGCCTTGAAACGATCTTCTCGTTCCATCTGGTCTTCTTCAGCTTATTACACATTGCAAACCACGTGATCATCACTACCCAATACATGTTGATGATGATACCGTACCTCTGTGAGTCATCAAAGTTACCCAGAAATGCTCTATAGTCCCTTATTCTATTCTGAACATCTTCTCTATGCAGTCTCAAAGGAACAAACACTGGCGTCGAGCTATTCACAGCCCTGGTGTCAACAAAGTACTCACTGGCATTTGCTGATATCCCCGCTACATCTTCAAGCGAGATGTCTGTCTGTGTGAATTTCCAGCATGCCTTGATGAATGCAATATGTCCACTTACACGATCCACTGAGCTGGGCAAGTACAGGTCCATGCACTCGATCACACTAGCAGCAAGAGGCGCGTATTCACAAGTACATGGCCAGTTCCCTTCCTCACACTGGAAGTTATAGCCGTTCAGAGCGGCTTGACATGAGTAAAGTGTACTCTGTTGTATCGAGCCCTTCTGTGCTTCACCGTTAGCACCGGGGAGTGGGAACAACAGTTGTGATATGAACAGCGGCAACACCACCTTATTCAGTGCCGGCTTCATTTAGTTTCTATCGAGTGGAACTGACTGGTGGAGATGTAGGATCAAGGCGAAAAAAAGGGGGTTGGGAAAGAATGAAAGATGTGGAAAGTGCGTAGAAGTCGTCCATTGATCAAAAAGATAAAGACGAAAAATAAACAGATGAAGAGAAAAAGGGTACTGATGCTCGGAAATAAGCGGATAAGCGAGATATTATTTTGTGGTGTTTGGATGTTAGTATTATGTAATCTGACGCACGGGGATAAGGGGATTTACAAGGAGATCTCGGGTATTAGATATATATACTTATATTCACCATAGTTTGTTCTTCTTCTGTTCTTTATATAAATAACCATCAGGCGTGTATACACCTGTATGCCTGTATTCTTAGACTTCCGAGTTGATGCCTCCAAGTGGTATCTTCTTCTTCAACTTGTTCATCCCCCTCTGTATGAGATAGGCAAATATACCAGCGATGACAACCATGGCGATGAGATAGATGAATAGTGCTTCACCTTTGAATTGGATGTCCATGGTGGCCACCATAGGCGTTGTATTGGTCGTTGTGTGTGGCTTCTTTCTCATGCCCATGCCCTTGTGGGCCCGTGAGGTGGTGGTGGTGGTGGTAGCCTGCTTCGTTGCCTTTGTATGAGTACTTGTCGTTGTGATGGCATTGGCATCTGTAGTGGCTTTCACCTGTTCCATTGCTGTCTTTGTTGGCATGAAAGTGGTTCTATCAGTGCTTGGCATGATTGTTGTCGTCGTCTCTTCAGTGGTTGGTTTCCAATCCTGCTGTCTTACTGGCCATTTAACCTCACCAGTTAAATCATCCAAATCATCGTTGCCAGCAGCGTTACCCATCGGCTTTGCACCGTACGAAACGCACAGGTCCTTATTCATCTGTGGTAGAGTCTGGGTCTCAAGCATCACATCAGGTGCCTCAATAAACACAACCCCCAATCCTTGAACTGCGTGCCATTCAGTATGACAGTGGAAAAACCAAACACCTGGGTTTTGAGCTTTGAATCTCAAAACAACATGTCCACTTCCTGGAACGTTAACAGTGTCCCTAATAGCAGGGTACTCTGGGAACTGTGATTCCTGCATTTCTCGATAATGGACATGGGCACCACGAGTCAAGATCTGGAAGTTATGGCCGTGTAGGTGGAAAGGATGACGCATATGATCCTCTGAATTCAACACAATTTCAACAATTTCGTCCTTCTGCAAGATGAAGGCATTCGTTCCCTCCCCATAGATCTTTGGATCCAGTGCTTTTGAACCATTGTTTGCACTAAATACGGTATGGAGTGTTGGTACCTTTGGAGACAAATGAGGGTGAGAGTTCATTGTATAGTACTTCGTGCCGTATTGGTTGAAATGGTCCGATGAGTAGACAAACGTTAGACGATGATCAGGTTCTGGTAGTTTTGCAATGGAGCCCAAGGGTCTCAGATTAATGTCATCATAGAAGTTCAAGTCTCCAACTCTCTTACGGACTTGAACAGAGGCTTCTTGCTCTGGCTCTTTTTCACCATACACAAGCCAGTTTGTTGTATACTTCTTATTCATCATGATGTTTGTAATCTGGACAACTCCATAGTTACGATCACTTGTTGATTTGGTCTTCAGAACAACATTATATCTCTGGCCAGTCGCCAGCTGTACAGCCTCAACCTCAACAGGGTCAACTTTCACACCATCAACCTCCACAATGGTTATGGTATGGTCTTCGATGTAGAAGTACTGCGTTGCGCTCATTCCACCGTTCACCAATCTAATCAGATAGGTCTTATCCGGCTGAACAAACAAGCTCTGTCGTTCAGTCTCGTTGAACAGCCCCGATTTGATGGAAGGCTCCCCTCCTCTTGAGCCCTGTGCAAACATCTGTTCAACTAGTATGGCGCTCGGAGTATGGTACCAATCAGCGAGCATAATGGCCATATCTCCATCGTAGAGCTCATTCTCATCACCGTCTTCGACAATGAACACACCTCTTAAGCCGTCACCGTACTGAGCAACAGAGTGACTGTGATACCAGTATGTTCCTGTTTGATCAGGCACCGTGAAATCGTATGTGAACTCACCTCCCGGAGGTATAGGACACTGTGAGATCATCGTCGCACCATCCATATGACTTGAGTTTCTCTGGAAGATCCCATGGAAATGAAGCGAGGTATCCTCTTTCAAGTTGTTGATAACGTGGATCACAGCACGGTCCCCTTTGTTTATTCTGATCTGCGGAGCGGGCCATTCATTGTTGATCGTGATGACTTCTCTTGTTACTTCACCATCGGGGCTCAAGTTCTGGTTACCAATGACCCATTCAAAGTTGTGTGTGACGCCAGCGCCAAATGCCAGTGATACAAACGATAGCAGCAGCCAAATACCAAGCATTTACAACTGTCTTAAATGTGTAACTGATGGTTTGCGGGTGTATGGCGTGGTGTGTAAATGGTTGTTTTATTCAGTGACACGGAATAATGGTGGAAGCCCACAATCTCGGGATTTGATTTGATTTACATGATCACGTGTTTGGTGTTAGTTAGATCACGTGTTTATATCAGTTAACGCACGTGATTGATACAGCATATGAAGAACTAATCTAATCACTCCAAAGTTCTCAACAACCTGAGGGCCTCTTCCAATTCCTTGATTGCAGTTGGTGTGTCCTCGTAGTTCATTGCACTGATGGCGAATTTGGAATGCTTTTGAGCCTTTGAGTAGACTTCACTGCTCTCCAGTATCTCTTCAACGTTAACCTCCTCGTGCTGTTCCTCTACAGATCTCCTTGGGCTCTTCAAAGAAGGTGCATTCACTGGAGGTGAGCTGTGTCTTGGTACATCCTTTGGTGGTTCTGGGAGTGAGAACTCCGCTGTTGGATTGGATGATGGGATTGACGGTAAGTTCAAGGCAGGTTCGTCGCCATCTTCATGGTCATCGACAAAATTTGGTGGGGCTTCGTCTATCGCACTTGGCTCATGCGCTTCAACTAGTTCATTTGAAGACTCAACGACCTGCTCCTCTGGTGCAACGTACTCATTAGGATCCTCGTTATTCTTTAGAGCCTTCAGGATACGAGCAGCATGGTACTTAGCGTACTTGATCTTTTTACTCAGCTCTTCTGTATCCTCCAACCTCTGATGTTCGTCCGGCCATAAGTTCAAGAGCTCATAGAAGTTTACACTGGCGAGCAGTGCCATGGCAGTGCTCTTCGCACTCTTCTGCTCCTTGATTTGTAGCTTGGCACTTGCAAAGATCTTATTGGCAAAATTAACCACGTAGGCAATGCTAGTCTCTTTATCATGGATAACCTCTTGAAGAACAACATCATCGCCTTTGCGGGCCTCCTCAATTTCATCCATCAATTTCATCGCAAACTGAGCAACTGCATCATCGCTAGTGTGCAATCCACTATCAAGGATCTGTTCCACAGCATAAAGCTTACCTTCATAGTAGTTAGTCTCCATTGGACTGTTCAAGTGAAGGACTTGCAATGAACTTACAGAAGTATGACACCAGGGGATCCGCTTTGGAAAGCTCAAGCGATCTGTTGTAAGCCTGTGTGATTGGCTTTGGTAAGGAGCTTGGAACCATGTTTATCTCATCCAATGGGATCTTCCAGCGGTGTCTTATAATCAAACACTGTGGAGGGCTACAACTGTTGTCCAAAAAGCTGCCCTTTTGTAGACTTTGGCGCCAAATGTGAAGCTGCTGTCAGGGCACGAAAAGGCACAGCAAAATGACAGCAAAACTGATTTGAAGCAGGAAAAGTGTGCGAGATGGGCAATACCAAAGCTGTGATATTCGACCGTCGGACTCGATTTCCGGGGTTTATCACTGAATTGTATCAACTGGGATTTACTATAACCCTTTACAGTGATCACATCCTTCTCGGATGTGAAAGCAACATGGTGTATGAATCCTCAAGACTCGAATGTTTCTCTACAATGGTTTAAAAGGCACTCCTTGAACCATTGTACTTCTTTATAAAGTTCCTAGAACCTAACCTTCATCTCTTATATTTCTGAATTATTAGACTGATACTTATAAAAATAGCAACCCCCTTCAAATTTCCCCAAATTATACCACAATGTAGCTCTTACTCGAATCAGGAGATATACAAAGTATGAGCTTGTTATCTTCAATACTTTTTGAGATATAAACATTCATAGTTTGCATCGTATAATCAAGAAAAACACATAAATTTGCCTATATCTCAACAACAAAATAAAATCTGGGAAACATGGAACCGTCATACCCTAGCATTAATCAATTTTATCATATATACTAGCTTTTAACTTGATTAGATCAGTGGTTTTTCCAAAATGGTCCACACCACGTGTGTTCTTATATATAATTCTGGCTCCTCGTAGTTATGTGATTATTATTATAATGCTATCAATAAAAATAGTTCTTTGTTCTCCAAGCTCACCTAAATTATACCACTCTGTAGCTTACCCTCTAACTAATAGATCCACCTAACATGAGCATGTAATCTTCAATATTTCATGAGATATGACCATTGCTAAATTGGTCAAATTCGTCAAAAAGACGCTTGAATTTGCTCATACCCCATAGGAGACAAATGTAGAAGAAGATAACACCCTTGCTATTGGCAAGAGATGATTAACCGGATCCTATCATTATCTACGATATTTACTCGAACGACTCTCCATCTGCCATTAGCCAGAACCCTTCTACATACTTCCTATAGGAACACAATCTATTTTTCCAAGTCCCCAGTGTCACAGATACGCCAATACAACCACCAGATCCAAATTCCATTTTATGCTCGTTGTTGTTTGAACACTCACCAGGTCTGCGAGTCACTCTATGCTGTGTACTATTAATATGTAGATGCAACACCAGAACAAACTTCAACCACCAAAATTGAGCTTCAAGTGACGTCTACTAGACATTCCATGGTGCTTTATTATAACTCAACAAATGACTCCGGTGCCTCAGCTGCTCAGTTACTATATATCTATGAGTATCAAACAGACAAATCACACTCAAAGTGCTTAATACACAGTTGTTCTACGGTTCTACACAACCATCACCGTCTTCATCTACAGCCACTGGGTTGTATGCACTGAATACGGATGTGTTGCCCCTACCAAACTAGACTCAAATGAACGTACTTCCCTCTTCTTCGGTTTCACCTCTTCTACCATAGCTGTTTAGGTAGTTATAGACAAGCATAGGGAGTTCTGAATCTTGAGATCCGCAGAGTTGAGGTCTCAGGTCACAGAACTGCTCACTATTAATGCCGGCAACTACCTGAACAGCATGGTAGAGCTGGTGGTAGTCTACAACTACAAATGGTGAGCCAATCCCAGTGGATACCGTCCAACTGCATCTGAACGTAATCCCTCCAGGACGACTGGGGTGGATGGATATATGCGGACAATACCTAACTCTCTAACTCCAGCCACATCGATGGTCATTGGTGTCACCTTTGGACTCACGCTTCCATGACCAACAGCAGTGATGACAACCACACTGGAATTCAGACTGAGGTCATCTAACGAAAGCTGGACAGACTTCCCTGAGACAACCTTCAGGCTGAACCAATCTCGCGGTCGACATCTTCTGATGGACTCGCAGTAGCTACCGAAGACTTCATCTTCCATCACCAGCAGTCATGACAACCACACTTGAATTCAGAACGAGGTCATCTAAAGAAAACTTGGACAGACTTCCCTCACACAACCGTCATTCTGAACTGATCTCGTGTGATTGACACTCTCGCAGTCGACAACTTCTGATAGCCTCGAAGTAGCTACCCAAGACTCCGTCTCTCATCACCAACAACAATCATGACAACCACACTTGAGTTCAGACTGAGCTCATCTAACGAAAGTTGGACAGACTTCCTTCAGACAACCGTCATTCTGAACTGATCTCGTGTGATTGACACTCTCACAGTCGACAACTTCTGATAGCCTCGAAGTAGCTACCCAAGACTTCATCTTCCATCACCAGCAATCATGACAACCACACTTGAGTTCAGACTGAGCTCATCTAACGAAAGTTGGACAGACTTTCCTCAGACAACCTTCATCCTGAACCAACGTCGTATGGTCAACTGAACATCCAATGATAATGTCGCATCATGAATCCAAAATCTGAGAGCAAGAGCAACTGTACTTCTTCAGCATCACACCTTGTGAAAACCGTCAAGACGATAGCATCCCAAAAGTACCAAACCCCTATCAATATCGTTCAGCTAGGAGAGCCCTCACCGTCTGTAGACCTTGTGCCTTATACATCCTGTTGTAAGTCAGTGATCTGGTAAATGCTAATCAGCCAACACAGTGACCATACAAAGCAGGTTGACTAAACTCACTTTGTTCTGCCGTTGCTCAATAGTCTTCACGTATTCCCAGTAATGATGATGTACTAGGCAGTATACCCTAAGATGTGTCAAGGTGATAACTTTGAAGGAGGTGGACAGGCTCCAACAAGAGTCATCAGCCTTTGTTGCCATCTTTCGGGATTTGTGGGAAAGAGTGGAAAGAGTTGAAGAACAATTTTTGAGGATTCAGAGCTAGTTAAATATTCAAGACAGTGCTTTTGTGCACTTTACATTTAAGTGTGTTGTCTTGATGGTTACTGGGGTTTTGTGAAATATGCAACTCACTGTGCATGAAGGCAGAATGCACGAGTTTGAGTTAAACTGTACTGGGAATATAACTGTTCACCATACAATCCGTCTCTCTGTGTACTGGAATATTGTCAATTTTTAGTTTACTTCATGCGTCTCATCATGCACTTCATCATGTATTTCTTCTATCGTTTCCATAGTGAATAAGCCTTTGTGTGACATGCAATTGATTTGATGCATGTAGAGAGTTACAACTCACAGAGCTTAAGGTTATATTATACATAAGCACTATGCATCGAACACACCAGCTGTTGCATAGTATAGACTATCGACTTTATGGTGATATCTTTATTGGAATTGTTGAGTGATTCTGGTTAGAATCATACCAATAAAATAGCAATTTGGTCTCCACTAGAATTAGAATGGTACTAATAAAAATAGCAACCCCCTTCAAATTTACCCAAAGTATACCACAATGTAGCTCTTACCCACTTTAAGAGAGACACAAAGTCTGAGCATGTTACCTTCAATACTTTCTGAGATATAACCATTCATAGTTTGCATGGTATAATCAAGAAAAACACATAAATCTGCTTATATCTCAGCAACAAAACAAAACTTGGGAAAACTGACGAGAAAAACAAAAGAACACATCTACATCACCATATATGCTGACATTGAGCTTGATTGGACCAATGGCTCTTTTAAGATAAATCACAACGTGTAGCATTATATATCTCTGGTTCTTCGTTGCCTCAGCAATCGTAAAAATGTTAGGATGTTTTCAATATCCTCTGCATTGTTTACATTTTGAACTCTTATCAACACAAAAATGACACAAAACCAGTACAGCTTTATACAAAGATTCGGAGGACTCTAACTGAGGCCATATACATCTTACTGCTAGTGAAAGATATATTGTGACGTCGATCTAACTGGAAACATTAAGCTGAACTCCGAAGAGCACACTGGGGACTCCTTTCATCTCTCATTGCACAGGGAGAAAACAATGGCGTTAAAGAAGAAGATAGACGAGATGCAGTCCGCAGGGAAGTCAAAGCAATGCCGTAAACTATACAAAAAATAACAGATATGGTGGCTGACAATCATTGGCAAATCATAAGACATCTAACGTCATCCTACGAAAACATCGTGCCACCACCATCCGAAAGTCAAGAATTGGTAAGCATGAACCGGAACCGTGGGATGAACAAAAACTTGATGATGAGCTCGCATTCCGCCTCTTACCAGCGTTTGGCCTTCAAATGTCAAGTCACGGGGACACGCCTCTCGAGAATGACTGAAGAGTACACGAGCAAGACATGCACCGGCTACAGGGCAATAAAACACACACTGTCTCTAGCCGACCGCACCCTCCACTGTGCCTCTTACAACTTGTCTGTCGACCATGACATCAACGGCGCTCGCAACATATCCTCATCAAGTGTCTTGTCGCATCTCAACAGACAAACACAAACAAGGAGTGCTTTCATGCTCCTCTGAAATCACTACCTCTCTTCTGTCTCTAAGGAGCACACAAAGGTATGATCATGGATGAACGCCCTCAAAGTGCAAACATCACCATTTTACAGTGCTCTAACAAATGAGGCTTTTCTAACCCAGAACCATGACAAATTACTACAGCTCCTCGCCCCCCACCATACGACACGGTATAGACCACATTTCCGTCCCTTTCCTCAGCTTAAGTCGTGGGAAATATGGATTAGAAATCAAGCAATTAAGCCGTATGTGGGTGTCGGTGTTATTATAAAGGCACCAAACGCTTCTGGGAAATTTATGTTCTTCCCTCTCCCCCTCATTCCTCGCTTCCGCCTATTTCTTGTTCGGCACTTCTTCAACAAACAATTCATACCAATGGTCAACCAACGTGCTGCCACGATCCCCGCCAATGCTGGTCCTTCCAATTGGGTTGAGACCACAGAGATTGCGATTCCTGAGCCACCAGCCGGCAAGATCGTCGTGAAGACTGTTGCCTACGCTGCGAACCCAACAGACTGGAAACATGTCGAGTTCCAGCAATCACACACGGGCGACATCGCAGGCTCCGATGCCTCGGGTATTGTCTACAAAGTTGGTGAGGGCGTCACAGACTTCCAAGTTGGCGATGTTGTCTCCACTTTCTCCCACGGCAATTTTCTCCATGACAGAGGCTGCTTTGCCGAGTACATCATTGGCGATGTTGAGACCACGATCAAATACCCACATGGTGATGAATTCCCTGCTGAGAAGTTGCCAGTGGGCGAGTACAGATCAGGTGCTATCGACACCTTTGAAGGAGCCGCATCTGTTACACTGGGACTGACCACTGTGGTGCTGTCGCTTGTGGGCAATTTGAACATTGACCCAGCCGTGGACCATTCCGATGAGTACTTGCTCGTCTGGGGAGGTGCCACTGCCACAGGAATCCTTGCCATCCAAGTGGCCAAGTTGGGATTGGGTATCAAAGTTGTCACGGTGGCTTCCAAGAAGCACACCGAGTACTTGAAAACATTGGGCGCAGATGTGGTTGTTGATTATCACGATGAGGATGCCATTGCTCAGATTCGTGCAGCTACTAAGGGTGCCATCAAGTATGCCTTGGACACAGTGGCCCAGCCAGAGACGTGGCAATCAGTGTACGATGCTACAAGGGACTCTGAGAAGGCATCACTGGATAACTTGTTGATGTTACCACTGTCATCAATCAAGCAAGACGACCGTGATCCAGCTAGCACCACTGTTGCTCCCTCCACATTGGCATATGTGGCCAATGGTGAAGACGTTGAGCTGTTTGGAGCTGTGATGAGCCCAGATGCCTCTATTCTTTCCCGTTACAACAACTTCTGGAAGTCCAAACTCCCTTCGCTGATTCCAAACTTGAAACATGCCCAATTGAAGGTTTTGGCTCCTGGCTTCAACAGTGCCAATGAGGCATTCGACCTGTTGAGAGATGGTAAGGTCTCTGCTGAGAAAGTTGTCTTTTCTTTGTAATCTAATTACAATCTACATATTCTAGTTGGCTGTAAAGATTTCGATTTCTTGTAACCTAAGCCAGTCCCAATTCTTTCGAAAAGGCCTCATTGTTTGGTTCTCTACCCAATAGCTCTTTCAAGTTATCCATCTCATCACGAGAACCACCTCTGCTTAGCACAATGTCCCTGTATAGGACACCATTTGCGGTATTCATTGGATCCTGCTTGAACTTGGTGTAGTAGATATCAGCAGCGAAAACCTGGGACCACAGGTAACCGTAATAACCAGCTTGGTAACCACCCATGATATGTCCAAATGACTGGAACCCCTTTGACACAGTATCACCATTTGCAACCAATGCTGTCTCTTGTCTCAATTTGTTCCAGAAGGATGTCAAATCGATGTCCTCCTCAGACGAATGGACCGTAATGTCAAACAGTCCAAAGTGTAGTTGCCTCAAGTTGAATAAGCCACCATTAACATGCTTGGTTTTCACCAATTGAGCAACCAAATCATCTGGTATGCGCTCACCAGTCTTGTAGTGCGATGACAATTGCTTCAACTCGTTTGGTGACCAAGTCCAGTACTCCAACATTTGAGAAGGTGCCTCGACAAAGTCCCAGGAGACAGAGGTTCCATGGAACTTTGCATACTTGGTGTTGCCCATCAAGTCATGAATACCATGTCCCAATTCATGGAAGAACGTTGTAACTTCGTCATGCTTCAGCAAGGATGGCTTCTCTGCTGTTGGTTTGGAGAAGTTACAGACCAAGGCAGTTACAGGGTATGAACGCGAGCCATCCTCCTTAGTGTACCCTGGTGCAATACCGAAATTGGCAGCATGTCCATACTTACCATCACGAGGGTGTAAGTCAAAGTACAACCAGCCGACGAACTGTGGGCTGGCCTTGTCGTCCTCATTCCAAACAGCAAATTGCTTACAATCCTTATGCCAGGTGGATTTTGACTCCAATTGTTCAACAAACTTCAAGTTGAACAGTTTTTCAAAGAACTCGAGCATCTTTTCAATAGTGGAGTCCATAGGGAAGTACTCTGAGATCTTTTGTTCATCGATCTGGAACTCCTTCTCCAACAAGAGATTATCGTAGAACCTGTTATCCCAAACATAGTATTCATTGTCGAATGCCAGCCCTCTAGATTCGCAATCCTGCTTCTTCAACTGTAGCAAAACATCACGCTCTTTCAATCCTAAAGGTTTCAGCTTGGTCTTAAGATCTTCCAAGAAGGCCTTAACGGTCTTCGTGTCTTTGGCCATTCTCTCCTCCAAGACGTAATCGGAAAAGGTCTCATAGCCTAGCTTTTTAGCCAATTGCTTTCTCAGTTTGATTGCTTCGACAAGCAGGTGCTCGTTGTCCGCATTCTTATTCTGATCACCAATGAATGCCCTCTTTCTAGTCTCAGCAGATTTGGCAAACTTCAACACCGGGAACAAGTCAGGGTATTTGAAAGTCATCTTGAGCTTGCCATCAACTTTGGCGAATTGCTCCACCGTGTCCTTCGGAACACCTTCAAGCTCCTCCTCTGTAAACAGGATGTACTCCGTGTTTTCACCCAGGTTTTTGGAGAACTTCAAGCTCAAATCAGATAGCTTCTTCTGAATCTCCTTGACCTCAAGACGATCCTCCACTGGCAAGCCCAATCCATTACGCTTGTACTCCCTAACGGTTTTCTCCAGGTATCTCTTGGTCTCTGGTGCCAATTGGTCAAGGACAACGGTATCCAGCAACGTCTGGAAGCTCTTGTAGACGTCTTCCCTCTGTTGGGATTCGATTCCAAAGTCTCTCAGCAACTTCTCCGCCTGCGTACTGGCATCTCTAATCTCCTTATCCTCTGAAACGTGCTGTTGGAAAGTCAATTGGTTCTCCAAAAGAGCATTGGCGTTGTTGAACTGAGCCTGTCTCTCAAGGACATTGGCAATTGAAGGGGACTCAACAGAGGCCAGCTCATCGTCAAGGGACTTTGCCCTATCGATGAGGTCCTGGGCCTGTTTCAAGATCTCTGCAGGAGTTGTCTTCCAGGAAGGGGCCTGCTGCGGTGGAATCAATGCCTTCGTACTCATCCTTCTAATCGAGTTGAACAGAGGTCTAAGCATAAATGTGTCTGCTCTGTGAGATTGGGGATAGCAAGATGAATTGGATAAGTCTGTAGAAGTTGAAAGTAGCTGGAAACGGGTCAAAGCCCTCGGGGCCAAGGAGTTGTTTGGAAACACCCGGACACCGAAACACCCAGACATTCAAACACCCAGACACCTTAACAACCGGACACCGGCATAAGTCTCGCATACCGCACACCACACGGCGTGACGTTTATGCATGGAATCTCGCCAGTTTCCCGAAAAATCGCAGCTTTTGATTTGTCCAAAATTGGGCTTTTCGAAACTTGTTTCTGTTGAATTGTAGGTGAAGACGTTTAATACTTCAATCGACACTTTCAACCAGCGAGAAAGAAAAGCAAAACAAAGCAATAGTGAGTGGTTAATGTGTTGCATGCTAGCGAAAAAGCAAAGAGTAATGTTCCGTTTCTAACAATTGCCCAAGTGTCTGCCCCAGTTACTGCTACACCATCCTCCTCCTTGCTTAACGACCGTTGGGACGTTGTAATTTCCAACACATTGGTAAAGACCGGTCTTGGTTTCGGGGCTGGTGTCCTCGCCAGTGTTGTCCTTTTCAAGAGAAGATCCTTCCCAGTCTGGCTCGGTGTTGGTTTCGGTCTTGGTCGTGGTTACGCCGAGGGTGATGCTGCTCTTAGATCACCAACTGCCGGTGTTAGAACAGTCAAGGCTTAAGGAGAGGGAAAGGCCACATGCCACATTTGATAAGTTGATCCAAGCAGATGAGTTTATGACCGCACTATAGACAGACACCCAGGAAAAACAAAACAAGTGACCTGTTCTGTATTGTGATGTATATCATTGACCATTACATATGGTCTTCTTTCAAGAAGAAAGGGAGAGTTGTACGTATTGGTATCAATGATGATGTTTGACATTGCAATTACAGAGGAGTCACACACAGACAAACACATACAAAGCTTTTTTTAACCAGAAAGATTATAATATTCAATTACAGAGTAAATGGATGTATTAGTACAGAGCATGGTGCTTGCACCGAGTAGATCATTTGTAGTGTGTTCAATCTATCTGATTCCGACAGATTGTCAAAGCAGTTCCTCTTGAGGGTTTACACGATATTACAAAATGGCGGAGGGTGCACAGCCAGTCTATACTTTGTCATTAAAAAGGAATTGCATCAAACATAGAGTTGGCTCCTTTGTATCAATGAAGGGCCAACTTCATCGCTCTTGTACTTAGTCATGTGGTGTTGTAAGTCAAAGAGACGGTATCACATTAGTCGTAAAAAATAGGAAGTGGGAGAAGTGCTCAAATCTTCCAATGGTCTGTTTCGTTTGTCGTTGCATCGATATCAACTTTCTCCAATATGCTCTGCGCCATTGCATCTGCGAAGTCGTTATTCGTCACGACGTGCGTGGTTGTGTCTTTCCGTACTGAGCCGTCCATCTCGTGCAAGCTCTGTATAGAAGGTATCGAGGGTAACAGCACAGTTTCCAGACTTGCCATTGAAGGGGTCTTGTTCGACTCCAAGGAAGGTGGCGTGCTGGCTGACATGGAAAGCTGTGGAATATGATTCGTGGATGTTAGATTCGCGTTGGAATTCTCATTATCATTGCAGTTTTGAAGGTCAACACGGTCGCTTGACCCCATATACTTCATAGCGAGTATGTGTGTGTTTGGATCAGCCTGATCTGGACTTGTACACGCCGTTACTGGCGCTGGTGCCGATGCTGATGGGGCCAATGATGATGCTGATGCCGATGCTGACTCGTCATTTCGCTTCAGCCCACTGAGTTTCGACCGCACTTTTGATATCGATCTCGAAAGTCCTGTTGCCTCCATTGTCTGTTCACTTTCCAAAGATATCCGCCTGTGGTTTTGCCTAACCGCCCTGTTTGTTTACGCTGTTGTTTACGTTGTTGTTTACGCTGTTGTTCACGCTGTTGATGATTTGCACAGGGCAAAAAAGAAAAAAAAAGAAAGAAGGAGGAAAAAGAAATTTTCACCGACGTGGTAACTCCGGTAGGGACACATCACCATGGTGTCCGGATGTGTATTACGTAAGCTGGTGTTTGGGTGTGTGCGTCCAACAGAACCATCCTCCTGTGCGCTCCCCACGTCAGCGTCCTTGGCCACGTCTGTGTGTGATTTTTGTCCTGTGCGAAAACAGCCGTTCGAACCGATCCTCTCCAATTGGGAAAACAACGCACGTCGAACACAACAAGCACAGAGCCTGGAGTTGAAGGCGAGCGGTAGTTCCGTGTCACGGCTGCGTGGTAGCAGGCTAGCACCCCCACGAGGCTCAGCCCACCGCCAGGCTCAGCCCACCACCCCACGATCTCCTTCAAAGGGTTGGTTTTTGCTACTTGCCAGGTCGCCGCCATACACGCGCACACCGAGCAATGCCTGTTGAGCCGTCTGTCAATTGTCGTAAAACGCAGCCATTCGCTCCTTCCTATCCGATGGTTTAAAGCCTTTTTCACAGCAGTGGAAGATGAAGGGAACAGCACATCACCTTGCAAGCGCCCCAGGGCTAATCTGTGGAGTTTGGTGCGACGGGCAGAGCCTTAAATGGCGGTGCTATAACTCCACATGTACCAAGCCAAGCGAGTGCTGCTCCGTTGTAGAACTGGGGATGTATAACGTACAGTTCTAATGGTCTTATGTAGGGATGCGTACCCTTGTAACTCCGCTGCTATATTAGCCAGTGCTTCGGTGGATTCCACATTGTTCGTGATGCCAGCTGGAGACAGTACCAAGACACACTTCGACAATCAGCAGAGGAAAGGGGGACCGAGTGTGTAGCAACATTCCCTTGTGGGTATACCAGCGAGAAGTAAGTGATCCTTGCCCGGTATCGGCAGTGTTTCCATTCCGATTGGATGGTGATCTACGCGGAGTATGCACTCTTTGACGTTAACAGTGTGATCTATGTTGCCATGGCATCGGGACCGACAGCGCGTTATGGTTGTAACAGGAGTTATAACGCTTACAATACTGTGAATAATAACAGATGGTGGATAAATAACGATAATAATGACAATAATAATAATAGGTATATGCGGATACACTTTCTAATAGTTCTTCATTTGAGGTTCATGTTCATAGGCATGTTCATATTCATCGGCATACTCATCGGCATTGGCATGGACATTGGCATGCCAACGTTCTGAGGAATGGCCATCCCGCCCGCATTGATGCTGCCATTAGCAACAGATCCACTGTTGCCTGTAGTGTTGGTTGTCTTAGTATCCGTGCTATCGGTGTGGCTACCATCATGGTTCAACCCGCACTCACCGGTCTCAACGTGAAGGTCGAGCCATTCGTTCACGTTGTTGAATGTCTTACCACAATGTTTGCAACGGCCTCGGACGCCAGCTCTGTCCTTCTTCTTCGTTCCTTGAGGGTATTCAAAGTGTAACGCCTTCAAGTGGTTCTTATACGTATCGCATCTCGAGAAGATACCGGTTGGATGGCATGGCACCAGCGACGACGTCTCCTTGTTCAATTCACCGGAGCCAAACAGATTGGTGTTGAAGGGACACTTGAACGCGCCTTTGTCGTCCCCCATCTCCTTCCAATGGCGCTTGCTGTGTCTAAACAGGTCATTGGATCTGGAAAAGCCCCGGCCACAGATCTGACACAGGTATGGTCTGTTCTCAGGAGTGAGATGGATTGCCCTGTGTGTCGAAAGGTTCGAGAACCACATGGAGCACTCCGGGCACTGTCTCTTCTTTCTCGGTTTCTTGGCCTTGAACTTTGAAGCATCCGCATTCGTGACGGAGTTCGACAGCGAGCTCGTCGTCGTGGAGGAATGTGCACCATTCAGCTGGAGCATAGGTTGCATATGATCTGTTGGCGAAGGCGTCTGAGTGATGGGAGTGTTTGTGCCCAAGGACGTGGCGGCACTGTCGTAGAAGTTGGCGTACTGTGGGGCCTGATGTATGTGTGCCGGTATCTGTGATTGCTGTTGTTGTTGCATAGACTGTGACTGCTGCTGCTGTTGCAACTGTTGCTGTAACTGCTGTTGCTGTAACTGTTGTTGTGCTTGGAGCTGTGCCTGCTGTTGTAGCTGTTGAGATTGCTGTGACTGTTGCTGTGATTGTTGTTGCAACTGCTGTTGCATCTGTTGCATCTGTTGCATCTGCTGTAGCTGGCTCACGCCGTTACTGGGGCCATTTCCCACAGGGTTGGTGTTGTACTGCATTCTCATCCCGCCATTGTTGTTGTACTCCCATATCTGCGACGGCGGAGGAAGCATCACTTTGTGGACCGGTGGTAGCACGATGTTGTAGTTGTTGAAGTTAAGCTGTTCCATAGTACTCATCTGTTCTCCAGTGGTACTACTGTCCATATCTCTCTCTTATATACAGACCTAAACGACAAGTATAAACAACGCACTCTACTGATCGACGCCAAAAGATGGAGACAAAGGGCTATATATATACCATTATGTATAGCCCTGTGAAAAAGAAAAGTTAGAGGGCAGAGAACTTCCACCAACAACCAGCAGCCATACAGAATTCCACTCCCATCCACTGCTCTGCATCAGAGACCATAACTTGTGCATACCAGCAGCAGACAAAAAGACAAAAAAAATCTCAAATCTCAAACCATCCCGTCAGATCTTCTCATTGCTCCAATCGATTGGTCCCCTTCCTGTGCGCTTGGTGTTGTTTCCCGGAAGCACACTTTTGTCTCGTTGTTAGTGAATTTTTTTGGTACGATCTTGCAGTACATAGCGGCATTTTATGCAAAAGGACGTTGGCCTGTTTGTTGTTTTTTTCCTCACCGCTTTGTTCAACGCTTGAAATTACCGAGCAACGGAATCAAGAAAAAGACGTATTTCGCTGAGGTAATAATGAGCAGTCGAAGCTCTGTGTGTACGCTGTTGCTGTTCTCCCCGGCTTGCAGTGTGCGCTTGTGGTATCAAGATCCAATCAGTGAGGGCCCCAGCTTGTATGTGCCTGGTTGTGTATTACGAATGGCTTGCGCTTGAACGCTCCTGCCCCTGGTGTACTGAGATCTTCGTTCCCACCACACACATCCTGAGCCCTTTTCTTGTGGGTCTCCTTTCAGGCCAAGTGCACACACACACACACACACACACGCTGAGCAGCGAGCACCAGGGAGAAAGTACGCCCACCGTCCGGCTAATGTGTTCCGTCCGGCTGAAACGGTGAACAAAGCCTGTCTTGAATGCACGCACCGCCGTGTGATTTTGGGTTTTTGAGCCTTTTTGGCCAGAGGAACAACGAGGGACAACAACGAGGGAAAGAACACACAGGCAGAGTCCTCTGATGTTCCCTGGGTTGAATTTGAACGAGACAAAGCAATAACGGTGGAAGGGGATAAACTACAGGATGAGCTGATCACACTGCCGCATGATTTAACCGTGGAGTTAAGAACACTCGCTGAAACTTGAGAGCTGGGGAATGTGTCGTACGGGCACCCAGCCCCATAGTTAAGAGAAGGTGTTTTCATTCAACCACTAGTGTTTCGCCTACCGGAGGGGCCGACCCTTTTGTTCCGCCAGAGATGTCTGGGTGTATGGGTGTATGGGTGTATGGGTGTCCGGATGTTCAGGTGTCTGGGTGTCAAATGCACACTACGCAGCACCAGCCTACAGCCATCGTTGCGAGATTATTACATTATTATTACACCATCAATATGTATAAGTGCTTTGCTTCTTTTTGTATATTTGGGACAGGAAGCGTCGTCTAATCGATCTATTTGGTCTTCTTAGAATCCTTCTTGGCCGCTGGTGTCTTCTTGTAGATACTGATGTAGAACATGATGAACAACACCAAGTAACTGGACAAGATCAAACATCCGGTGCTGGCAGCAAATGGGGTTCCATAACAGGTACCCATGTTTGGAATCCAGATGCCCCACTCACGAGAGTACTTGTCGGCGTAGAAGGTGTATGTGGTGGAATAGACAAAGATCAAGTCCAAGATGAATTGAATGATTTGGAATCTGGTGATCCATTGCTTCCACCAGACCCTGATGCCTCTGGCAGCGAGGAAATAGTACCAGTACATGATGACGTGGACACCCAAGTTCAACAGGATTGGGACCCATGACACGGACGTTTCACCGTTCAACTGGATGTAACAGAGCAAAGCAGTGGCACCGTGGTGGTAGGCGTGCAAGAAGATGATCTTCTTCTTCTTAACAACGAGGAAGAAGGTATCGACAAATTCGAGGTATTTGGTCAAGTAGTTCAAGTAGTAAATGACAACAACTTTCTGGTACCACGAGTTTGGAGAGCACACGGAGTACAACACACCGTGCTCCACAACAATCGGGAAGATCTGTTCAAACAGCAGAGCCAACAGCACTCCGGAAACAGTGGTCAACACCAAATTGTGCAGCTGGAATGGATAGTTAAGCTTCCAGGCCGTCAAGTTCTTGAAGACAACTTGTCCAAAGGTGATGATGAAGTAGTACAACCCAATAACAACAGCAACTTCGAACGGTGTGCTCATGAACGTCTCGCCCTCAACGTAGTGGAACTCATCCGGCACAAACTTACCACCACTGATGGTGGACACGAGCTGGTTGAACAACGGCCAAAGGTGGACTCCAAACGGTCTCTTTATGGAAGGAACTCCAACTTGGAAGAATGCCGGCGTGTTCGCGTTGATATAGGATAAATACCCCGGTGCTACATCCTCAACAATCTCAATGAATGAGGCAGCGGCCGCTGCCTCAACTTCCATTTCCATTTCCATGGTGTCTGGGCTCTTGTTTTCGATCTGTGCTGAATCCCACAAAGGGAAGGAAAGGGAAGAAAAAGTGAAAAGTTCGAGAAAGTTAGAAAAAAAGACACAACAAACAGCACAGAAACTGCGCAACGGCCGGAGAGGAAATTTTAGGGGCTCCAAAACCGCGCGCGACGGGAGGAAATTTTACCCAACGGAAATTTCCAGTTGCTCAGGCCGAGGCTAAAAAATTACGACGAGACCAAGCAAAAAAAGTCCCTGAGAAGATTTTAATAACAAACGCGTTGCAGTTTTGATTTCCTCAGCTTTTGGCTTGGAAAGTTCTGCTGTACGTTAGTCGTCTTTATACTCAGTTCAAGCGTGACGGACAGGCCTGTGTGTTGTGTGTAGTTTCGTTGTAGGTCTAAAGAGCTGGATTCTGTGGTGGTATAGGGGCCCTGCCGGAGCGTACGCTTACAGAGAACCCTTACGCATGAACTCCGCGAATAGCGTCACGACCTTTACACACCAAGAAGGCAGCGAGGTGGTTGTTTGGGGGAGCGTTGTCAGCAAGCTACAACTGTTAGTAGTAAAAATGATGAACATGCCGGGTTGAATTTTGTATACCTTCTAGAAATGAGGAAGAAACAGCCCATCTGCGAAGAGATCATACCTCCTCAGTGATATCGCAGAGTTTCTCCTTCTTGTTGCCTTTATCCCAAAAGTCTAGAGATGCAACAACGTCGTAACCACGTTCATCTTCGTAGGCATAGAGGATCTCCTGTGATCCCATGTGTAGAAGACGAATGTTCTCGCCCAGAATGACACGCAGTAGCTCGCCAGTCTCTGTGTGTCTAATCTCAATGAAATTAGGCTCAAATGCTAAGAGATAAGGATACCACAGTGCAAAGGATTGTGGGATGCCTTCCCAGTTGATCATCCAGTCACTTCTAGTTCTCCATCCATTCTTGTTGATGAAGAATGAAAAATCGGAGTACGACAACAGGAAGTTGGAACTGATACGATGGATTGCCAGCGGTTTTAAGCCTTCACGGTTCGTGATGAAGTCCAACGATGTATCAGCAGGATCCAGTATACCCTCGATTCTACCATCGTTAAGAGAAACAATTTCAAACCCTTTGGTGCACCCAACGATCAATCTTGTCTTCAAGAATGAGATACTAACAGGTTCGGAGCTGAAATGGAACTCCCTAGTCTCGTTCTTGAACTTCTTCTTACTCATCTTCTTAGAAAATGGATCGGTTGGTTCGAATACACGAATCAAATCACTCTTCGCAGCAACAACGAGCATACGTCCACCACAAACACCAACTTTGAAAAAACTAACATGGGACATGATCTCCTTGCCGGTTTTCTTGTCCTGTGATGTTAAAATTTCCAATGGCCAGGCATATAACTTCTTATCTGCTAACGCCAACAACGTCTGATACTCTTCTAAAACTTCCAGTTGAGTAACGTTGACTTTTGATATAACCTTGACAGGTTTCGTCACCTGTCTCTTGCCATCTTTTGTACGAATGACCTCACTAGTATAGACACCAGAATCGCTACCGTATAGCAATTTACGTCCACCATCATATGGTACCAGACAATTGATCTTGTTAGATATGTCAAACATACGCTCTCCAAGTGAGGTTAGGGTGAAAATGTCATTCTGCTCCAGCAATTTTCTCTGTTGTTGCTCTATAACTGATATTAAAGATTCCTGTGCAGAACCAGTGGCACCATAAAGGGTCAGTTCGTAACCACGACGTCCCACGTATGCAAACGAGATGGCATTCTTTGTCTCATTGAAACTTGGCTGTGAAAGAACATGCGCATAAGCACCAGGTCTCTTCATATACGGTCTTAGAGATGGCATTTCCTCGCTGCTGGAGACAAACAATAACGGAAGTGGTATTGGGCGTTGGAAAACTTTGTGCTGTTCCCTCTTATTGATAACTTTAACTCTCACAAAGAGTAACACATGGTCCAACAGATAGACTTGAATATCACCCTGACTATCCTTCTCTTGGTTCTTACGTTTCAACGGTGCCGTATACATGATCTTACGGTTATCAGCTCCCAATTTGAGATCAACGTATTCACCAGGTCTAAAGACCAGTCGCTGTTTCAGCAGGATTAAAGCATGGCGGTCTTCAGCTTTACCAACCTTTACGTTGATACGTTCCAAAAGTTTCAGGATCTGATCTGAAGCACGTTTCAAATCGGATAGATCAATTGAATCCTCCCTAGTGTTCTTGATAACATCTCTCAATAACAAGTTATAACGCACCGTACGCGTTGTGGCCTGTGACAAATATGAAGAAATGTTCAAACGGTTCGATTCGGGCAATCTCTCAGTTTCTTCGATAAATCTTTTGAACAACGGATTTGCAGCCTTTTGACGTTCGAGTTCGTATTTGGCAAAACATTGACCAGCATTGTACGATATGAATGGTTCAAAATACGGTATAAACTCCAAGAAGATATCTCCAATGTTCTCAACAACGGGTTTTAACTGTTGTCTTCTCACTAACGCATCACGGAATCTCGTGGCCACATTCAAGATATCAATAACGTTGAAAAACACTGTGCGGATGAACTTCTCACGTTCAGATACTGGGATGATGTTTGATTCACGTAATGGGCGTATCCAAAAATCACGAATGTATTCCAAGTTTCTGACAAATGTTCTCTCGGTTGATACAATCTCATAGATCAGTTCCTGGCGTTTAATTTCCTTCTTATCCAAAGATTCTAGTAACTTTTGAGGAACAGTGTGAGACCACAATTGTTTCTTCTCTTCGTCTTCGTGCAATGATGCGTGAGACTCGTTGCGTTTCAACCCGCCTTGTGGCTTCATATTGAGACGGGCCTGTTGTTCCAATCTTCTTGGGCAGGCAATAGAATAACAAAGTGAGTCGCGCGTGCAGGTTGGTGAGTAACACTCTGTTAACAGAGTGAAAACACCATTGACATTTGCTTCAAGATCTGGTGTTGACTGTTGTTCATTATCTGTTGTTGGGCCCAATGTTGTTGATAAGCTTTGTTGTGAGTCGCTGGCAAAAGAAGCAGAAGAACGATCCAACTGCGGGGATGAAACATAAACCTCATCAAATTGATAAACCTCCGAATTGGAATCTCTCAATCTGTGCTCATATGTAACATCATGGAAGAATTTCTGTGCATCAAGCGCTCTTCCAAGTAACAACGCGAGATTACGATCTGTTGTACGAATGATTAGCGCAATAGCATCAACAGCCTCAGAACCTGTAAACGAGTCACGGTATTCCAATCCACCAATGTTGTGCTGCGAGAGTACAATGACCTTTTTAAACATCGTTGCAACTCTCGATAACATTGCAGGATAAACTCTCGGAGGGCGAGAAGCCGTTGTAACCACTGTTCTTGAACTCATAGAATTTTGTGAAGAAACTCTCTTGGAACTTAAAGAAGTTGTGGAGCTTAGGCGACGAACTTTTGCAATGTTACTCAATGATCTTGATTTTAATCCCAATCCGGTATTTGAGCCGTTCGACATGTCAAACTTCTGAGGTATGATACGTCCACTTGAAGTCTTCTTTGCCAAGTTTTGAGGGTGGTGCTTTGAAGACTGGCTATGCATGTTATCAGATGAACGAAACGACGAAAGGAAAGTAGAGTTCAAAGACATGGTCCTCGTAGGACTTTGGGGGTTCCCGTTTGCTTGTGATTGAACTAATTGTTGCTGTTGTTGTGATGAGAATGAAGCCTGCGTTGTTAGTGAAGGAGAAGTCTTTGAATTTCTTGTCAACAAGTTTATCCCCTGTTGCAATATTGGTGAGCGAGTACTAGACTTTGTAGTTGGTGAAGCTCCACCAGAATACCTCTCTTGATGATGAGCCACATCTGTTGCAATTGGTTGTGGAATTCTCTTCACTGGATCTGTTATTCTACTTGGCATAATTTGAGGTGCACCTTGCAAACTAAAGGACCGCTGTTGTGGTTGTTGTTGTTGCTGCACTGGTACTTGAGCAGGTATCTGTGAAGCAACTTGTGGAGGTCCGATACTTGCAACTGGAGGTTTTGAAGCTTGTAACCCTATAGGCGGTGCAGTAGCTGGTTTCATATTTTGTTGCTGTGGTGGTAGTTGTCTCATTGGATTGACTTGTCCCTGTGATGACGCACCGTTATAACTAACCTGCTGTTGCAAATGCGGTGGCAATGGAACCTGCTGTTGTTGGTGCAAATTCTCCATCGATGATGGTGGTTTTCGGTGTATATTTGGTGGTGGTGATACATGCTGATGAAGTACCCTCTGCTGGTTATGCGGATGTTCATGAATGTGTTGATAGTGATGCTGTCCTTGTCCTTGTCTCTGTTCCTGTCTCTGTGTTTGTACATCAATCTGTTGAGCTTGTGCAGGATGCTGAAGTCGATATGCAGCTTGTTGCTGTGTGTGATATTGCTGTGGGCGCTGTTGGATCGGAACTTGTTGCTGTTGGAGTGGAGCTTGTTGAAATTGTTGCTGTCCCTGTCTCCCGTAGATTTGTTGCTGATTCAAGCTTGAAGAAGATGGATACCTTACAGCACCAGGCAAAACGTTTTCACGTTGGTGTTGGTGTTGTTGGTGTTGTTGGTGACGTTGTTGTTGATGATATTGTTGTTGTTGATGATACTGTTGATGATGTTGCTGTTGTTGCTGTTGTTGTTGCTGTTGTCTGCCGCCAGATTGTACACGGCCATCGTACTGTTGGTGACCATCATTGTTGATCACCGTCTCATTGAAAAATCTCTCATTGAAATTGTTCAGTGATTCGCCGACAACAAATGGGTCCAAAGTTGGCCTCGACCCACTGTTGCCATTGTTGATGTTTGCTGCGGTACTCGTCTGTCCTTGTTTCGGAGCCGTCTGTTGAGAAGCAGAGGTCCTCTGCGACTCGTCGCTCGGCCTCTTGTTGCCAAAGATGTCGCTGAAGAGGTCATCCCTTTCAAACCCAGACATCTTGTACTGTCACTTGTGTTTATGTCTTCTTGTCCAAAGTATAGCAACTCAGAGCCCACGCTCCTGATAAGCACCGTGATAGAAAGAAAGCGGTAACAGGAAAGAGCCAAATAAACAAGATGCACAAAGCAAAAAAACACTAGAAACAATGAGAATGCACCAATGGTAAAGAGACAGTAGTATAGTACAAGCGTTTATGTCAGCTTTATCAATGTTTTGTTCCTGTGTTGTGTTCTGTTTTGATTGTTGAGGGTTCCCCTGTGTACCTTTGGTATTTCACCGTTTTTGTGGTTTGTTTTTTCAATTCTGCCCTTTTCCTTGTTTCTTCAATTTTTCTCCTAATACGCACAGGCTAAAATTAGAGAGATGAAACGTTTGGCGCAGTGTAAACAGTGGGAAAGCACCAGGCCCAGCTGAGACGGGAAAAAAGTACAAGCTTGTGGGGCTCGTGGGCTCGCTACTAAGAAGTGGGCTTAATCTCAATTCCGTGCGGAAAGCGTAGGGGGAGAAAACCAGACGGAGCAGCGAGAGACGGCGAGGAGTTAACTGTGCTGGGGGAGAAAAGCGTCCATGTTATCTCCGTCAGCTACTACCGCACGAGGAGGGTTGTGTCTTGAGGGAAGAGAAGCTGTGATTGGCATTGGTTTGCTGAAATAATTCACTCTTTTGCTTCTTTCTACTTATATCCAGTGGTTAATTCGTATGGATTCAACAGAATTACGTCTACAATTGACTTAGAAGCCCTTCTTTGTCTAGTTCGGTGTCTTTTCGTGGGGCCCGTGATGGGTCAGGGTTTCCAGGACAATAATTTTTCCCGAAATCCCGATTTAGTGAACTGTTGCTTTTTTACACGTGAAGTGTTTGACAGAGCGCCGAGTTCCGGTGGTTCCCCCACCGAATCTCGGGTTCCCAAGGGGTGTTACTTAGTTAGTTACTTTTCTTTACCGGAAGCTCACCCCCTCCGTTGGTGTTCTCTTTTCTCTCAATTCGAGCCTGTCTTAGGTTAACAAGAGCAAAGCCAATATGCCAGTGAGTATCTACCAAGTCAATTGCAAATGTGCCTAGTTGGATTCCTAACAGCTCGGTGTGAAATAGGCATATCACTCAACGTTCCTTTCGGACCCAGCCTCGAATGAGAGACTAGTTGGTAACTTTTCCCTTTTACCTCTAAAGACCAAGTTCAGAGGCCCTGCGTACCCAAGCGACTCCGATTACGATATTATTGATGAAGTGTTGGACTTGTTCCGTGCAAACTCCTTTTTCAAGAACTTCGAAATCAAAGGGCCAGCCGACCGTGTGTTGATCTACGGAATTCTCTTTGTCTCTGATTGTCTATCCAAAATTTCACCATCTACTTCGGCTTCAGAGGCTACCAAGATTTTGACAAACTTATCGCTTGAAAACTTTGCCATCCCAGGTGACGGGAACTTCCCCTTGAACTCTTTGTACCAACCTCCAAGGGACAGATCTGAGCACGATTTACTCAAGGGCTACCTCACACAGTTCCGTCAAGAACTTAGTGCCAGGTTGATACAGCGAATCTACGTTGAGAGCCAATCCACTCCTAGTAAATACTGGCTTGCATTTACAAGAAGAAGATTCATGAACAAATCGTTATAATTTGGATTGGAACTCTAGCAGAATATTAAAAACAGAATAAACAGGTGGAGGAAGGAATTAGACAACGTTGGAACAGTTCCACTGTAGCCATTTCTAGCTAATTAGTAGAAGGCTTTGTAAAAGCTGATATCGTACTTAAGCGTGGTGTCCGGGTGTTTCTATAATGGTATAAACAAAGGCCATTTTTATGGGGGAAGGAGAAGAACACTTTTATCTTATTCTTGAAGCCTGCGGCAAATACAGGGCGTACACCGTTGAGCAATGTCAATGACTGGTAAACAGATCGATTCGATGATATCCGAAGTGGTATCAATTCAGGCAAATCAACAGCTCCTAATGCGTTCACCAAGCGTTCAATTCGCCAGATGCTGTAATACCACTAAGGATGTGTCTCTCCAATTGCCGGTGCCAGATACCGTTGGTCGAGGAAGGTCAAGCCATCAACTCATACGGAGCATGCTATACATGGGGCAGCTTATCCGTGGGAATAAGCAGGAACAGAAAAAGAGCGATTTCCTTGTGGAGTTGCTTGAAACGGTGACTTCATTGTTAGACAACCTCTATCTGGTTACAAAATTTGGAATCGGTAAGCAGTCCAAATGGCTACAGAATATCAGCTTACACGCCTCCAAGGTCTGGTTCGTCACACTCATATTAAGCTTGAGAAAGATCATACTCAACTTGCTCAGATTGGTTAGACTCAAAGCAAGTGTTTCCATGGAACTGGCCAAATGCCAAATGTGTGCGCCATCGAACAAGCTGAGGGACCTCATAATACAGAGATACAGAGATGAAATTGACGGGGTTTCCAAAGACATCAACTACGAATTGTTGGAATTACTTGGTACCCTCATCGACTTGGGATTCGTCTCCATCGAACTGTTCCGTTGGAGAGTCCATCCTGCGTTAGAGAAGCTGATGGGTGCAATAAGTGCACTGATGAGTATCCACAGACTCACAAGAAGATAATCACATACTCTTACACAGATAAACACTTCTCTTTATCACAACATTGTTGACTCTTTCCAACCTCAACTACCCCAGTAACACCCACCTAGAATCAACACCCGTACATCCAATGTGTCCCCTTACCGAAAGGTCTTTGGCGTGAAAAATTGTTGTCTCGGAGAACTTTTTTCACGGTCAAACATGTTTTCTGTTCATTTCACACAGTTCATTGTTTGTTATTGAGAGGACTACCACGTTAAAGCATGCTTCGTAGTGGTTTTGGAAGCTCCAAGCGACTCATGGCCACTGTTGCTGAGTCAACATCATCAGTTTCGGCCAAGTCAGCGGATAAAACATGGGCAAAGCCATCCAATTTGGAGAACGAGCCAAGGGCATTCAAGGCTCCGTCGAAGTACAGATCTTCACTGTTGAACGGTGTATCCAAAGAAGGTCCCCCAAGTTTGAGCTCCAAGAAGTTCAAACTGAGATATAACTCGCCATCTGGGCTACAAGATGCGTTTGACGTTTCGTATGCCTACCTGAGGGACAAGTCGCAGGAGTTGTATAACAAGATTGAATCCTCCAATGAGAACAAGACACAATTGGAGATTGAAGCCCAGATTAACAACCCAGAAGTTAGATTCAACTTTGCCTACAACGACAAGCTGGAGAACGACCCACAATATATTGACTATGAACAACCTGTGTATCGTGAATTGCTGAAACAAGACTGGGAATCGAAGGATCAGATGTTGTTGATGCAGAGATTGGAACAACTCCACGCCATACCGGACACTTTGCCAACTTTTGAGCCAAAGGTTCCTGTTTCTCTGAAATTTTTGAACCATACAACTGTCAATCGTTGGATTGAACCAGGTACCGTTCTGTCATCGAATGTGACTGCGTACCCACCTTCTATAAAGATTCAAGAGTTGGAACAAGTTGACACCAAGACCCAACTGTACACTGTGCTGATTGTGAACCCTGACGTTGCTGATATCGCAAACAACACGTACAAGACACAAATCTCATGGGGGTTGTCAAACGTGAAGCTGGAATATAACGACAACTTCATCACTCCGAGACGTTTGCTTGAAGATGACGGTTCCATTAACGAACTCATTGACTACTTACCACCTGTTCCTGAGAAGAACCTGCCAACACAGAGATTCGTTGTGTGGGTCTTTAGACAACCTGCACCAATCAACGTCAAATTGACTGAACGTGACTTCAACATTAGGGAATTCGTCAAGGTGAACTCGTTGAATGCTGTTGGTGCGCACATGTGGAGATCAACATGGGATCTGAATGTTTCGAAAGTACGTGAGCTATACGGGCTACCAAAGGGTACCGTCTTCCACAAAGTGAGAGGTGAGAAAAGAATGAAGTAAAGACTATACTATATGAACCCTTGTATATACACACACTAGTATAAGTGTTTTTTTGTTTTGTTCTTAGATATAACATAAGCCATTTACTCTTGATGAAATCCCGTGTGTAGCAGTACCTCCATCTTTTGATAACAGCAATAATAATAATAACGACGGTGACGATCCTGCTTATTTCTAATAACGGTATATGTGAAGGTTATAGAGAAATGTCAAAGCAATCTTCACCTCAAAATGGAATATAAACAAATAAAGTAAGTCTCTATACACCTGGTCAATCCTTCATGCCCTCTCCTTCTGATGTCTCTACGTATCTCAGTTGTCCGCGGTCACACTCAAGACTCCAGCTTCTCAACAGCAGAGAGGATCACCTTAGCAAAGTCCAACTCCTTGTCATCAAAGTTAACCTCCTTGATATCGGTAGAAGCGGCGGTCTTAGCCTCTGGCTTCTTGTGCAACTCGGCGTACTTGGCCTTGGCCTCAGCAATCAACGCAACCTGAGCGTTGTAGGCCTTCTGCTCTTCAGCTTTAGCAGCAGCTGACTTCAATTGGGAAGTGTGGTAAGCACCGTAAACGATACCGGCAGCCAAAGCGGTGTATCTAAAGACCTAATCTCATGGTTAGTACTCGAGCCTCTGCCAGCCTGATCGACAATGGCACACGTACGTTAACAGTTGACATTGTTGATGTTCTTGTTGTTGTGGTTTCCCTGTCTGTTCTTTCAGATTTGTTTACCCAAACGTTCAATTTCCAGACACAAAAAAAAACCCACACAGGCCGAGTTGGTGTTTCCTCGGTGGTGGAGTTTTTTCGCTCTGTTTGTGGTTCGCCGTCTGAGCGGATTCTGATTGGCTGGTGTCCGGGTGTGGCAGGGTAACCAGGAGGCAGGTACTGTGTTTCTGAATGCGGTGTATTTCCTAATGTGGGCTTTAAATCGTATTTATATAGTGTGCATACTTACACATACATTTTTGGGACTTTTTAGCCGAGATTCCATAATGGTGAATTAATTTTTTTTGTTTCTTTTCTTTCCTTTGATTATGTCTTGAGAGGCTCATCTTGAGAGGCTCATCTCATCTTCTGGTTCTTCATTGCATTACGTATCATGTTCATCTCATCCATCAGAAGAAGTAAGTTCATCGTGCTTGTGATTCTAATAAGTCTAACTACTCACATATTACTCAACACAGCTGTTGTCAAGACAAAGGTGATTAGACCTCGTCACTTTTCGTCTTCCACGTCATCGTCGTCATCCTCCTCGTCCTCCTCGAGCTTACACGTGGACTCATTCCCATTCGAAGCATCTGTTGCATTCCAGCCGAAGGAGAGAGAGGAGAATAACAGGATGATGCGTAGACATATGAAGGTGCAAAGAGTAGAGTCTCCGTCTGGTGAGGATAACTACTTCATAGCCAAAGCTGGTAGTAAACTTGCATGTGGTGTTGCAGATGGTGTTGGTGGTTGGGCCGAGTTGGGGTACGATTCCAGTGCGATATCCCGAGAACTGTGCAATTCTATGAAGGAGTCATTCACCAAAGGTGACCATCTATCACCTGTTCAGCTCTTGAACCATGCATTCGATAAGATTCAAAATGAGGATATCGTCAAAGTTGGAGGCACCACTGCTTGCCTGGGGATCTTTGAAAAGAACACTCTGAAAGTGGCCAATTTGGGGGACTCTTGGTGTGGTGTGTTCAGACAGGGCTCATTGATTGCCGAGACCAAGGTTCAGACACATGGCTTCAACACTCCATATCAGTTGGCGATCATTCCAAATGAGATAAAAACACAGAATAAGGGCTCACGGTTCATCATGGACCAACCGGACGACGCCGACGAATATGAATTCAACGTTGTAAAAGACGATATAGTGATATTTGCCACTGACGGTGTCATTGATAACATTGACGTTAAGGACATTGAACTGTACTTAAAGGACAACGAAAAGACGCCATTGGAAGAGTTGTCGTCCAAGTTTGTACAGAACGTTTATACGTTGAGTTTAGACGAGAACTTCCCCTCTGTATTCTCTCAAGAGTTATCACAATTAACTGGGCAGTTCTATTCTGGTGGTAAGGAGGATGACATTACAGTGGTTATGGTAAAAGTTCAATAATGACCATCAGTTTATAATCTTATACAATACTGGTGCGGATTATCAATCATCATAGTTCGATTTCAAGATGTAATTGTTCAACTTCATCTTCTCTGTTCTTCTTCTGGAGTCTTCATTGGCAACGTTGGTGGCAATTCTGGAGTCCATTGGAACTGACAAGTTTCGAGTCCCCATTGATTTATCGTTCTTGGTGATCAGTGTAAATGTAACTTTATCAGAATTTGATGGTTTAGGTGGTGTTGTCGATGAAATAGAAATGTTCTGAGGAATGTCAATCTTCGCTCTATCTGCCTTATTGGCGTGCATGCTTTCAAACACCATCTTCTTAAATTCCCTTTCAAGGTCTTGCTCCAGTTTGAGCTCTTCCTCTTCTCTTAATTTGGCTTCATACGCTTCGTAGCTAAGCTTGCCTTCGTTTCCTTCAGAGCCGGCTTCCTCTATCGACCCAACAGATTCGTTATCAACCACATCTCCCAATTCATCAAGATCTTCTTCCTCCTCATCATCGTCGTCCTCCTCCTCCTCCTCCTCATCTTCATCGTCTTCGTCGTCGTCGTCGTCGTCGTCATCTTCATCTTCATCCTCCTCCTCATCATCGTCATCATCATCTTCTTCTTCTTCGATTTGTAAGTCGACTCCACCACCTTCTGAGACGAAATTTCTTGCCTCCACTGCTTTACTCAACTTATCAATACATTCAACCAAAGAATCGCCCTTAACAAATTGGAAGCTCTTATAACATCTCATGAGTTTCATTTCGGTGTCCTTTGGCAACGGCATATCCTTTGTCCATGTGTAATAATCCAAAAAGTGTAGGAAGAGTGTGAAAGCATCAATATTACGTTTGGTAGGTTCAAGCTCTTGTAACATACAAGTAACAAGCGTTATGCGGATATAATCATCTGGTGGATCTAATTCAACAAAGACACCAGGCACAGGGTTGTTCATTGGATGTCCAAACGTCAATATCTTAAATAACAGATCGTTCAAAGTCTCCAATTTAATTATACCACAGTTTAACATCATGGCCATATATGTGCACTGAGCAACCCTGGTTCTATTGAACTTATAGTCATTGATCTCCATATCCCTAACGATATTCTCCAAAACTTGATCAATGATGATGGTTTTCAATCCACTTGGGACGATTCTGGTGACTCTTGTCAATGGTAAAATGTTCTCATACTTGACCTTTTCAGGTTTGGAGAGTAGTTTAAGCAATGTCTCAAAGATCTTTTCATCTTGCAGGTTGGCATTCTTTATTATTTGTGAAACCTTTGAAATTGTCCGAACATTGAGCTCATTTCTAATAAGATGCTTCAAGAACAGCTGCTGCGGTGTATACACCTTGGTATTTTGCTTCTGTAAGGTCTTCACCGCCGGTGGTCTCAGTATTACAAACAGGTTGGCAATTGACATCTTCGTGGCAGAGGATAATGAAGAGTCCATCCTTTTATCCTCCAACAGCTTTATCATATCGTTCATCAACTTGGTGTGTGTGTATAGTAGATACTTCCCAGAAAGTTCAAAGAAGATGTTGAGAATATCAACGTTATGTGGGGTGTTCAAGGACAATATCAATGATCTAATCTTGTGAAAGATTAGGTACTGTGGTATTAGATCGAATTTCATCATCTCTGAGAAGAACATTATGTTTCTAACATTCAACCCGTTACGGTAAATCTGAGACCTAAAGCCTTTATCCAGGAAGTCAACAACTTCATCAATGAAAGGCTGTAGAAATACTTGATTGGACTTCAAGAATCTAGAATAAGTTTTCAAGTTTGACAGCTCCTGGCTCGTTGTAATGTGCTTTGACAGTCTTTTCAGCGAGGCCTTATTAGTCAGTTTAAACTCCCAAAACATCATTACACATTCATCAACTTCCTTTAAGGATGAGGAGGTTTCCAGCTTGGTCAAGAACTCGGTCATCAGCTCTCCCTTCTCTACGCCTTTATCGTCTTTAGCACCATCGATATAATCCTGTGGTATTTCTGGGAAAGACTGATAGAATTTCCTTTCATCCTCGTTCGCCCAAACCCCATCAGCCTTTGCCAGCACTGTTGCCTCGTCTTCTTCTTGCTCTCCCGTTTCAACCTCTGGGAACTCTGGTGGTGTTACTTTCAACAAAGGACATAGGATGTCCACTGCAGATTTATAAACTTCAAACAGTTCATTCAATTCTTTCCCTCTTTGTTCAACCTCTTCAAGCATCTTACCTGTTCTTATCTCAGTCTTGAACTTCTTCTTGTCATGATGATATATTCTTCTGTTTAGTTCTTCTGTTCTCTCGACTGCCTTGGACGTATACGAACACATCAACTGTCTCAGAGCATCATCACCTTCAATTATAGAGATAAACCTCTTTGTGAAGACAGTTGCAATGGACAAAGTCTTGTTCATCTTATAAGACAGAATCTCCTTCATTATTGCAACCAAGAGGCCGTCTGATGATCTCTTGGCCATGAAGCCTGGAACGTCAGAGGCATCGTCTGCGCTTCTAAATATGCCCAAGTCATAACACTCTGTAATCACTCTCAGGACACATTTCACCTGGGAGATTCTCTCCTTGTCCTCCGCATCAGAGATATCATCCTTCGGGGTCTTGAGCCTCTCCAGGAGCTTTGTCAGCAGTAGTGGGGTGAAGTCCGAGCAGAACCTTCTATGAAACAAGCCCACCACCTCCACTGCAGCATTGGTATCTTGTACTTTGCATGATGATAGTCCTTCATCCATGGAGATCACCAGCTCCTCGTGGTACTTCTTCAATGACAGGGCATTGGCATCATTGATCACAGACTTCAGCTGATCTCTTGTCAGTGAGGTACGCAGCTTCTTAACAAAGGCTGAATTCTTCTTCATCGAGGAGTCTTGCGATTCTGGCTCGAAGAGCTCGCCGTTCCACGCCTTTTCGTTCAGGATCCGTAGTTCATCTCTCGATCTGTTCTTGCCAGCAATGCTGTTTATTAGTTTCCAGCTTCAATTGAACTCGTCGTATCACTCACATCTTCCATCTCGTTGTAGTTCTCTATGGTCTGTTCTTCGTTGTGAGGCCATCGATGTGTTCAATGGGAAATAGAAAATTTTCTGTTCCCCCGAGGTTGGACACATATCGTCAGCCTACGAACAAGGGGGGCATCGCAGGCTGAGAGATAAGGGGAGATTCCCGAGGACAATGAAAAGAGGAAGAATCATTGGTGCTAAGGAAATCGACGACAGTGCAAGTACTGATTCAATTGACAATGTCGAAGTTGTGGAGTCTGTGGAGTTACAATCGCCGTTTAAAGCAGATGTATTAATACCCAATGATGGACACAACACCCTGTCTATAGCTGGTGATAAGAAGGCGAAAGAGGCTGAAATGGAAGATGTCTCGTGTCCCATTTGCTCGGAGAAGATGCTCTCGTTGTTACAATTGAACAGACACTTGGACGACGAACATGGGTTTGGTGATAATGGCACCCCGACACCTATGAAGACCATGCCGAGAACCAATACACCATCACCGTTGTTAACTACACCTAACGAGGAGTTAAGGTCGTGGTTAAAGAAGACAAATGAGGTCAGATCAAAGATCCAGACTGCACTACCGAGAAAGTTTGTGAATTTGGACTTGTTTGACTCCTCGAACAACTCCTTCTCCATGAGTACGGAGCCTAGTGGACAGCCATCTACTAATACAACAACATCGACGAATCAGCCAGAGATCACAGTTAAGAGATCACACTGGCAGAGGCCCACTGGTCGTGATAAGTGTACTGAGTGTCACAAGACTCTGAACATCAAGAATGGACTAGTGAATTGTCGTAAATGCGGACTATTGTTCTGTAATTCACATTCAGATTTCAAGGTTAAACTGAACGAAAATGCACAGTACGACCATGAAGGAGTTTGGAGCAGGTGCTGTACCAACTGTTTCCAAGGTAAGCCTGGTTATAACGATTACGGTCTTTATGAAGACTTGACTAAAAGGTTTACCACTCTACGACAGAAGAAAGTTGACGAGAGAGATATGCTTCAAAACAAATTGGAGAAAAGAGTTATCAACGTGTCTACAATGCTCAACAAGATAGATAGAGAGTACCACTCTACTGAATTTAACAGCAACTTCCTCAATTTCAGAATCAACAGTAAGAAGAGAGAAGTGGAACAACAATTGGTCAATTGGGAAGATGGTTCTCATGTCTTGAACTGCTTTATATGCCTGCAACAGTTTTCGTTTACTTTAAGGAAACACCACTGTCGTCTGTGTGGTCGTGTTGTTTGTGGGGATAATCAAACCCAGTGCTCTATGGAGATCCCTGTTGAACACTTGACCACGCTATTGGACGTTCCAAAGGTGAACAACCAATCACTGATTCGAATGTGCAAAGAATGTAAAGATTGTCTGTTCCAAAAGAGGAACTTCCAACGGGACTTAAAGAGTCCATTGACTCCTTTGTTACAAAAAGTTGATAATCAACAATCCATTAAGAAAGCTATCTTAGTGTTGATGCCCAGGTTTGAAGATATCTTAAAGAGGTTGCAGACTGACCAAAACAAATCCAAATCGTTGACTCAGGAGGCTTCAAGGCTAAGAAAACGATTGGTGGACTCCTTTGCATCGTTTGATAAGTTCACAAAGGAAATCATTGCACTGGAAGGGCTCTCAAAAGACGAAGAGCTGTTACAACATGCCATCAAAGTGGAAAGTGCAACGTTCATTCAGGAGAACATGGCACCTTTAAAACAACTACCTCAGCTACTACACCAATTGGAAGCTAATTCGAATAATAAAGGCATGTCCAAGCCTAAATACACAAGGGAACAGGTTACAATGATTAAACAACGTCGTCAAGAGTTGATGGTTTTACAAGAACAAAGGTTTTTAGTTGAAGAGATGGTTTCCAATTGTAAAAAACAGAGGAAATTTGACGAATTACCAATGCTCCAGGACAATCTCAAAGAACTGAATGGACAGATCGAACAAGTACAGAATACATTAGGCGAAGAGGGGTTTTAGAGAGATATAAGTAACGATTAAAAATGACATTATCTGCCTATGTAGGGTATGTTAAGTGGTGGTGTCCGGATGCTCTTGATATACAACGAAACATCCGGACATCAACAATACTATTGGAATGACACTAATTCTTGGAATAATACTAACAGAAGTAGCAATTCGGTCACTAAATCCCCATAGGGTGTACCAGTCTGTAGCTAGCAAAGCGACTAAGAGATCCACTAAATATTAGCGTGCAATTTTTAGTACTTTTTGATATATAACCATTCAAATTTGTCAAAAAAGCACTTCTTTGTTGATGTCTTAACAGAATACAAAATTAGAAAACCATCGGAGAACCAAACTGTAGAACCAATCTATATCATCTTATATATTGGCTCCTACGTTGATTAGATGCGATGGTTCTTCCAAAAGAACACGCCCCTTTTCAATTGGTTTTATTCGTTTTTTTTAATTCTGGTTCTTTCATTACCCCAGAAATCGTAAAACGTAAGGAAACCTCTACTTGGTGAATATCACGTTGGATCCAATTATTGCTGAATATTCAGGGAAAACGAATAAGATTCGCTCTTTACCATCTCTAGGGGTTTATAGTAGTGGTGGCTTGAGTGGTGGAGCTTATTTAATGACCAACAACGGCCGCTTATTCCATAGAGTTGATATCATAATACCTCAAGGGAATCAACAGTAACATTCCAATATCAACACCAGAAAGCCTTGCAGCCAGATCTACGGAATATTACTCTACAAACCTGAGAAACCCTTTAGCCATCGAATTCACCAGTCTCAAGTCAATCTTTTGTCAATGAAGAAGCCGGGCATAAAGCCCAATACTCGACGGGCCTCCCAGTGCAAGTTGATCGCGGAGCCACCGCAGCATCAAAGATAATATTATATAATCTTGATGATATCATATAATTATACAATCTTTTACATACTGGTACCAGTTTCAATGGCAGATGGTGTGCTATCTCACTATATGAAACTTAACAATGGATTGTCCATTGGCCAATGATTGGATTGGTACAATCAGCGAGGCTTATCCTAGTTGTGTGAATTGTTGATGTTTTGCGTGTTGATCGAAAGACTCCTGTCAAATTTTAACCCGAGATCAGAAAGTTTCTCGAGGATTAATCATCAACACAGCATTGAAGATTGGCCGGCCTGTCCCATTGTATTCACCACAGGTGCCCAAGAGCTTCAGGGCCATCAGAAGGACAAATGAGCATAAGAGAGCGAGACCAACAACTGGGTCTTTTGAGGGCGTTCCTCACGTCATCGAGGGAAACTGCACCTAATTCATTAATCCTCCAAGGTCCAACATCAACGGGGAAGAGCATCGTGTTGAAACAGGTATTGGACCAATTGCCAGTGAAGTTCAGCATTATACACTGTGATGAGTGTGTGTCGTATAAAATATTGTGGAAGAAAATCCTCCAGAGTGTTCAGTTGGACTCTGGTTTGATACAGAAGGACGAACTGTCGTATGATGCGTTGGCAACTACCAACTTCCAGACTTTTATCAAACAGATGAGCGTGTTTCTCGAGGACTACCACTACGACGAACTACATTACGTTGTGCTGGATCGAAGCGATCAGATCATGGACGATATCGAAGTACTGTTCAAGAACTTTATCAAACTTCAGGAGGTTTCACCGTTGAAGAACTTGAGTTTCATCTTTGTCACTAGGACCATACCAAGCTGTATAACCACGAGCTCAACGCCTGTGATTATCTTCCCGAGCTATTCAGGTGACGAACTGATAAGAATTTTGGGCTCAGCTCCTTTATGTCGATTCAACGTGGAAGTTGAAGGGAAGGTACTGGAGAGATTTTGGAAGCAATACGTCAAACTGGTCGTGGAGATGTACTCTTCTTATACAAACAATATAATGGTGCTAAAGCTGATATTGACGAGGATATGGCCTATATTTGTACAGCCAATTGAGGAAGGAGAGCTGAAGCCAAATGAGTTTCTTACTTTATACAGAAGAAACTACAAAGCTATCGGCTCTGACTACGTTATATCTTCTTCGCTGGATACTGAATGGGATGACGAGGAAAATGAGCACCAGTCATCGAATCTTCCGACTATTTCGAAGTATATCTTGATCTCGACGTATATCGCCTCTTATAGTGAATCCAAAAGCGATTGGACAATGTTTTCAAGACTCAAGGACTATCACAGGAAGAAAACGTTTAGAAGATCTACTAGATCTTCCAATAGAGTCAATCAAAGGTTGCTGGATGCAAGCTATTTCGACTTGGAGAGGGCATTGGCCATACTACAGGCAATATACACGATCGAGACGGGGTCAAATCTTCACACGGACATAGATATCATGACTCAAGTGGCCAATTTATCATCGATGAAGCTGCTGTTAAAGTCTAATAACAACGACTTTATATCTGCAAAGACTAAGTGGAAGATTAACTGTTCTTTTGAATACGTTAAATCACTGGCTGATGATTTGAACTTCCCAATAGACCACTATTTAACAGAATGAATCAATCTGGCTGATATGAACAAACTCATTTGAACCTGTCCGGATCACTTCAACTCGATCTTGGAAGTAGTTATCTTTCCAATATCCCATCTCACTTGATGTATATGGTCCATGGATTGTTGAATCTCCCACCCATCTAAACTTCCAAATCTTGGGTTCTTCAGGAGTGATATCTTCAGTCTTTGGCTTCACGTAGGCCCTCCCGGTCTCTTGTCTATACAATAGCATCAGTTCTTCCCTTTCAAGTTCATATATGTTCTTGAATCCTTGTTCCATCAAAGACTCACAGTAGTCTGTAATGTTAGCGACGGATATCTGTCTCTCATGTTCCTTCGATTTCTCTTCTTCGGTTAACTCGACTTTTTTATTGTTTTTCCGTTTCTTCTTGGGCTGTTGTTTGTTAACTCTTTGTAATGCTTCCATTGGTGATTCAACAGGCTTCAACATTCCAATGAGGTTGAATAGCAATTTTTCAGCGGTATTTTCAGGGTCTTCAGCCTTTATCTTCCTCTGTTGTTCCAATCTTTCATCCTGTGCTTCCTTAGCTAGTTTAGCCCTTCTTATATCATCCTTCTTGAAAGCAGAGAGCTCATCGTCCTCTTGGTTGGTCTCTGTGTGCATCTCAATGTATTCACCAGTTGATGTGAATGTACCTTCTTGCATCTCCTTTCTCAAGTCGAAGGAGTCCATCTTTGGTTCACCATCACCTTCCGATTCATCATCATCAGTTGCACCGGTTTTATTATAGCTTTCATTGGATTGTATCATATTTTCCTTCTCAAACTGATCCATATCCATCATTTTAATCTGATTCTTTGTTGTCTTCGCTTCAGCTTCTTCTTCATCATCGTCCGAGAACATATCACTGTCGTTATCTTCTTCCTTAGCCTCATCTTCTTTCCCCTCAGCCTTATCGTCCTCTGAACCAACATCAGAGTCAAAAGGTGCGTCGTTCTCTGAGTCTTCATCATAGCCAGCAGCATCGACATTCCTCTTCTTTCTTCTCCTTGTGTTCACGTCAAAGTCCTCAGCTTCGCTACTATCTTCGTCATTCTGCCGTACGTTCTTTAGTCTGAGAGGATTGTTCGGGTCGAATTCGGCACTCATTGTCTAGGTGTCAATAGCTCTTGGTTCATATTTCAAGAAGAAGTTACGATGAAGCACCAAGATTGATGTGGTGATTTTAAGGCGGTTAATAAAATGTCACGTGAGCTGTCATGTGATGTAGTATGTGTCCTCAACCGGCTGGACGATACGACGCGCATATAGGATATACGCATTAATTTTGAAGTTGATTATGGGTTTGAAATAAGGTAGTGGTAGTTCTCTGGCTCGTTATAATTGTATATAAAAGGAGCTGTGGAAGCTCATTTTATGGTTGTGCTGGTGTCCATTAACCTGAGGGAGGTATGACGGCGCGTGGATTTATGTAGTCATTGGAACTTCAGCTGTTCACTATTACTTTAAAAGGTCATAATGCCTGATTTATGTATACAGCTTATTCAGTGATTGAAATGGTTGGTGAAGTAGTAGGGAACTTCTAGAATCGTATACCTAGCAAGTGAGTCTATGCAGTCCTAGATGGTGTATAGGACTATAAAGAGGCTCTATTTTGTTTGATCAGGCGAATTTGGGTAATATTCAAGACATTATGGGCATAAACAGCGTGATCTAAGCTTAGATGTTTTACAGAAGATGAAGAGACATCCTCACAAGAGGGCGAGAAGAACAGCTCCAACGTTGATAGCGGAGAAGGCAGTCTTCAGGGCCCCGTTGTCGTAAGTGGAGATTGTTGGAGACGTTGTGGTTTCCTCTGCGGATGTTTCAACGGTGGTTTCTTCAGCAGTGGTTTTGTCAGCAGTGGTTTCTTCAGCGGATGTTTCAACGGTGGTTTCTTCTGTAGTAACTGTTCCAGATGTAGCCTCTCCAGAAGTAGTCTTTTCAGCGGTGGCCGTTTGAGAAGCAGTCTCCTCAGAAGTAGTCTCTTCAGCAGTGGTTTCTTCAGCAGTGGTTTCTTCAGCAGTGGTTTCTTCAGCAGTGGTTTCTTCAGCAGTAGTCTCTTCAGCAGTAGTCTCCTCAGCAGTGGTTTCGCTGGCAGTGACTGTCGCAGAAGTAGTCTCCTCAGCAGTGGTCTCATCAGCAGTGGTACTTGTAGAGGATGCATCGTAATCTGCAACTGCACTACCATCAGACCCTTGGGCTTTGATTTTAACCGGAATCATATCAGATCTCTTTGCAGCAGCATTGATAGAACCCAAAACATAACCATCGTCGTCACCATTCGGAACGGCATGGAAATCAGAACCATACAGCTTCAAATACCCATCAACAATTGTAAATGGCTCTGCAACAATCCACGAGCTCGACTGTGCTTCGGCTGATAAATAGTTCTTACCAATACCCATAGTCTTTCCATCAACAATAAATTGACCTTGATCGTCAATATACCCTGAAAGAGAGCCTGAATCCTCATTCAGATCAACACGTGTGTTTTCACCGATTTTTGGCTCATAGCCGTCGATAGCAGTTCCACTAGCGTCAAGCTTCCATGTGAAAGTCACACTGTCTCCGAAAACAGTGTTGAGAAGAATCACAAGAGTTGAGACACGGTTAATAAAGATCATTTTGTTTAGCGAGCGAATTAAAGTAGATACTACACTAATGTCGTCATATCGAAATGTTACTGAGGATAATCGTATCTGTTTATATACCTTTTGGGTCACAAGGAACCCACGGACCCACCAAGCGAGAAAAAGGCAGACAGTACTCTTCAGTACCAGATCGTTCCCTTATTTGCTCGTTTTACGATCATTGAGATCTTCTTCAAATTGGGGAAAAAGTGCTCAAACACGGTTTTTCTTTGTTTCTTCTTTGGGAGACGTACATGGCTGTATAGACCAAGCCAATAACATGTTTGTATCCGCGTAACTCTGCTTCCTCTTGTATGTCTTGCATGCTAAAACCTCAAAAAATTTGCTCAAGTTGCTTAAGATCAGTGCTTTTGAAGACACCAACGATGCAGACTCCCCAAATTATGTAGCCTTCTTGCATTAGACAACCCAATATTGAAAGCCACACGGCCCATAATATTAACCTTCAGCAAGAGGAAGAATGTGAATTTACTCTCATTGAAAAAGCATACATGTATTATTTGATTGTAAAAGAGTACTATAAGACAAACGTCCCAAACCAACAAAAAACTTTTCAGTTCAAGCCCATAGAACGGTGAGCCATTTCCATCCCTTAAGTGGCTCTGCAGGAGGCTCTGGGTTATCCTCAACATCTCTGAAAAGAATCTCCAATTGCACTTCGTGTGGTCTCCAAAATCTAGTACCTTTGATTATTTTCCAACCAAAGTAGAGCACTATAGAGAGTGGAATGACAAAGTAGGATGAGAATAGAGAGCTGACCTGGAATTGGCCATGGACAAAGGTCTTAAATCCACCAGTAAAGAGGAACAAGACACAGAAGAATCCAGATATCCAAGCAGCATAAGGTGTATAGCGCCACGTATGTGGTAGTCTGGATCTTGGAATACCCTGGGCCTTCATGGCTCTTGTCATAAAGATATGGTTAGCTGAAATTAACGTCCAATCCCAGAGTAACTTGGCCGATGTCAACGATTGGAACCAATTAAACACGTTTGCAGCAGAATCTGACAGGTTCATGTATGCCAAAGGCAGAAAGATGGCAATGAAAAGAGTGCCAACCCATGGAACACCTTGCTTAGTGGTTTTAACAAAGATCTTTGGGGCCTGTCCTTTGACAGCAAGGGCGAACAATGTTCTTGCACCAGCCATCAGTCCCAGATTGGCAGCAGAGAAAGCTGAGGTTAAGACAGCAGCGTTGATGATATGTGGAAGAACCTTTATACCGGCACTGTTAATGGCAACAACGAATGGGGACGAAGAAGCATTACCCGAACTATTGGCAATAAGCGGATTGTTGTATGGAACAATCAAGGTGAGACAGAAAATTGTGGTAATCATAAGCACCGTGACTCTATAGAACACTCTCTTACATGCAGTAAAGATGGCTCTTCTTGGGTACTTAACCTCTGCAGCTAGAGTAGGTGCACTTTGGACACCACCAAAGGAGTACACAGTACCAGACAATGCTTTCCAAAAGCCTGCAAACTTACCCAACGAGCCTGTCGTAAGATACTCTGCAAAAGCACCTGGGTTTCTCCAATATTGGAACCCAATTGGCTGACCATTTGGACCACCACCGGCAGTGATAACAATCGAAATGATAATAAGACCCACAAGCAAAAGCATCTTGATGATTGCAAAAGTAAACTCGATTTCACCGTAGTATCTAATCTTGAGGAAGTTACAAAAGACAATAAGCACAATGACGATACTGATCCAGATGGCCTCTGAGAGATCAGTCCAGTAGGATACAATCAGAGCTGTTGCACTGACTTCACCGGGCAAAATCGAACTCCACACACCCATCCAGCCAGAAACGAAGCCAAGAGCTGGGTCGATGAACTGCTCAGCATGACGAAGTGAAGCAGAAGCAGTTGGCATAAGAGAGGCACACTCTGCAATACACATCTGATTGAGACCAACAACGATGGCGATGACGACATATGCAATAAAACACCCGGCAGGACCAGCTGTAGCTAAGACACCTCCTGAGGAGAGAAAAATACCGGTACCGAAAGTTCCCACAAGGGCAATCATGGCAATATGACGTTGTGTAAGACCAACTTCAAGCTGAGCACGGTCGATGTCAAACACGTTGAGCTCTGTATCTTGCTCATTTTCCGAAGAGACATCCTCGGCCTCATGAACTTTGGAAAAGCCCTTCTCAGCAATGGAGACTGAATCAGTATCAGCTCGACGAATGTGATCTACCGACACATTTTCTGGAGAGTATGCTTTTAATCCTCGATCTGAAGAAGACATGTTTTGATGTAGCACATTCTCTTCGTCAGCTCCAATATCAAACAGTTGGAGGAAAGTGCCGCTTTATACCAGAACCTAATCCTCATCTTTTCCTTCCTATTCTCAACTGTGATGAACCACAACAGTCATTTCTGAACAACATGGCTTATCATCCGACAGTGTGGTTCCCCCAGAATCGGTTAAATGACGATGGTGTATCGATAGATCTACAAATTGTGGTGGTGGACGCATTGTATTATGCACAATATGCTCCTTATGCGTCTTATCCGCCACCACTACCTAAATAGGTGAACAAGACGCTGGCAGAGCAGACACACCCGAACCACAGTTTCAGTTCATAAGGTCCAAAAGGTGGCCGAGAGAACTACACATTCCGACCAAAGATGCCGTATGAAACTTGTCGGAGTAGGAAAGGCTTCAGCTCTTTTGACAGGTTTCTTAGCAATTATTTGACTTTAAGATTCACACAGTGCGTAGGTGTGGTAATTGTGTAAATTAGTGCCGTCTACACAGCTTTCACGCCGGTGTCGAGTATTCCACTATACGATCAATTAGGCCGAGCCTCAATAATACAGCTCATGGTGTTCTTTGAGGAAGATAACCGACACCACCAGTGTTAGAATTGAGCCCACGAATGGGATGTACATAAAGAATTTTGGCCAAAAGTCCACAGTGTGCGAGTAAATCTGCAGGAAAGTCACCGGCAGTATGAGCATGGCAAGGTGTCTTACAAGTGCCATTGCGCCAAACATCTCCCCACTGGTATTCTTGGAACTGTATTTGATTATTGAGCTTTGTATTGTCGGAGAAACCATCCCACTGAGCGATTGTAACAGTGCGGAAAGGTAGACTGCTGTGGAGCTATCCCACACAATGAGCAGTAGACTTGATAGAAATACAAAGACAAGGGAGCTGACAATGCACGCTTTGTCCATTTTGTCAAGCGAGTCGCTCTTTTGCTCCATGTGAAAGACCTTTTGCAGTGTCTTTAAGAACAGCGGAGCAACGAGAAGCAGAACGCCTGCTCTACCGAAGCCACTTATAGACATATAGTAGCCAATCTCAACCGAGGTCCATTTGAATTGCAAAACTGTGTAAAGCGTGATAACACTCATTGTTCCTGCAGTTGCAGCCATATTGGCAAGGTCAACAAATATAAGTGTCAAGACATTGATTCTCGGAACCAAGGACCCAGAAGGTGACCTTTCAAGCCATAATCTCTTCATAGGTTTGAAAAATGAGATGAAACTGTAGTACAGTGATAAAGCTGCGTTCACGATTTTGTTCTCGTGGTACATAACAGCTCCAGACTTGTTTGCAATCTCCTGGTGTGCTGAAATCATGGCTTCTGGGTGTCTTGTCTCAGCCATGGTAAACATCAAGATCAAGGAGGCCAACCCAGTGAGAAAAGAGATATACAGCACAACTTTATTGTCACCATCTGAAATCTTAACAGCTGCAGAACCTATGAGAGGACCCAAACCAAGCATCAGATAAACGCAACTCATCATCCAACTAATAGATATGGTTCTTTTCTCATCAGTGACGATATCGGTCAGATAACTGTTTCCTGTTGATATCAACGTCATTATCCCACCACCAAAGTGGCCTATTGAGCAAACAAGCACCATCAAGAACTTGTTATAGCCACCATACCACACAAAATATGCAATCATACACAGTGTTTGGAATGAGTTTAGCAGACCCAGCATTCTGAGCACATAGACACGTCCATGGATATCACTCATCTGTCCAAGTTTACCACTCACAAAGAATCCTAAGAGTCCAGAAATCAACGAGAGGAAGCTCTGAATGTTGGAGAGCACTTGTTGTGAGTTTGGGTTTTTACAGTCAGACCCCTGGTCCGGCGTACTACCACCCATATCCATTCTCTTAACCATCATCAAGAAACGTCCAACATCACGCATGCCCATACCACTGCTCTGACCTTCTGTTGGATCATATTGACAAATGGATTCCAGCATCAATAACACCAATGGCCCAAAAAGGACGGTGAAGGAAAAAGCGTGTAGTGCTAACACCGAGTATAGAAGCGGTCTCGAAGGCTTTCTATACCATGGGAGCTTTCTGAACCTCTCTTTGTTCTCAATCATCCACTGCTCTTCAGTTTCCTTAAGAGAAAAGTCAAATGGATCATCTATATCAATCGCTGGCTCTTCAGACTCGGACCTCGAGTTATCTATCTTATTGTACTGCATAGCTTTGGACGACTTCAATAGTTCTTCGCTCATCGAGAGGTTTGGAAAGTGCAAGGGGAGGAAAACAGGGCTTGACTTTTTTAGGTGGGAAGGGGGCAGGGCAAAGTTTCAATACCTTTCTTGGATGGCTTTGATCATTTATACACTGTAGAGCTGTAATATCAATGAAGAGAAGTACTCTCTTTATATAAACTTCTCACTTTTATACTACTTGGCCGGGCTGTATAGCGAAACACGAGCAAATTAAAAGCGCACTCGTCCATTCCCCGATAATCGCTATAGATATATAGACTTAGGGTTTTAGAAAGGATGGCTATGATATTTAGATTATTGAAGACTATCATTAATCCATACTTCTCAGTATATAGAGAATGTCATTCATCCGGTTCACTCTCAGCTCTGCCCTGTTTAATAGACTTGTTGTTTTCGACCAGAAGCAGCCTCAGCTAGCATTGATCAATTGAAGCAGGAAGAACACACAAGAGTCCTAGTAAGAATAAAAGCGATTGTTAATATTCTCGTTGTTTTATCACACATGCGCTTTCCAAGTCTTTGGTATGCACTAATAGACGCATCTTTTTGTTTGAGCCATATATAGTAAAAAATGCTCATCCCGTGTATTTCTGCTAATTCAGCATGAGCAATAAGCCTGATGGCAAGATAAACAGCTTGGTTGATCGAGAAGATATCATCAACCTCTCTCGCTCACCAAGTGTTTCTACAGCTGTTTTAACTTCTAGTAATTTTAATTCTATTGTACTTTACATTGTCACGGTTTTGAAATGTGCATGAATGTTTACCAAAAAACCACTTTTGCTCGCCCGCAGCTTGGGTACAATGAGGTGATTCCAATTAAATAGCCATCAAAAGGAGAGCAGCCACCGGGCCAGCAACCAGGGTTCCCTTCAGTGATACAGGAGCACCGTTTGTAGAGCTCAATCTTGTGAGTGTTGTTGCTGACGAGGTAGCAGAGCCTGTCTGTTTAGTAGCGGTCTCAGATGCGGAAGAAGCAACGTTATAGTCAGCCACGGTGGCACCAGTGTTATCCGTGTTCAAGGCACGAACAGATACTTCAATCATGTCATCTCTACCGACGGCAGCGTTGATGGAACCTAGAACATATGTATCATCCTCACCTGAAGGGACAGCATGGAAATCGGAACCGTATAACTTCAGATAACCATCCACGATACTCCATGGCTCTGCTATTTCATAGGAAGCAGATTCAGCAGCCAAAGATAGGTAATTCTTCCCAATTCCAACAGCAATATCGTGATCAGTGATATGTAATGAACCATTTGTCAAGACCAAAGCAGTCTCAGTGGTGGTTACGTTGGCAATGTAGAACTTGCCGTCATCACCAACGTAGAGACTTGCATCTTTCAAAGTGGCACTATCGTCTGCTTGTAAGTCCATAATGAACTCATCCGAGTTAGCATTGGCTCTGAATGAGAGGAAGAGCAAGGAATAAAGAACAGAAGTGAACATCATGGTTAGGTTGTTAGTTACCCAATGTTTACTACAATGATACGCATCACATTGTGGGCATTACCACTTATATATCATGAGCAAATTTTGGTCATCTCGGGCAACTCAAAGTACGATTTACACAAGACTTTAGAAAAGGCATAGGGTATTATAAGACAGTGTACCTCTTGAATTCTCCGGTAGAGCAAATTAATTGAGCAATTTTAAATTGTTGAGTTCCTCCAATCTGTGAGTTGATATTTCTCTCATCATTGGATCATGGTAAAATTTGCTCAAAAGTAGTTCAAAAAGGCAAACAGGGCCATAGCAGCATTCCATACAGGTGCAGTTCGACCATGTTTCGAATGATGGTGATGCATGAATGGAACAGTATTTACAGAGATCAACCGCATTGTACCTTCATACTCAGGCGGGTCATAGTAAATCAGTTCATCGACTCCAACTTCGAATTCCACCATATCTGGCCTTCCAGCAGCTGCGTTGATTGATCCAATAACATATACATCATCAAAACCACTTGGAACAGTATGAAAGTTATGACCATAAAGTAAGAGGATACCGTCTCTTATTGAGAAGGGGCTTGCAAAATCTGACGAGTTGGCAGAAGGATATAAGTAGTTTTTACCTATTGCTATACTTGATGTTTGGTTGAGCTTCAGTGTTCCATCCTTTTGGATTTCTCCCTTCAATGGAGTCCAATTGGTATCAATAAATGTCTTATTTGTAATGTATATCCTGTTATCATTAGGAGACAAGTACATCTGAGCGTTTACAAGGTGATCACTGTTTGGTTGCACAGTGAGCGTGATTTCTTTGGCAAGTGTTGATGCAATGAACAAGAACAATATCACCATGAAATGACCCATCTTTGCTAATATGTATCAGATCAGAGCAGAAGAACTGACTATCAAGTGAATCCTTCGTATCCAGTGCTTCAGAGCTTCACTCTCGAGGCACTCACAGCTATAGCCTCTTATGCAGTATTTATAGAGAAGAGTCGACGAGAGAGCAAATTATTCCATAATGAGCTGAATGCAGGAACTCTTGACGCTGTACTCTCCGGACTCTTGGGATTGGCCTGATTTGGGTCTCAGCGTGAGAGAGCTCATAATATATAAAAGAGCAGATTGTTCAAGTTTGAACAGTCAATAAATTGTTCATTGAAAAGCACATTAAGAAACATAAAATGCAGCTATTCTTTCTCTTGTTGGCACTATTCTTCTCACCTTTTGTCAGAGCAGCTTCTCAATCATTTGCTCTTGAGCTTGATACCAATGAAGATGCTTTAAAAGCTTATAACATCTACACTGTAGATAATAACATCTTCATTGGTCAATCAGTGTACATCCTCAATGGTACTATTCAAGACAATGGTGCCCTTAAGATGGAAAATGGTTCATTTGTGGGAATATCAAAGAACTATCTCACCTTGACAAACGATACTACTGAATATGCCCAACCTTTCAGCATCGATGGTGATGGGTATCTCAACTTGTATGGCTCCAAGGACTTCAGGGCAATTCCATCAGGCTCTGAGAACAACCAGTATATTGTTGGGTCGAGTCAGGCCTCAACCACTGTTTCTGGATCATATACTGTCCAGATCAAAGCTGTCGGGTCTGATGGTAAGAAGGCCTCTAAGTTTTCAGTTTCCGGCACTTCAGGTGCTTCCAAATACCAGTTGACATGGACACTGGCCTTTGCATCATTATTGACATTGTTCTAATATGTATGTTTTATATAGAATCTTTTCACCATACATTTTCATTACCTAGATCTATCAAGTTCAACTGTTTGTTGCTTTCTTCCGCTAGGCCAGTAATAACGTCAGCAACTTCTTCCAACTGCTGCAGCGTGATCTTCCTATCGATAACACTTGAAGACAGGATTCTGACCTTATTCCTAATCTTCGATATCAGTTTATCCATGGCCACCACCGTGTTGTAGTCATTATCAAAGTTTATCGATTCAACGAGTTCTCTGAGCTGAGCCATGTGTGTCCCACAATCAACACCATAAACCGATTCCATATGATCTACAAGCGCAGTAACCTGTCCCACAAGTAGAAACCTTTGGAATCCTGTCTGTAATCCATACTCTTTCCCTTCCTTCAGCGATTCCTTCACAGATGCCTCTTGACCTTCCTTAAAGCCTTCGTTGTAGAACCTGAGTGTTGATGTCAGTACGTTCCCCGAGAAAAAGGCCACCCTGTAAGAGCAACTCACTGTTCCTCGAGTGTATTCACTTCGTCAAAATCCATTGTAGAATGACTCTCAACCAATCAAGACCACCTAGATAGTAAAAGCTAAGTACAATTGATGTCTTTTTGTATGGCCTTGAAGGTGTCCTCGGGTGTGAAAAAAGGGATGTCTGGATGTTTAGGTGTCTGGATGTGTAGAATAGGGTGTAAACTATGCGGAAGGTGTCAAAATGCTTCCAAGGGACATAAATAGATAAGGCGGTGCATTCTGAAAGGTTGCCACCAGTGGTTTGTTGGTTCTCTTATTAATTCCAGGATACGCTTATGGTTGATCATGTCCTTAGATGTTTTTGATGACGATTTTATGGTTTCTGATGACTCCATCATGTCCTACAACGATTTACCCCAGATTCCAGATCAGTACCAGTATTTGAACTTTTTGTATGGACTGATGACAGATACACGTCGATGCTGCCGTGCTGAGCCGCTGCTACCTCATAAGGAGCTAGCTCTGTGCTTGCACAACCTGAAGCAAACGTTGTTGAAAGAAGAGCAGGTGATAGTTCCGGGTCCCAATCATAGCTTTAATACTGGTGACGTCCAAGGCATATACTGGGATTCGAAAACACAGAGGGAAACGATGTTGGAAGAGAGGTTGAAAAGGTACGAAACTTTTACCAATATTCCTGGATGTATTTCAAAAGCTTCATCTGATGTGAATTTTGAGTACACACCGTCTTCCAGGAAAGTGTGGCAGTTTGACAGGTTTTACCGTAAACCCACACCAAAGCTACCGCATTTTCAGCTTCGAAACCAATTGATACATATCCCCCCGTCAAATAGGTGTAAAGTGATATATTCAGAGCTATCTTTCAGTGCAGGACATTCTGCTTACCCTGTCTTGAAGCAGTTGGACCTGCAGACTGGTGAGATTGACCCACTTGTTGAGTTTAAGCATGATCCATCAATGAGAATAACGTGTGTTGACTCTGCAAAGGAGAATGTGTCACTGATTGGCACTTTACATGGGTCCTTATATATCAAATCCTGTGATGGCTCCTTACACGATACTTCTATTGGCGACTCTTTTGGAAGTATAAACTGTATCCGCATGGATAACAACTTGAACCAGGCACAAATATGTACAAATAATGGACAATTAACCACTATTGACTTGAATAATTGTCAAAAATTGCAGAACACACGGTTTCCCTGGCCAATTAACTATATGACCAACTGTCCATATGAACCTAATGTCCAGCTGTTTGTGGGCGATAACGTGAATGGTTATCTGCTGGACAAACGTCAGGGTCTTGTGCCAATTGATAGCTTAAGAGGTCACAAGGATTTCAACTTTGCCTGTGATTGGTCCACCATCGATTGCAATCTAATCGCTACTGGTTCCCAAGATTGCACAGTTCGAGTTTGGGATCGCAGATGGTTGGATAGAGACGTTGTATGCACTCAAACAGACAGTGGGGTGCGTACTGTTGAGTTCAACAGGTTATCCAGTACACAGCAGCTATCATGGAGTGAAAGCATTGACCGAGTTTGTGTGGCGTCACTAAATGAGCCTGAATGGACCATTGAGGAAGTTACATTCTTAGGACAAACCATGGGTGCACATTTCGTCAATGTTGACGACCAAGGTGAACAATGGCTTGTATGTGGCATCAGCGACGGCACCACCGGGGGCATTCTTCGAATGAAGGCGTACAGTCCAACCTCTTTTATGAGTTATGACTACATATAATGAGAAAGGAAAAACAAAAGACTCTCCATTCTAGCATCGTACTGTAATCAGACAACAACGTTACCACCTAGCACTTCCTTACCAGTCTTCTTGATAGCAGCGAGAACATCATCGTATGGCAAAGTAGTTGTGACATCGACAGATTGCTTCTCCAGTGAGATGTCAATGTTTGAAATCTCAGACTTGCGGGACAGAGCCTTGTTGACCGCATTGGAACATCCTGGGCAGGTGTATCTTGTTAGTTCCGCCTCCATATACTTAGGCTCGAAAGAGCAGTGGGCTTACTTACCAGAGCACGACATCTTAACGTCGAAATGGTATTGGTGAGACATTGTTGGTGAATTGAGCTAGCAGTTGGCAGAAGGGAAGGAATCGATTCGATCTCAAACTTCTTCCAGCAGGTGTCATTAAATAGCCCACCTTACTAATGATTCTAAAACAGAAGAGCCACACCAGAGCCAGCACAGCGAGGCAATATGTTTCGGTACGGGACACACACGCCAGCGTTATTTGCTCAATAAGCCATCTCTTCACTTCTTTGTTGGAGGTTGTGTTGTTTGTACTTGGACCTCGGAACATTCCTACGATGGAGGTATAAATCTCGACTTCAGACTACAGTTTAGGTAAGGAGATTATGTTTTATGCATTTATAGGAATATACACATATAATCTAGAGAATACTGTTAGTATGCGGGTCTCGTCCTCCTTCTCGGAATTGATTTTCTGTCCAGCATAAAGTCCGCTGAAACTCTTAATAGTCAGATAAATTGATGAATGTTGGATAGGATAGGTTATCAGCATTGCAAGGCTCTGAGTGAGCTGAGTAAACGTTTTCATCATTAAGAAGAGATCAGCTGGGATATGTAATAGGCGGACAGAGATATTCAATTCACATGGCACGAACACTTACCTCTTGTGCTTTTTTGCCCTGGCTGTTGTAGCAAAGACACTGGTAAAAGTGGAAGAGAGAAAAGAACTTCCTCGACAAATTTTCGTCCTTTTTGACCACGGATTCGCGGCTCAGCAGGGTAACGGGCGCGGGGGTTAGTTTTAGGGCTAATACTTCAAATGAACAAAGTTGAAGTTCTACACCGTCGAATAGCGCTTTAACATCTATCAAAGAAGCTGTATATAGTACTCTTATTGACAAAATAGTATATGTTTTATAAATCGTATGTTCAGAAAGAAATCAAAACGTAGGAAAAAAATTATAAGTCGTTAACATTCCGTGGTTGTATAGTATGTCTTTTTTAGTGCATGCATTCTCAAATGGTGAAAATATCCTTTCTCACGCTTAGATTGGAGCATCCCAAGATGACAACTTCATGGTACCGTTCTTAGCAAGGTTCAAGTGCATCTTGAAGGCATCAGCCAAGATGTGTGGCTCGTGCATAGACTTGGTCTTGTTGGCATAGTGCTCAGCTCTGTTAACGTAGTCAAGCAATTGGTCAACGTAGTCTGGGTGAGCAATGTTCTTGATGATAACTCTAGATCTCTCTCTTGGGCACAATCCTCTCAAATCGGCCAAACCGTGGTCAGTTACGAGAACATCCAAGTCGTGCTCAGTGTGGTCAATGTGGGAGACGAACGGAACGACACAGGAGATACCAGTTGGGTCGGTCTTGGATGGACGTGCCGCAGGGGTGTGCATGATGGACACCTTTGCGTTACGCAAGAAATCACCGGAACCACCCAATCCATGCAACATCTTAGAGCCTTGGACGTTGGTGGAGTTGGCATGGGCGTAGATGTCAACCTCCACTGGAGTGTTCATAGCAATGACACCCAATCTTCTAATGATCTCTGGCGAGTTGGAGACGACTTGGGAACGAAGACACAACTTCTTGGAGAATTCGTCCCAGTTGTTGAAGAATCTTTCGAAACCAGCTTCGGTCAATCTGACAGACGTAGAGGTGGCATAGTCCAAGGAACCGTTCTCGAACAAGTCCAAGAAGGAATCTTGCAAAACCTCAGTCCACACGTTCAAGTGCTTGAAGTTAGCATCGGCCAAACCTTCGATAATGGCGTTGGCAACGTTACCAATACCGGATTGCAATGGGTGCAAGTTCTCTGGCATTCTGCCAGCCTTGACCTCATTTCTAAAGAACTCAACCAAGTTAGCAGCGATGGCCCTAGACATGGCGTCAGATGGGGTGTTTGGTGGAACAGAATCCTTAGTAGTAGATTCGACAATGGCAATGACTCTTTCTGGATCAACTGGAACTGCGTGTACACCACACTTCTGGTCAACAGTCATGTATGGGTATGGTGGTCTGTGAGGTGGGTTGATTGGCATGTCAATATCGTGCAAACCTTCGAAGGATGGAGTGGCGGTGTTGACTTCAATGATAATCTTGTCAGAAACAGACACCATCTCTGGGGTGGCACCGACAGCTGGACCTGGAACAATAGCACCACTCTCAGTAATGGCGGTGGCCTCAATGATGGAGATATCCAACAAATCATTCTCCTTCTCTCTGGTGTAGAAACCATAGGTCAAATCTTGCGCAAACATGGACAAGTGCTTGTCAAAGAACTTGATGCTACCATCGTTGATACCGGCAGCAATTGGTCTACCAACTTGGTGAGGAGATCTGAGCTTGATCATGTTGTTTGTAGCCCATCTGGACTCCTCCTTACCAGCGGAGGCACCGACAAACAAGTTGAATTGCAACTTGCCTTGCAAGTTGTTGTCCTCAACGTGTTGAGCAACAGCATCAGGCACAACCTTTGGGGCACCAACAGCGGTGAAACCGGACCAGCCGATGTACTGGTTGTTCTTGAAGAGTTCAACACACTCTTCTGGGGTTCTGAGCTTCTTGAGATAAGGAGCGTAACGGACTCTTTGCTTAAGGAGTTGAGACATTGTTGTATGAATATGAGAAGAAGTGGACAAGTACTAAACCAACCTTCGCTTGAACAGGAGGATTGGAAAGAAGAGAGGACTTTTTAAGAAAAAAGACCCGCAATGTACAAATCTCTGAGATTGAGCTTCCTATTTATATTTCAAGTCTGCCAGAACCACAAGTGCATTCGGATGCGTTCTGTGTCCGGTGATAATCGCACGACGGCTCTGGCGCTGCTTCTGCCCAGAGCTGGGCTCGCGCGCAAGTAGGTTGGGCGGTAAAAAGACTCAAATCCCAGGCAGGGAATAAGAAAGGCACAAACCGTCATGGCGGACAGGCCAGGGTGCGAAGTATGAACGCTGGGCAGAAACGTTCCACCAGACCAGCGGTGGCCGAGGAAAAAGAAAAGAAAAAGCTAGGCAGAGTACGCGCGCGTAGAAGGAGATTTACCCCCATCCCGAGGACGCAAGCTAGGCAGAAGCGCGGACGCGACGGTACACAGGAATTGTTTTTCTTGGGCAGAGAGACCAACAAAAGTTTATCCGGTAGCATGGGTAGGAGAGTGAGGAGTACTTTTTTGATGTGTATCGTATAGAGATTGTTGTGCGATTATATTAACTGGGCTCGTTTGTTCTTCCCAACGGGTTTACTGTACAGCTCTCCCGAAGCAGTTTTAATCAACCCTTCATGAACGTGCAACGTTTTTGGAACAACGGACCCAGACACGCGGGTTTTTCCTGAATTGTAGCCTCTCTGGCGTTTGCACCCTTCCCCCTATCATTTTGCTTCTAATTTACTTGGTGCTTTACTACTAAGTTTTTTTTTCTGCGTGAGAGACACTGGGAAAGGGGACCGACATTCTCCTACTGCGCACACTGTAGGGAAACGGAAAAAAAAGCCACTCTGTCTGGAAGAGGAAAACAGCAGCAATTAGCCTTGCCATCTACCCGGATATAAAGTCACACTCTTCACCGGTGCCGACTCGCGTTGTAGTCATGTCGTGGATGGCGTGTCTGAGCGTATTGTAGAGATCAAGTACACGGGATCAAATCTCTAGCCTGTCACAAAAGTACCAGTGTGTATTCGATACATACGTAAAAACTCAGGGCACAAGAAAGAATGGGGGGAAAAGGTAAACAATCATGTACAATAAGCGTCAACAAACTTTAGATCCAAACGGAAACGACCCCTTGGAAATACTCCTCATCAACGACCGTTGAAAATTCCCTTGTCCTTGAATTAATCCGTTGAGTTGAGAGTATAATTCAGTAGTACCCCTCCTATTGTTCTAAACTCTTCTCATCGCCTCTTCTCCGCTCAGATTTTCACGAGTTTCTTTTTCTCTATCTCGTCTTTTGTCCATGGACACTCTTTGCTCCTGTATTGTTGTCACGGGAACTGCGCCAGGTAAGGTCAGGATAGGAAATTATTGAGGGGAAATGACCACTCTTCTTCGTCGTTTCCCCGCACGTCAAGGACCGTCTGTGAAACCTTAACGAGCTCTTCATAGGTGTCTGGATGTTTGTAGTTCAAGCAGAGATCTGTCTCTGTGAGCAGCTGGCCCCTCGGCACAACGTTGCACAGTTCTTTGAACTCGTCCATTCTCGCCAGGTTGATGTAACCCGATACCGACACGAAGATCGTATGGGGTTTGAGCTGTTTCATGACCATCTTCAAAGTGTCTATCGACCCGGTGTACGAATGGAAACATACTCGGGCTCCGTGACCGATCCCGTTTCTCTCCAGGGACTCCCTCAGTATGGTAACAACTGCACCGCCAGCCTTGACATTATGCAACGACAAGGGCCAGTTGTGCTGGAGGGCAGCGTCCAGCTGTCTCTCAAGAATTCGTTTCTGATGCGACATTGATACTCTGTAATTCGTCAGTTTGGTGCTTGGGCGTTGCGGGTTGCTATAAAACCCATTGTCGGGCACTCTGAAGAGCTTGTCGAGCCCAAGCTCTCCCCAGCACACTCGAGGAGAGTGTTTCAAGCATAGAGCCACCAGCTGCCTGAGGTGCGTTTCAAAGTGGATGGGCTCCGGTAATATCTCCAGTAACGTTGCTTCAACGTCTTCCGTGCCAAAGACACTACAATAGTGAGTTTTCTTATCAACACCACCACTTTCCAACGTGAAAAGGTGCGAGTACCACGGGTGGACCCCAAAACTGGGTATGACGTTAGAACAGTTCGTCGCCAACTCATCCACGTATTTGTAGTCCAGGTGGTTCGTTGACATAACGACAAACTGGGCTGGTGCCCACCTCTTAACTCTTGCGATCAGCTCATCGATATCCTCCCCGTTGAAGTCTGTCGAAATATGACAATGCGCGTCGTATAAAGCCATCTTCCCAAATAAGTCTCGTATCGTTTAGGATGAGGCCACAGGCTGGGAATTTCCGTGCTCTTTTTCCGCGATGTTTTGATTTGGTAACAAAAGGGTGAAACCTCGTGTTGTGTCAAAAAAACAAATGGAAGAGCACAGAAACCACAAAAAAATCGAAAATGGCGGCCGGCTGAAAAATCCTGAAAGCAATCAACTTTCACAGCAACCAACACGTTCTGTTAGCATCATCTATAAAAGGAGTCGATTTACTTCGTAATAAGCAATAGCGTACATACACAGAGCAATCATTGAGCAGCATGACACTTATCGTTGCTTCCTTGTAAGTTGTACCACCAACTCGGTTGAAAGATGAGCAGTTTGTGTGTACTAACGGAAATAATAATACAGGTTTCTTCCCTACACGGTGGAATTCCAAGCTGACCAGGAAATTGTGGATGAACTCACTGATAATCAAGCGGAGGCCATCGCTATCCCAAAGCAGAGATCGTCATCGATCAATGCCTCATCTACAATGCTCCCAACACAGACGGTGTTGAGTAATAAGTCGCAAGAACAGTTCAAAAGTGAGAACCAGAGCGTTGAGGATTTCTTCTTCAACTCGCAACACTCGTCTCCACAGACGAGGGGAATCTTATCAAGAACTGTTAGTCACAGCGGGGTGCAGACTCCAGCACCTACGTTACCGGCTTCTGATCTGTTAATGACAGCTGTGTCCAGCTCAACACATTCAAACATTGGCAATACCGGGATGCAGAGTACAACCACAAGCATGTCCAGTTCGCCTGAGTTACTGAGAACATCTAGCGCGGCATCGATCTTCATACCAAAGAGCCGTGTTAGCAACCTGTCACCTTCACACTCGGTGGTTCAGATGAAACGTGACGCTGCCACCCCAGGGTTGGCTGGTGTTAAGAGGGTTCCGTATAAGCGCTCTGCTCTCAAGTTCTCCACAAGGGATGATGTTGATGACGAAGAGGATGACAATGAAGACAGCAATGGAGTGGATGATGACGAAGACGAGGCGGTGATTGAAAATGAAAATGCAAACGATGATATTGATGATGGATACGATGCTCAACAGTCTTACAGAATTCCAAAATTTGGTGGGTTTTCAAAGAAGAAGATGCCACCAACTTCCAAGAGTTCTGAACTCTTCGCAAATGCTCCATTCCAAGTTGTTGAATTTGCAAAGGGTAATGGTGGGTTGAAAAACGCCATCAAGTCGAGTCTGGAGGATGGAATCGTCAAAGACTACACGTGGTTAGGAACCATTGGTATCCCAACAGATGCTTTGGACGATAAGACAAAGTTGAAAATCACCTCCAAGTTGAAAGATGAGTACCACTCAGAATCTGTCTTGCCATCTGATTTGACGTTCCAAGGACACTACAAGAATTTCTGTAAACAAATTCTATGGCCAACTCTACATTATCAGATTCCAGACAATCCAAATTCAAAGGCATTTGAAGATCATTCTTGGGAGTACTACCGTTCTTTAAACCAATTATTTGCAGATAAGATTGTGCAGATTTACAAAGAAGATGATATAATCTGGATTCATGACTATCATCTACTGTTGGTACCAGAGATGGTTCGTTCGAAATTGCCAAATGCTAAGATTGGATTCTTCATGCACGTCTCATTCCCTTCAAGTGAAGTTTTTAGATGCTTTGCTCAGAGAGAAGCTTTACTCCAGGGATTGTTAGGATCAAACGCAATTTCATTCCAAACAACAGAATACGTTCGTCATTTCTTACAAACTTGTAACAAGTTGTTGTTGGCTGATGTTTCACATGATGAGTTGAGATACAACGGCTACACTGTTAAAGTGAGAGCCCAACCGGTAGGTATCGATGCTCACAAATTGAGGAAACAGATCGCCACGGACGTTGTAACCTCTTGGAGAGAATTGATCAAGCAACGTTGGGGAGATAAGAAGATCATTGTTGGTCGTGATAAGTTTGATAGAATCCGCGGTGTCAAAGAGAAATTGTTGGCTTATGAGATGTTCCTGCAAAATAACCCCGAGTATTTGGAAACCACTGTGTTGATTCAAATATGCCTGAAATCAAGTACAGTGGAGAACGCTTTAGAATCAGAGATTATGTCAGTTGTTGATCGTATCAATTCCCTGTCTCCAAATATTTCAACAACTCAACCGGTTGTGTTTATTCATCAAGATATCGATTTTGTTCAGTATTTGGCACTCATTGCAGAGGCTGATACCTTTATCGTGTCTTCTATGAGAGAAGGTATGAACTTGACATGTCATGAGTTCATTGTTGCAACTGCCGAAAAAAAGTCGCCATTGATCTTGAGTGAATTCACAGGTTCGGCTGCAGTTTTCAAGAAAGGTGCTCTGCTTATCAATCCTTGGGATATAAAGCAAGTGTCACAGGCATATAAGACCGCTTTGGCGATGACTCCAGGAGAAAAGGAAAAGAATTGGCGCTTATTGTATGACGTTGTTTCTCATCAGGACTGTGACTATTGGGTTGAGGCGTCTTTGAAATTCATCAAAGATAGTTGGCAGGAACAGCACGAAAAGGAAAGGTATTCCGCTTTAAACGTCAAAGACTTCAGCTTGAAATACCAAACGTCTAAAAATAGACTGTTCGTATTGTTGTTATCTAGGATGCCAGTTGAACGTGAGATGGCCATTCTCAGCGATCTCAGTACTGATAATCAGGTTTATGTGCTTTCAGGCTATAAGAGGGTTGATTTGGAGCGTGTGTTTAGACGTCTGCCTAATGTTGGTCTCATTGCAGAGGGTGGCAGTTTCCTAAAACTCTCAAATACTTCGAACTGGATTTCATTTGCATCTGAAGATATTGAATCTTTGTTACAGAGCACTGCTGTCGTTGCCGAATCATTTGCAGAACGTTTGCCTGGTGCTCGTGTTGAACAAGGTGAATCCATTCTAGCTTTCCGCACTGAACAGGTACAAGATAAAGAACGTGAGGCTGCTACTATTGGTGATTTGATTACCCATGTGAACAGTTCCAGTAAGAAAATTCATGCCACTGTGGTTGACAATACGGTTTATGTGTTACCATCTGATGCTGCTGTAAAGGCTGTTAAATTTCTTGTCAAGTACATGACAACCACTGGGACAGTTGGTAATGATATCTCTTTAGCGCAGCCAACTTCTCCATCTTCAGCACCGAGTGTCGCTAATGTTGATCCGATGGAGCCAAAACAATTGGATTTTGTGTGTATCGGTGGTCGTTCAAATGACCTTTTTGAGCCAGTCTTGGGATACGGTAACGAAATTTCAGCTGAAAATGAGGCAAAAAACGTGTTTACCATATCTTTTGATGGTGATGCCACCAATGCCAAAGAGCGTGTTGAAGGATTGAACGAATTGTACAGCATACTCAAGAAACTCATTTAAAAAGCGTTAGATCAAATGGGTCCATTATATACTTATAGTACTTGATAACTTTCTCTAACAACCTGTTGAAGTTCTTTGAGCTGTAAATAGTCATCTTCGTCCAAGGCCTGGTATTGGTTCCAGATTCTTTCAAATTCGGGAATATCTGGCTTGCCTAAGGGTCTGGCTACGACCCAGTTTGTCTCTTTAAGTCTCTTGTTACGTTCTCTATCATTTTCAATGCGTTTCAATATTTGTTCCTTCGTTGGCTTTGACGAAAGGCTGTCTCCTATGTGTGCTGTCTCTGGGTCGTGGATCAATTGTAATCTGTCACGAATACCTTGTCTTTTCTTTGATATTAGGAACGACCATGCAGCTCTAAACCCTTCAGACTCTTCTGACTTTACAACCAGATTCTCCAACGTCAAGTCATCATACATCTTACTCAAATCTCGGTTCTGTTTACCCAGCACTCTCTCAACCTCACGTTGCACATCCACACAGCTGTTAAGGTTAACCAAATCATCACCAATGACTTTTGAGAGGATGAGTTTCCAATCACGCTCGAGGTTATCAACATAGGGCACACGTGAATCTTTGAAGTTTGCACTATTTGAGATGTATCGTATCAGTGCCTCGAGGAAATAGAGGACATTTATCCGGGCATTGAAGTCCAATCTGTCCAAGATCTCCAGAACAACAGAGTGGAAGTCTTCATGAAGGTCTTGATTTTTGAGGGCAAAGTTTATCGCCTTCAAAATTGTCTGTGAAAACGATGACATCGTTTCCATCATCTGTGAAAATTGTAGCCTTGCTTCAAACGGATCCATCTTTACTGAAGTGCTGGATGTGGAGTCTAACCTTTTGAAGTAGACAAGGTGAAATATCAGCAAGAAAGTTTTGTACACATACATTTACGTAATCGGAGGAGTTATCTTACGTAAGCAGCGATGACATAAGCAGGCAAATATATTATATAATCCTTTTAGGCGGAATTACGTAATCTCATCTTCAAAGAAAGAGCGGAAAAAAAAAGTGAAAAATCCACAAGACACAAAAGGCCCACAGCAAAGGAAGAAGTAACTTCACAAGATACTCCAGTCAAGATGCCAAAGAAAGGAGGAAAAGTAAGTAATAGAAGTTCTATCCGTCTCACTGATGCTGTTGACTAACATTACTTCCAAAGGGTGGTAAAAAAGGTAGAAGAGGTAAAGGTGACGGTTTCGGTCAGAAGAGAGAGCTGATCTACAAAGAGGAAGGTCAAGAGTATGCTCAAATCACCAAGATGCTCGGTAACGGTCGTGTCGAGGCCAGTTGTTACGATGGTATCAAACGTATGGCCCACATTAGAGGTAAGCTCAGAAAGAAAGTGTGGATGGCTCAAGGTGATATCATCTTGGTGTCTCTTAGAGATTTCCAAGATGAGCAATGTGACGTTGTCCACAAGTACAACGTTGACGAGGCCCGTGCTTTGAAAGCCCAAGGTGAATTGCCAATGGATGCCAAGATCAACGAAACTGATATGTTTGCCGAAGAAGATGGTGATGTCAACTTTGAGTTTGGTGATGCCGACGAGGATGACGAAGAGGAAGAGGAGGAACTTGACATTGACGATATCTAATCGCTGTTATATACATGTTTTCTTCTTAATTACTACGTATAAACTTCTGTATGCCATTTTCTGTTCTTTTCCCTATTAGATCTATAAAAGTGTAAATGTCTAGACTCTGAATCTCTCATCATCATCGTCGTCGTCGTATACGTTGTCGAATCTTCTCAACCCTACACTCTCTTCATGATCAGATGCGCCGGTTCTTTGCAAGTTCAAAGAGCGTCTTGCCTGGAAGGCTCCAACGCCACCTTCTAAAGGTATGTCACTGAGATCGTCCTGTTGAGAGAATAACTGGGCTGCTTCATACTTGTTCTTCTTTCTTGAGATGTTCAGCAGAAACACGCCTGAGAAGATGATGAGGAATCCACAGATCAATGATACGGAATCCTTTGCGCCTGAATCGTTGTAATTTCTGAAGAGGATGAAATTGGCAATCAAAGTTGCTGTGGTGAAAGTGACATAGTACAATGGGTTAACAATCGAAGTATCAAACTGATCGAGTGCCTTGTTAAAGTAGTTCATCTGGGTCATGATACAGATAACCACAACAGCGATGAAGAGATATGTGGAGAGGTTTTTGAACTGGTTATTACCGTTGAGGGTCAACTTCAGTGCAATACCAAATGCCTTGATACTGACAATGGAAATGGAACCAACTGAAGAACAGATGGAGATGTAGTAGATCGGATTCTTTGTACCATACACAGGTGCGATTCTGTAGATCATAACCAGGGCAAACACCGTGACAATGATACAGTATGACATGAACAGCGGTGTCAATGCATAGTCCAAGATTTCATTCACAGAATCAATCTCCTTATCACTTGGTGCATGTAGCACTATGATAACAGAGCCCAACAGACAAATGGCACATCCCATCTTGCCCAACGTCCCCAATTCCTCCTTCAAGAACACCGCAGCCAACACTGCACCAATAATCACACTGAGCGCCCCCAACGGTGTCACAAGGATAGCAGGAGCAAACGTGTACGCTGCAAAGTTGGCAATCTCCCCAACTGCCATGGTGATCATCCCTGCCCACCAAATAGGGTTCTTAAGGTACTCGTGTCCTTCACCGTCAAAGCCTTGTCTCGATGCATCTTTGAGACCAAGCTTCGTGATGATGAAGGAAGTTCCAATGGCAAACGACGACGATATCGCCAGTGCCAGCCCAATGTATTTGTCAGCAACCATCTGTGATGTATGTGTTTCGTGACCTTGGAAGAGAAAGCAATGTGGAGGGCTGTTGGCTGTGTTGAAGCCCCAACCATAAACAAACACTTCGACACCTCCCTTTAAAATGTCCCACCATTCCCGCCTACGTGCTGCGCAGCCCGTGCGATCCCAGTGTGTGCCTTTAGCAATAATCCTCTGTGCGTGTCTCTAACGAATATCTAAGCCTTCGAGTCGCTTTTTGTGTCCGATGAGCTCGCTTGGAAATTTTCTGTGTTTTTTTCTTGTTTGGCTTAGCCAACGTTGATGATTCAACAGTTGGATGGAACTAACTGGCCAGTCTATGAGAGAATGAGCTCTTTATCACTTGAAACTCTTAGTGAAGCACTGCTTGAAGCACGTGGTCGAGACCATACTGAAAAGTCGGGCTTATCGCTGGATGCTGCCGCTGTGAACAACTTGCGTAAGCTCTTCATCGCCAACAGAGATGTGGAGGTTGAACACTACGGTTCGGCGCTTGAGTACTCTGTGACGTTGCTGTTCGATGTGCTACAGAGCACCGAGTCCACAGACGCTGCTAAGCTGGCTGCCTCAGACACCTTGTCGATCTGGGTCATCCGCTCAGGTTCATTGGGCTCGAAAAATAGGGCCTTTCATGATTTGATACCGTCGTTGTTGAATGACGAGCGTTTGGACTTTTTGTTCTCTTATACACTGGACTACTGGAACGAGACCGGTTCTCCCTTGTCGAATTCTCTGAAGGACTTGTTCACGAAGCTTGTGTCGCTCCTGAAACGTTACGATTCGCAAAAGAGGTTTGAAAATTGGACATCTATTGCACTACAAGTACAGGACACCAGAAGGGTCAAGTACCATTTGCTGGAGATCTTATCTAAGGAACTTAAAGATGTCCATTATATCCTAAAGAATGATCCATCTTTCATACAGCGTTCATTGTCGTTGATCAACTGGAAAGGCTTGGGTGCACTCATTGGACGCTGTATCTCGTCTCTCTTGAAAAGACTCTATGTCGACGAGGCACACGTTGGTGAATGGGTGTCTCAATACTGGGTGTCTGTGATTGTCTCTTTGAGAGACCCAAAACTCCGTCAGGGGATTCAACACCACATATTACCATCTCTTTTCAAGATATCTCCGGCGTCGTTCAAAATCGTTGTCCACAAGATCGAAGACGATGTTGATCTGTTGATTTCTTGTTTGAACATTGGTCAACAGCTTGCCATTGAGCATGATCCATTTCCAAAAATCGTATCTAAAGAATTGATGGTGGAACTTCTTGTCCAAGAGAAGTACAAGACAAAGATCTTTCAACTATTAACATTTTCTCCAAAAGGTTCAAGACCAATAAACTCTCAAGTGTTTGAAATTTTGCAACAATACATCCCATTGTTCTTTGTCGATACAGAGGTGGAAACTAGAATGGAATTTATCAGCATGTTCAAACAATTCCTCTTCAGAATTAAGGATTCCTCATATGCATTGAACAGAGATGCTGCAAAGATGATGCATAAAAAGGAACTCCATGATGAAGCACAGGAAACGTTGAAAGAGGTTGAAATGTGTAAGGAATTTCTCAAGTGGATGATTCAATTTTTGAAAACCCTGCTAAGCCCAGGTGCTCCATATCAAAGACTTTCATCTGGATTGGTTGTACTAAGACAAATTGTTGAATCGAACTTGGATACTGAAATTCTGTTTAATGTTGATATTGACTACCCTTTCAAAATTTCTATTTTTGATCAAGATTTAAAGACATGCCTTTTAAATGCAGTCTTGAGCACTTACAACGATATCCGTTCCAACGCTACTTACCTATTGGAAGTATCAAAGATCCAATGGACTGTGGAAGAGAAACTCAACTTGATCGAGTCTGGATTTGAAATGCTATCAGATTACACCAAGGCAGATGCAGGCTCAAAGGTATTGGAGATGTGTACAAAGTTGTTCAACGATTCCCAGATCTATGATAGACTTGTTGGGACCATCCCTCTAACTTCAGATATCCAAAAGGGAGTTCAAAACCCAGTCGATGGTTTCTTCCAAGCAATACGCTTAATACTTTGTCATGATAAGAAGAACAAAGACCCGCAGGCGTTGATCGATTTATGCCAAAGAAATTGGTCCTTTGTTAAGAGTATTCTCATTAACGATTCACCAGAGGGCCTGGATGAATTCAATGTTGGGTCGGCCCAATTGGTGCTCAGCTTTGCATGGAGATCCACAAAGGAGTCAACACTGCTACTCCAAGAAGTCTTAGATATGAATATCTCAGATGAGGATATTCTCAAACTAGGTGAGTTTACGTTGGATCAACTGGCTACTGTTCGCCACAGAGGTGCATTCTCTTCAGTGTATCCAACATTTATTAAGATTGCATCTCTATGTAAAAAGCGTATGCCAGGACAAAACAAGAAATGGCTTGATGCAAACATTGAATTGATTCAAACAAAGACACAACTTATCACACGTCGTTCTGGTGGTTTGCCATTCCTGATTACAGCTGTTGTTTCTGTCGAGCGTGAACTTATTCCCTATGCATTTGATAAACTATTTGCAGTAGCATCAACTCCTGTGGATGTTGCAGAAGAATCCGAAAAGATGGACATCGCTCAAGTTCACGCTTTCAACTGTATTAAGACACTATTCATTGAATCTCAACTCGCGGATTGTTGTGCTCCATACCTTTACAAAGGACTTGAACTCTCCATCTCGACATTCAACTCTAAGATCTGGTCGATGCGTAACTGTTCAATAATGTTATTTACCGCTTTACAAAACCGACTCTTTGGACATAAGAAGTTATCGGCTCGTGTGTTCTTTTCTAGATTCAAGGGAATTAAAGCAATCTTGATAAAGACTCTTAGAGACATTGGAGATGATTTAGAATCTCTGTTCCCAGTCTTGACCATATTATCAAAGCTAGATAGCACGCCTGGATATCAGGAGCTGGATGAATTTCTACCATTGATTAGGGGATGTCTTGAAACAAAACATTGGAAAATTAGAGAATGTGCCTCCAGGGCGTTACCTGCCCTTGTCACTGACTCTGTGAGGGAATCATTGTTTTTACTTGATGACTGTTCAACTGCTAATCAGAACAAGTTGCATGGATATTTGTTGGCCGTTAAGGTGTTGAATTCGAAAGATGTCAGTGTTGGTGAAAAGTTGTTTAAGCTCTTTGATGATGTATTGCTCAAAAATGAATGCTTTGCAACCAAAAAGGCTTATGTTGACGTTCTTGCATCTTTCGTCATTCCAGATTCTTTGAAGACTTCTTTGAAAGAATTGTTCATTTCCGAAAACTCTGTATTCGAATTAGACGGTTCCAAACAACTCTATCTTCAAGAGCTTTTTAAGCTTGTCGTTGACAATGATACACTTGACATCGGATTGACATCCAAGTACTTCGAAGTCAAACTCGAATCACTAGCGTACTGTGCCACAAATAATGTTGAAAATGCAGAAATTGAGAATATTGCCAAAGCTCCTACAGAGTTTACGTATGTGAGATCTAAGGCTATTCCATTAGTTGAAAACTTTGATGCTTCTGAGTTGGTTAGATTCGCCACTGATCAAGAATTATACGGTGAAGACATCAAACGTTCCTGTTTGGAACTCCTTGGTTCGTTTGCTGCTAGGGATAAATCATTGTTTGAGAAATGGACTGACCTTATTGAAAAGAACTCCAATGACAATGAACCATTCCCGGTTCGTATGTCAGCGTTGAAGTCATGTCTCAGATATCTCAACTTGGAGAAAAATGCACAAGTTTCTTGGTTTGTATACCAATTTCTCACAGATGATGACTTTGAAGTGAGGGACCTGGCATCCATCGTCTATGGTTCTGGTATTGAGCCATGGGTAAACACGAAACAATTTTCTCAAAACTTTGGTCAAACCTCTGAGGAGATCTCAATTGTCGTTAACGAATTCTTGAAGTTCAACCCATCACTCAAAACTGCTGATGATGGGAAAGTGTTGTTTAACATTGAGAAATCGAATATCTACAGAGTATCGTTGGAACAGCATCTGCAGCTATCGCAAATGCTTCGAAACGGCGAGCATGCTATGTCGAAAGAACAGAGGTCGTCTGTTATCAACCACCTTGGTCACATAAAGGGACGTGCTATAGCAACCATTAAGGCCACTGGTGGTCAGTATGGCACTCTAACATGGGCAAGTAACGAAGCGTTGTTGGAGGATATTTATTGTATAGTGGCACATCTGGATTCATTTGGTGTATCATCAGCCGACGTTAGAACTATAGCACAAGCTAACGGTTTACATATTGCATTGTAATAGAATACTGCATCAGGTGGATGTTGATGTTGATGTAGTGGCTGTAACATAAATGTATGTAAAAAAAACGTGCCTTTTTATAAACAATCAACTCTTCGCTTTAGATGCTCAGGACGGTGAGACATATCCTCATATAGGAGCGTGAGGAGCTGTTAAAGGATGGCTTCTCTCCTCTCTCTACCACTGGAGATAGTGGTTCGCATTCTGGGACAACTAGACGTTGCTGATCTTGAGAACGTGTCGAAAAGCTCACCGATATTTGAAGAGATAGTGAATGACTCTGAGATCTGGAGAACCCAGTTCAAGAGACAGTTCGGTGTCACTGAGTTCAGTTCTCTAACAAGATCGAAGAACTTCTCAGAAGAGTTCTTTGCCAGGTCTCAGATGCTTAGACGATGGGCACGTGATACAAAGATCACAAAGATCATCAAGGTTGCCACATTCCCATACGCGATGCTTTGTGATGTAAAGATGGTCTATCCGAGGTGCTTCGTGAAGGATGCGTCTGACATCATAACTGTGGTGAACGTCAGTAAGGGTAAGATGGAAGCACAATTGTCTGCTTCGTCTCTGAATGGCTTGACTACACAGTGTCTATCGCCGACTGATTCCGTTGTGGGAACGATAAATGGTGTCATCGCCCGCCATCAACTACAGCAAAGGTTTTACTACGCCAATGATAAGCCATTTGATAAAAAGCATCCAAGTAAAGTCACGTGTATATATAGCAATGAAACTCATTGTTATAGTGGTGACGATAAGGGGAATATCTTTGTGTCCGACTTCAAAACCATGAAAGTTGAACATGAATACAAGCTCAATGGTTCAGTCCAGTGCTTGAAGGGCTGTAGGGATTCTGTCATTGCAGTCACTAAAACTGACATGCATGTCCTTTGCTCGTCTCGAGGTACATCTGTGATTCCTTTCGATGAATACGTGGATTTCTTTAAAGTCGATTTTGAAGGTGAAGTAATTATCGTTGGTCATGAGACACAATTATGGGCCTATTCATTCGCATCTTCGTCATTTGGCCGATCTACTTCCTTCAAAGTCAACGGAAGTGATCATATTACCGGTGTTTCATTAGAGACTCGTAAGCCTTGTGATGCAAGAGTTGCCGGAGGCGATGGGCTCAACCTGGCCGTGGTTACTGACAACAGGCTACTCATCTTTAACATACGCCGTGGGTTAGATAAGCCTTTGACTGATATCATGCCCACTCTTGATACCAAAAGAGGTTTTCGTATAAATAGCGTTGCAGTGAATGCCACTGTAGCACTTGTGGGATGCTCAGATGGGCTGATTGGCTGTTTTGAAGTACTCACAGGTAGACGTCTTTGTATTATCAACAAAGCCCTACCAATGAGATACTTTGGTGTACGTGATGTATCCACATCACACATATTCCTAGGTGGGAACAATGAAGACACCTTTGGTGGAGCCATTGTGGGAAATATCATGATTTACTTCCAAGTTGGTGATTTAAAGGTCCCAGCATCAAAGAAAAAGGGTAAGAAGAGTGTCAACGGATTAATTGGAGAAAGGAAAAATGCAATCCATAAAGTAATAAAGAATGAGGTTGATGAGATTGACTATCGTCATCAGCTCCAGGATGCTGAGGATGAACTACGATCAAGGTATAACGGTGATGATCTTACACAGGAAGAAGAAATTGAACTTGCAATGGTATTGAATCAGTCAATGCAAGAGCAATCGATAGACAATGAAAGCGTATCATCGCTGACTGATTCCATTCTGGAACAAATCATCTCAGACTCAACCGAACCTGACATTGAGTCGACGGAACCAACTAATAGTTCAGCTCATCATTTCGATGATGACTATAACGACGAAGAGTTTGAAAGACACTTGGAAGAGGCATTGAGAAGATCGGTATTAGATAATTAAATCTACAATTTTTGTCATTTTTTTTAAATGTCATTAAAGGGGTGGTCATGTAATGGCGACGGTGTCTGTATAAATAATATAATCGTATCATCTCCTTCTTCTTCTTCCGCTTCCTCTTTAGTTCATGAGCTTCATATCTTGAAGCAATGCAGTAGCCTGTTGCATAACGTTAGAAGCGCCTTCAACAGGTTTATAGTGATCTATAAAATATGCAGTGAGAGTCATCTTAAAGTCCAAAACGTCCTTTGAAAGTAACTCGGCATAATAATTCTTCAAATCATAAAATTCCACGATGAGTGGTGCACAAATCTCCAACAGTTCGTTAGAAGGAGTTGTGTGAACGTCATCAAATACAGATTTCCAAACTTGGAAGAATCCCGAAAAGTCATTTGGCTCTTCAAGTGAAAACTCATCCACAAGTCTCTTAAAGAACTCGGTACCAGAAATGCCATACAATGGTAAGTTTGGTACATGACATGTAAGATAATTCAAAAATTTGAACCCATCCTTAATTTGCAATCCGTGTGAGTTAATAATCTTGATAATCAACTCATCAGATTGAATGAAATGAAATAATGGAGCATACACTTGATGATCAAAGGTTGTCTTTCTGATAAAAGACTCTCTCAACACTTTAAGAACTGTAGCTTTATCATTATGCTGTAAAGCAGTCAACATGAATTGAGAGATTGCATTCTCAACTCTTCTTGGTGTGGTCAACATGGTATCTAGAGACAGATCTTTCCCCACGGTTGATCTTGGCAATGCAGACATGTAATTGTAAAGTTTGACACTGATATCATAAGAAGTTGAGTTCAAGGAATCTTGTAACAAATTGGTGTAAAATTCATAAGAAAACTCTGGGATCCAATCAATTCTGTTGAATTGGGCCCAAATTTCCAAAGATTTTTCTAAGTTCGTCTTGGACAAATGCAGCAGGTAAGAAGAAAGTAGCATTGTGATCTTCGTTTCGTAATCCTCATAGTTCTTGATTGAAGTCAAGAGCTTATCTAAGAATTTGGTTGCCAATGCAATTTCATTAGTGGCAACCAAGGTTGAAATGAATGCAGAATAAATAACGAACTGGTTCTCCTTTAAGCTTGGAATTTCAAGAGATTTCTGCTTGAATTCTTCGTAAAGTTGAATGGCCAATTCTGAATCGTTTGTGAATTTGCAACAGTTAATCATTGCGGAGTAGTAAATGTCATTCTTGACGAAATTTGGTTGTTTTTCCAAGATCTTGATGAGTTGGGTGTTGTTTACCAATCCAGGGTACAAGTTCATTCCAACAAGAATCATATCGGTGATGTCGCCATCAAACTGTTGAATATGAGAGCAGTTTGAAGCGTTGAAGATATCGATAGCAATTTTGAAGAAATCACAACCGTTGTTCGACAAATCCTTGTCGATGTAACACTTGATAGACTTGTCCAACAGTTGGTAAATAACCGTCGAGTAAATGTGCAGATCTGGTTTGATCTTATTTGTAATGAGATCGGAGTAAACATTCAACATCATGGACATCTGATCATCAACTGAATGGTCAATGTCTCTCATTGCAATCGATGATAAAACCATATCGTAGACATCTCTAGAAGGCACTAGACCGTTTCTCTTCATTGCATTGTACAGAGCGTTAATTCTGTTATAGTCACACATTCTATAAGCCCTTTGGATCTCTTGGGTGTGGTGTTGGACAAATGTGTCATCAGTCAACTCAACGTATTCAATCTCCCCGGGAGAGAAATATTTAGCATCTGAATGCACTGAAGGTTCGGGAGTCGGTTCTTGAGCAGCCACCTCATCGGATGGTTTCATCTCAGCGGCAACGGCCCTATTTTCGTGATCAGTGTACAACAATCTCTTGGTCTGTAATCTTGAAACGAGCATGTTCGTCACTGGTGCCATCTGAATCTGTGATTGCAAGGATCTGTTCAAATTTGTCTGTTTCAAACGACCATTGTGCTTCTTACCGCCCTTGTCCAAACCAACATTGACAGGACCTTTCAACACAAAATTACCAGTAGCATTAGCACTGGCATTGACGTTTGACTCATTATTGAAGCTGTTGTTGTTGTTCTCATCGGTGTCAACCTGGAGATAATGAACAGAGCCAGCATTAGCAGGATGGGGGTTACCTAACCGTTTAGCACCTTGGGCGGCAACTTTCTCAACAGTCTGTAGCTGAGAGTTTTGACGGATATGATTGTACGATGAGTCAAAGAACGCAGTCGAATGCTTAGCTGCAACCGTAGAATAGCGCTTCGAAGCACTGAAACCTTGGTACTTGAAGCAACTGAATGGCATTCTAGCAAAGTACGTATCCATCATCAAATTCCCTTTGTATCAGCAAGCAATTTCCCGTACCGTTGAAAGAAACGAACCGTTTATAAGTTTCCCAAAATTACAAAACAAAGGTTTCTTTCTACGCGGGAAATGGAACAGTACAAAAACCACAAAAAAGCGTAGAATGGCGGTAAATCCGCGAATGTGATTGGACCGCCCGAATTTGCGACACAATAAAGCGCTTTGAAAGTTTCAAACTTTGTTCTAGGCTCGGGTTTTGATAGTTGGGAGGCGCACACACAGTTCAAAACCAGACTTTAGAAGCCGTTTGCAGCGGCAGTAAAGCGGAACTGAGGGATAAAGCTGTGGAGTTTGTTGCACGTACCAGGATTGTGTAAACTCCAGTACGAGCGCTTTTGGGGAGGGGGGGGGGAATAAAATGTTTGTTTGTAAATAGGACACATTTTGCCTCTTTGTGATTGGCTGTTTGTGGTATGGTTGAAAGCTGGAGGGGGCAACACACAGACGCGACAGATACTTAGATTAGTTGCTCTGGTTACGTGAAGGTTTATATCTTCCTTTTTATCTACAGGGTGGAATAGCCTAGATGAGTGTGGTTGTTTGAGTCTGTTACTCAAAGGCACAGTGCAATAGCAGTGTGCACTCCGCTCAGTTCGGTTCTTGCTTAGAATCTGGTCACTACGTGCTCTCCATTGCCTTGATGATGTGCCTAATAAATTATCAATGCCATTAAAACTATAGATCATATCTAGTTAATCTTTCCTAGAACTTCGTTTTCTCCAAATCCTTCATCTTCGTTTTATTTCTTTGGTTCGTCTTCTTACTCCTTAACAGCGTACTTACGGTGGAATCTGTCGTTAACTTCTGTCAAGTAGTAAACACCAGATCCAACGTTTTCCAATGAACCAACTGGAGTAAAGTTCTTCTTCAAATGAGCAGCTTCTCTAAGAGCCAATGCAGCTTCGTACTCATCTGGGGTAGCAATTTTTCTAGAGTTGAGCTTGTTGTCCAAGTCCAACTTTTCGGTGATGTAGGTGATATCACCCTTGACCACTGCACTGAACAAAGATGCAGCCAATCCTGATCCATAAGAGAAAAGACCAATTCTCTTTCCTTGAAGCTTTTCAGATCCCACGTAGAACAACAAAGAAGACAATGCTGCGTACAAAGAAGCGGTGTACATGTTACCGGTGTTTGTTGGGACTTGCAAAGAAGGTTGAACTCTTTCTTTGGTCAGCTCCTTGGCCAAGGCAACAAAGGTCTTTTCAACGGTCTTATCAGAGAGGGAATCTTCGTATGACATCTCTGCAAGTGATTTATCCACCTCTGGGAACAACTCTGGGTTGGCTCTGAAGTCGTTGTAGAGCAATCTTGCGTAAGACTTGACAACCAATTTACAAGTTGGAACGTGGAATGCGTTGTAGTCAAATCTCTTTGTAGCGCCCACAGTAGTTGCGGTGGCACTTTCAACACCAGCCTTGATGGCCTTCTTAGAGTAAGCCGCATAGGCTTTATCCAAGGCCTTAACGTAGCATGCAAGGGAAAAGTGACCATCAACATATGGGTACTCAGATGTGAAGTCTGGTTTGTAGAAGTCGTAAGCGTGCTCCATGAATGAGCCTCTAATGTTGTCAAAGACGATTGGTGCATCTGGACCGATCAACAAGGCAACGGTACCAGCACCACCAGTTGGTCTTGCAGCACCCTTTTCATAAATGGCAATGTCACCACAAACAACAACTGCATCACGGCCATCCCATGCAGATGATTCAACCCAGTTGATGGAGTTGAAAAGGGCGTTAGTACCACCGTAGCATGCGTTGATGGTGTCAATACCTTCAGTATCGGTGTTATCACCGAGCAATTGAGTCAAGACGGACTTGACAGACTTGGACTTGTCGAGCAAAGTCTCTGTACCAACTTCCAATCTTCCAATGTTGTTAACATCAATGTCATAGTTCTTGATAAGCTTGGACAAGACGGTAAGGGTCATGGAGTAGATATCCTCTCTATCGTTCACAAAACCCATGTTGGTTTGACCAAGACCAATGGTGTACTTTCCAGCAGACACACCATCAAACTTCTCCAACTCTGCTTGGTTTACGGCCTACAAGACTTCGAGTTAGTAGTCGTTCGGAACACAGAATGAGACACCTTTATACTAACTTGGCCTGGGATGTAGACCTCGATGGCCTTGATACCAATGTTCTGTGGACGTGACATTACTGAATGTTTATTTGGAGATTGACTGTTGAATCGTTATCCTTCCATAGAAGAAGAAAGGAAAGAAGAGGATTACAGATGAAATTTTTGGTCCAACAACGCTGAGACTCGTTTAGGAAAGAAGAAAAATATGATCGCGTTGCCCAATTCGTTCGTATAATCATCAAACGACGCGTTGTCGGGAAAAATGTTCTTTGTGTGCGGTGGTGTGTGTGACTTTTTGTTGGTTTGATTATATAATTTATTACATAATACTGTGATGGACACACGAGGTTGTTTCATTACAAGATACTTGGGCACACAGTGACGATTTTATACCGTATACAGGATTATTAAGCTCGTGAATTTGCTGTTGAGAGCCATTAAACACAAGTTCACTATTCCAAGGTGCTTGAGCCGTTTGGAAATGGACGTTAGGAAAATGGTGAGTGAATGAAACAGGTTTTAGTGCACTGATGTATAGGCCCGCGACAACTGTTAGAGGACTCAGTTCCCAAATAGTCACAAACGTTCATATATACCCAGTCATTGTTATCTAGTACAGAAAGCACAGTTGATTGTTGAATGTGGTTTAATATGCGATACTAATGCCTGTGAGCAGGTCTATGGTGTATTATTAGTACAGGGTTCACGAACGCAGACGTTGTCATGTACACTGGATGCATGGCCTAAAAAACTCCATGTATAATTATTTGACTAGACCATTAAAGTCGAATGTGATACATAGTCTAGCCATGTGCTCGTTCACCTGATACCTCAATGATTTCATCCAAATTCTCTTGACTGGTATATAGTCTTCCCGACTCGTTGGTCGCAGTCGCAGGAGGGACTGGCTGATACTCGGTCTTGTTACCTTGCCACATGACGATGCCCAACATTGACATGAAGACACAGATGCCAATAATCAGTGAACTCAACGCCAGAGAAAACCATAAGTCACCTCTTGTAACCGTCACATATGTAAGTTTGGACCACGTACTTATGGAAACATCCATAGTGGATATTAAAATGGCCATGCAAGCCCATTGAACAAAGGATAACAAGGTACCTATACAAAGGATATAGCTGATGACAATATTTGAAACAACCTTGAAGACATGTAGGTTAATAACAGTCACCAGTAATACAAGGGATAGCAATGTTGCAACAAATGCGCCTAGTGCACTTCTATATGCAACTTCAATGTCACTGTCCTGATTTCTAGGGAACGTTGAGCTCACATTAACTTCTTGCCCAGCTGGTGATTCAATCATCGTCAAAAAGCTATCTATAACGTCATCAACATGGCCACCACTGGTTTCGCTGCACCACGTTTCAACAACAACAGACGTATCGACTGCACCATCGCTATTCTGTGCATAAACTCCCTTACAATACCCCCAGAGCCCATATCTTAAGACATAGGGGTCTGTATACAATGTGTTCACATCTTCGACACCTTCAGCGGTGATGACTTGAGAGAAATTTGTCTTGGTGAAGTCCAACTCAAAGATATAAACAGCTGAACGGGGTTCATTGTAGAAAAGAGTAAGACTTGAAAGGATTAGAGTAATTATCGACAAAAATAACGATGGTCCCCAAGGAAGTACGAACATATTATCTTCCTGTGCTTAATGGGGTTCTCTTGTTCAAGAGGGAAAAGGGTGGTCAGACAACAGCTCACATCCACGTTTATATACTCTTGGTGTCAATATCTGAGTACACATATTGCCGAGTATGAGCATGCTTAATAGGGCGCTTTTGAAAAGCCAAGGACCGGAACCTACCAAAGTTATCCCACGGCCCTAGTGCACGTTCCAAGCCTCCAAAAGGTGGTGGTTGAAATTAGTTCATCGCTTGTGAAGGAGCTTGTAGCCATAAATAAGTTCTACACCGATCCTGCCAAATTGAAACATTTCTTCTCTCTTGTCTGTATAACAAAATCAATCCTGTAAGTATTTGAACACATCAACCAATTCATCGAACAAAACAGGGAACGATTCAAAACACTTCATCAACTCTTCAAAGTCAGGTTTGAACAACTCTGCACCTTGTGGGTTATTCGTCAGTGAAGTTAACAGCATAACTGCGGAACTGTTGACATCGTTAAGAGTTGTTGGTGGTACATACACTTGCACCGGTTCTTGGACAGATTTCGCTGAGACAACCTCATTCTCCTCTTTAGGTTTAATGTGGCCAAAGGCCTCTAAATCACCTGTCTTAATATCAACTGAGACCTGTCTAGGCTCGATTCCCTTAATAATAAATCTTCTTTGGCCGTTAGGCAAGTTGATCACCATCGCACTGGAATTGTTAAATGCCTGTGATACATTTTTGATGAAATCAACTGCAGGTAAGAGTTTCTTTTTGGTGATATCTTTTTCAAATTGCTGTTCATAAGCTTTCCACAGAGAAATCTGAGTAACATCGCTCGTTGGTACAAACTTATAACAGCATCTCATCCATGCAGTGGCTCTCAAAGGTTCAGGTAACAGTGAAATTTGTCGGTAATGTTCTGGTAACAACTTTGGAGCAGTCTCTGGAACTGGTGGTTTTGTACGTTTCACCAGTCTCATAGGTTGTAAAGATTTGAGATTGTTGGGGTTCTTTGAAACATTCTGTTGGAAAGTTAACAATTTTGGCAAGCTTGATCTAAGTATATCCTGTCTAGTTGTAGATCTCAGCAAGTGTGAAACTCTAACGATTCCCGGTAAAGAGTACTGGTACAAGAAATCCAAAGATGTTAGGATTAAGTCATAGTCATTTGTCAAGAGGAAAGATGCCACTCTGTCCAAAATCGGCGAAGTGAAGTTTGAAGCACAGTTGTCCTCTGTAGTTTCCGAGCGTACCAAAAATCTTGCAAATGATCTCATAAGAGAGATAACCAGCGAACGATCATTGCTCTGTAAGAATATCTGGCTCAAAGATAGGAGGAGGTCATCATTCTTAGGTAAAGGCGCGTAGTAAGACGATACACTTTCAACAATGTCGACAGTGTAAATCAGCAGTTCGTCGTCGATGTTTTTGAACCTTGGGTCAGTTTCCTCTACTGCCTTGTCTTCCTTGTCATCTTGGAAATTTTCCAACACTTCTAGGAGGATTTTCTTAGTTCTTGGGTTCGATGCCAATAGCTGGGTGAAATCCGAATCCTGTGATAGGTTTCTCAACGTCAACGCACTTGTCTTATCGAAATTTGAACGCAGATCCTCCAATAGGTATTCCAACGCCCATGGTTGGTTGATCATAAAAGAGGTATTGCTGTCCCTGCTGAAATGCAGCAGCGTTCTCTTACACCAGTCCAAGTTGATTGACGCCTTCAGACTGAACTGCAGCTGAGTCATGATATCAGCACCCTGAGTATTGGTTCCTGGAAGGTTCAGAACAGCCGGGTTGATGTTCAAACGTGACCCCGGAGCAATGTGATGGTCCATTGGTATTGAGATTGGTGTGGGAACCACCAAGTTCGAGAAATCTGTGTATGACATTGTTTGCTTCTACAGGTGTCAGTGTTGGTGTGCGACCCTGATGACGTGATGGGTCTTTCTTCAAAGTTGTTTGTTTGGTGTTGTTTACATTTTCTTTGGAGCCGCCGTAGGGAAAATTCGAACGGGTTTGCGCAAAAAAAAAAAAACACAGAAGTGTACACAGTTGGTGTTCGGGTGTTAAGAGCAGCGAGTATTCACACGCCGGTGTTTTATTTATTCGGCAGTTTGTATGTTTAATGCCTCGGAATATAGGGGCTTTCTATCTGTTACTATGGATATTCGAATATGATTGATTATTAGTGGATGACAATCGTACTTTCAAAATGATTCAGTAAACGCTTACAACCGAGATCTTAGAAAATGAAGCCTTAAGTCATATAATTCAAAAATCAAAGAGGAGCATATATAAAACTAACATCAAAAAACAAAGTGTTATAATCGAAAAATACACGCATTTATCTCGAGAAGATTCATTATCTCCTCAATTGACACCAAGTGTACTTCAAAGTACAAACATACACACAGTTCTGCCTCTTAACTCGATACAAAGCTAATACCATAATTTAGTGGTGGTGAAACACCCATACACCTCTTCATTTGGCCATTGCGTGCCACGATGCAGGGACGTACCTCTTTCGTATATAAAAGATCAAGCGGGCTTTCGAGTTCAACTTCCATTGGCTTTCCTACAGGGAAATATCAAATGAGTTAATCGATTTCGAACTTTCAAATGAAAAGTCCCCATTGTCGGAAAGCTTTATTTGGTTGCTTTCACGTGTGTGCCCGTTAACTAAGAGAGCGGTGACATTTTCATGTGGCCGAAAACGTCATTGCTCTTATGAATTATGCATGTTGTGTAACAAGCTTGCTTTTTTGCTATGATGTTTCTTTTCAGCGCCCCCCCCCCAGGTTCATTGCTATGAGCCATGTAGTGGAATAGGAATTAGAACTCTATAAATTGAACAAAGCTCCTCTCTTTGCTCCATCTCTTTCCCTCCTCTGCATCCCGTTCATTCGGACATTAGTACTGTAAAGTAATGAAAGCTTCAAACTTGCTAAAAGCACTGGTACTTATTACAGGTGCATCAGCTGCACTTTCCACCAACGTTATTGATTCGTGGGATGTTGAGGACCTCAGAGATTATCTCAGAGACACCTCGGTCTCATACGATGAAAAGAAAGCCACACTACAGGAGTTGAGAGATTTGAGTAAGAAACAATGGCAACTGCGTGCCAACCAAAGAGCACCAACATATCCTTCAGAGCCTTCTTGGTTTAGTTTCGAGTCTATCAAGCAAAAGGTGTTGGGTGCTTCAACAGAGGCCACAAAGACCGTCAACGATTGGTATTCTCAAGCCGATTTTGATAACTTGAAAGGTTGGGTGTTTGCTACATGGTCCACTACTGAGCTGGAAAAGTTGCTTCAAGCTGCGGGCATTAAGTACGATAAGACCAAGAGCGTTACACGTTCCCAATTGGAGAAGCTGGCACAGGACAACTATGATGCCATTGCAAAGCACTTCAAGTCCTCTGGTAAATATCCAGGAGATTGGCTCTACTCTTCATGGGACAAGTCTGACTTGGAAAAATGGTTGAAGCAGTACGGCGTTGAATACTCTTCTACGAAGGCTTCCAAAGACGAGTTGGTTCGCAAAGTTCGTGACAATGCTTACAGGGCATCACAATATGCCATTGATGAGCGTGACAGTGTTTTGGATTCCTTGGACTTAACCTCAAAGTCACTATTTGACAAAGCTGGCGAGTTGAAAGATGATGTTTTCAACTCCTGGACAGAGTCCCAGTTGTACTCCTGGTTAAAGACTCATGGCGTTGAATTGCAAGAGTCTGCAAAAAACAACCAGAAAGAGCTGTTAGCCTTGGCTTCAAAGCACTCAAGCGACCTGAAAGGTGATATCGACTATTGGGTCTCAAAGGCTTCTAAAACCGCTTCACCATATTTGGAAAAGGGATCTAAGAAGGCTGATGAAGTCATCAACGATACGTTTTTAGTTGGTGTTGATGATTGGAGCAAGTCACGTCTGAGGGCTTTTTTGGAAGCTCGTGATGTCAAGATCCCAATGTTTTCTACGAGATATGACTTGGTGAACCTCGTGAAGGAGAACAAGTACAAGCCAATCAAGAATTTCAACAGCGATGCCTTCTTCGAAGGTTGGAGCAAAGAGAATGTTCAGAAATGGCTCGAGGAACAAGGCTCGAATGTCCAGCAAGGGTCCCAAGACTTGTACTCAAGGGCCAATGAAGCTTACAAGTCCTTCGTCTCTGGAGCTGAAGGGCTTGCCCAAACTGCTCAGGAAAAGGTTGCAGACGCTACTGGATATGGTACGAAGAAAGCAACGCTCTTTGACAAGTGGAGTGACTCTGATCTGAAGAAGTATCTCTCCAGCTTTGGAATCAAGACAAAGACCACCAAGAGGGAGGAGTTGTTGGCCAAGGCCAAACAAAATACCGTGTGGTTTATCAACGGTGATGGATTCTCCTCCAGTGCATCCGATTCTGCCAATGGTGTTAGAGCCCAAGTGAAGTACGTTGCAGCTAGTTTCTTCAACAACGCTTTGTACTACTGGAGAGCCCTTATCAACTACATCCGCTTACAGTTGAAACAATAAATCTTATAGTTTTCTTCAAAGCACAAAGCATAAAACAAAGATGTCCCTAGGGAACGTGTAGCTTAAGATTATAATTATAATGTGTATAATATAATATAATCTTCCCAGGGGAAATACATTCGGGCTTCGATCAAATTTTCTGTAGTTCCCTCCAAAAAAAAAAAGCGAGACCACAAAAACGTACAAGCTCCCTTGTGTTTTGATCACAAAAACGAAACCAAGTTCTACAAACCCCATAACAAAACAAAGATGGCTAAATACGCATGGTACACAAGAGTTGCTGATACAGTACATCGTCTAACAGTTCTGACCCTTGTTGGTGGTTGTTTCTACATCGTTGGTGGATTATCGTGGACCATCTATCAGAATGGAAAGAAGTTTGAACAACAACAACAATTGGCTGCTGTAAGTATATCATATTGGAACCCTGATGAATGATAACTAACTTGTTGATAGAAACCTGCGGAGGAAGACCAACAACAACCACAACAGTGATGTTTTTCAAACCAATGGTGCTTTTATTTTGTTCATATGCTCTCAAATTCTTGTCCATACGTTCCTCTTTCTGTATATGAAAAAAAAAAACAGTCTATCAGGATTTCTTTTGTTTCTTGCTTGATCTATTTGTACTTGGTTTCTTTCTTTTGAGCTTCTTTAAGGAGTGTGTCAGCCCCTTTGATCCTAGGATCTCCATTCTCTTTTCCAACTCTTGGACGGTTTCTGATGACGTTGGATTAATCACGATGGTGTCCTCATATGGTAGGTCGCAAACAGGACACTGTCTCGTATCGTTCAGCTCTAGACATTTTTGCGCCATACAGTCACCACAGGGAATGAGATAGACGTAGTTTATGCCTCCATTGCCCAGTTCCTTATCACTCAATGGACACTTGAAGTTGTGTGTCTTTAAGGCAACAACATCCTTCAGAGATTTTATATGCGATAGATTCTGCCTCTGCTTTTCATTGAAGTTGTCTGGCTCAACCAAGTACTCCAATATCGACTCCTTATTGTAGAGCAAGCCTTTATAATCACTCACCACGGGGTCTCGGAGCGGTTTGTTACTCAGCTGACACGTTGTCCATCGTTCATTGTTGTATTCTATCTGTGCGATTCTATCAATCTTGTCGCCTTTCGATTCCTTTACAAGCTCTTTACGCTTGAGTTTAACCGACCCATCTGCCTACAGCTTTGTCAGTATATGCTATTCTCCCTTATAGTATCACTAGGGATGAGTAAACTTACGCCCATCGTGTGCTTTGGTGTTTCTCTTTTGACGGTGGAAAGATGTCAAAATGCACCAGAGAAGAGGCCCTTCGCACCAAAAAAAAGCAAAAACTGAAATCATCACCAAAAGGAAAGAACGTACAAAACTTGTACTCTTTTGTCATCAGAATTTAACAAACCAATAAACTGGGAGAGGATATGTCGGATTCCATTATATGGTGAGTATATTTGCACCGTGTGTTTGTTTCTTTACTAACTGGGATATATTCAAGTCAATTTTACACCAAAATTGGAGCATGCCGTCATGGTGAGAAATGTTCTAGAAAGCACACAAGACCTTCACATTCACATACGATCATCCTGACGAATCTATACAGACCACAAGACTTGGGGAACCAGTTGGATGAAGCCAAGAAGAAAGACCAGGAGTTTGAGAACTTTTATAAGGATATCTTTGTGGAGAGCTCACTGATTGGACAGGTCGAAGACCTTGTTGTTTGTGAGAACGAGAATGACCATTTGAACGGAAACGTCTACGTTAAGTTTGCCAAAGAAGAAGATGCTCTCAGGGCAAGGGATAACTTCAGCTCGCGTTGGTACAATGGTAGACCTGTTTATTGTGAACTGAGTCCAGTATCACACTTTAAGGATGCCATTTGTCGTCAACATGAGACTAAGAGCTGCGAACGTGGTGGTATGTGTAATTTCATGCATTCAAAAGCTGTTCCAAGGGACTTGCAAAGACAGTTAATACTATCGCAGAGGAAGTTTAGATCATAAATGGTATATTGTGGTGATCGTAATAGTAGTAGAAGTAATCTGCCATTTTTCTCACGGGTAAATTGTCCCGGGATGGCGAAAAATCAAAACAGAACCATCAAAACAACAACTGTGAAGCCATAGGAAACCATCAAACATTAGAAACAAACAATGGCTGATAGATACTCCTTCTCCTTAACAACATTCTCACCAAGTGGTAAACTTGTGCAGATCGAATATGCTCTCAATGCGGTGAAACAAGGTGTCACCTCCTTGGGTATCAAGGCGACCAACGGTATAGTGTTGGCCACTGAGAAGAAGGCGAATTCTACTCTACTCAACAAGGACTCGCTGTCCAAGATCTCTCTTATAACTCCAGACATTGGTGCTGTCTATTCAGGAATGGGCCCAGACTTCCGTGTTCTGGTGGATAAGGCAAGAAAAGTCTCTCATACAAATTACAAGAGAATCTACAACGAGTACCCACCAACAAAGATCTTGGTCAGTGAGATTGCTAAAGTTATGCAGGAGTCCACGCAATCAGGTGGTGTTAGACCTTTTGGTGTCTCGTTATTGGTTGCAGGTTATGACGATCATAACAAATTTGGTCTATACCAAGTTGACCCTTCAGGCTCGTACTTCCCTTGGAAGGCTACGGCTATTGGAAAGGGCTCTGTTGCTGCAAAGACCTTCTTGGAGAAGAGATGGAACGAAGAATTGGAGCTGGAAGATGCGATTCATATTGCGCTACTGACTTTGAAGGAGTCTATCGAAGGTGATATGAACGGTGACACTGTGGAAATCGCCGTCATTGGTGAACCAAACGATTCCCTGTTAGGGTTCCAAGGAGTCAAAGACCAAGTTGGACCAAGATTTAGAAAACTTACGCCACAGGAGATTAACGATAGATTAGATAGTTTATGAAGAAGAATAACCACCCACTCTCCTTTTCATTTCTTTCTATTTGAAAGGTGCTTTTAATGGATCTATAACAACACCACGCTTTGTAGTGATCTTTGGCATTGTAAGTCTTTGATGCGTCTCTCTAGAAGTCCATTCTTGTCCAATAGGCATTCTTAAACTTCTCTCGTATTGATCCTTGGTTTCAAATGTGAATGGAACATTTTGTGCCTGGTATTTGGCATTCTTCTTGTTCACCTTTTCGTTGATGATAACATTTTGCTTGAACCTGTCCTTACGGTTATTGGCATCGACTATTCCCTTCTTCTTCTTGAGAACTTTGTTCTTTTTCGTTTTATGGTTACCACCTACCCAATCACCCCAGCCAGGCAGTGTCAAGTCTTCAACCTGATCTCCCTCATCTTCAACAATCTTACGCTTCTCGGCATTGAACTCCGCAATGACATCTTCATCGCCAGCAAATGCCTGTTTCATCATATCGGTCTGTTTGAACATACGAACTTGAGACTCATCCTCTTCCTCTTTTCCAGAATCTTCTCCATGTGGATCAACGAGTTTCATGACACCATCCATCTCCAGGATCTCATCATCTGCATCCATCTCATTTGCTTTACGCTTCTTCTGTTGTTTGCTAATCTTATTCCCACTCTTCTCCAACTTGGAAGAATTGGAGTCAATGACTTTCACCTTTCTACTCTTTTGTACCTGCTTGTCATCCTTTGCCATCCATGGTATTTCATCGTCATCATCACCTTCTTGTTCAGATTCGGGTGACACCTTCTTGGATTTACCCTCATGTGCTTTCACAAGTCTATTCGGGAGACTCTTAGAGCTATCAATAGCTTCCTCCTCAACAACTTGCTTATTCACACGTGAAATTTCAGCCTTGGAAACACCAGCACCTGGTGTATAAACTCTTCTTCCAGGATTTATAGAGATATTTACAGAGTTTACTTCATCCTCTTGAAATTGTTCTAAATCCCCAGTGGCATTCAATTTTTGTAGACGAGCTCTTTCCTCTGCATTCGCAGTTCTTTCACGAGCTTCTGCATTCTTCATGAATGCCATGTTCATAACACCAGTTTTGCCCAACTTGTCACGGAGTTCAGAGTCACTTGATTCGTCAACTTCCTTATCCAAATCGAGGTTGTTCATGTCACCAAACTCTTCATCTTCATCTTCACGATCCAAGATCTTGGCCTTAAGTCTTTCACCACGTCTCAACATCTCCTCCATTTCCTCTCTGGCTTCACCATCTTTACTCAGTCCTGATCTCACAAGAGACTTGGCATAAGCGTTGTTTTTATGTTTCAAGGACATTCTCTCCTCAGCACGTTTAGCATCGTGATCTTCGTCATCACTTGAGCCGTCAATCATCTCTTTATTCTTGAGCATCTCCTTCTTCTTGATTCTACGGAAGCTCTTAGACTTGATCTTTTTCAATCTTTTAGCTTCTCTCTCTTGTCTGAACATAAGTTCCCTCATCTTTCTCAATTCAGCAGTTCTCTTTCTGACCTCTTCAGGTGACATCTTGGCAGTTTGAATCTCTTCAAAGGTAGCCTCTTGGTTTTCGTTGAGTAATGCGGACTCAGTGAGTAATCCGTTGATCTTCTTCTCCATATCTGTCATCGCTGGCGTTGAAGCGAAAGAAGAGGCCTCGTTATGTTGAACCTTCGGATTCAGCGGGAAGGATAGCACTTCTGCGTTTCTGTTCTGTTTCACAGTATCCTTCCACTTATTCACCTCATCCTTAGAGATTTGATAAGCTGCTTTACGCTCATGTCTTTGTTGAATTCTCTTTGGCAAGGGAACGTCTAGGGATTTACCACTTGTTTCAGTTTCCTCCTTATCAATCAAGATTGCATTTTTCGAAGCATCCTTATCAACGATGGAAATCATATCTGTAAGCGTGATGGCATCACCTCCACCTGGCAGTGCAAGTTCGTTCTCTTCGATATTTAGATCTTGGTACTGTTTTTTCCCTCTTTTGTCACCCTTTTGCAGTTGTTTCTTCAACTGTGTCAGCTCAACTTCATCTTCATCGCTTTCACCTTGTTCAAATGGGAACTCTTCTTCATCGTCATCATCCTCTTCACTTTCAGAGTCGTCTTCACTCTCTTGTGAAGATTCGGTTTCCCAATCGTCATTTAAAACGATGTCCTTTCCAGAAGACTTTTTCCGGTCCTTTTCATCCAAGTCCCAAACTGCAGATAATGGAACCAGCTCAGATTCGTCTATACTGTTATAGCCTTCTTCTTCTTCTTCTTCTTCTTGTCCATCAGATTGATGCTTCGTACCTGATTTCTTCTTTGACTTTGCCTTGTCTCTAAGAGTCTGAGAGAATTTGGAGCTTAAAACATCAAAATCGTCATCTGATCCTAGTGCCTCATCAGAATCCAACTCTTCATCTTCGAATTCTTGATCCTCACCTTCATCATCAGATCCTCTCGTTGGGTTAACAATGGCACCATCATCATCATCGCTATCTAAATCACCATGTTTTGCTCTCTCTTGAGCACTAGCAATTTCAAAAGCATTCTGAGCACGTCTCGTAGATTTGGCCTTTGAATGGCCTTTGCGGCTCTTAACCTTTGAACCCTTTGCCATTTGCGAAATTGAAGTTCTACTATTTATAATGAAACATTGATAAAAACATCAAAAATTCCAATGAAGCAGGAAAGAAAAATTTTTGTGATGAGATGAGCTCGAGTCGGAACTCAGACATGTCACGTGACCATTCACTATAAATTCCGATCTACTGTGATGATGATTCAATTATACACGCAATACAGTATCAATTACAGGAATTTCTGGGTGTTATGGTTCACATACAATGAGATATTCACAGTATAGAAGGATTTATTTGGTTTCAATCGGTGGGTTAGCGGTAGATTTAGCAGCTTGCATTTCTCGTTGATGGACTTTCTCTCTAAGCACTTGATCGAGCCTTTGGATGGTTCGTGATTTCTCGGTGATGATCTCTGTAACCTTTGTAGAGTCCTTGTTCAGCTGTGTTACCTTGCCCTCGAAGAACTTGATTGCATCCTCACTGGACTTTTCGATGTAATAGCCGGTACCAACATCAACGAGGAACTTGTTGTTATCCTTCACTTTGCCTGGAACGTACAGCGATCCTGATAATGGCACCAGTAATTCTTTCCCTTCATTGCCCTCTGTAGATACCTGCTTCACGTTGTTGATACACTCCTTGTATTTCCCCAGGGCCATGTTCAAAGCACTTAAAGAAGTGGAAAAGTGTTCCATCTCATCTTCAAATTGCTTTCTGAGTTGGATCAGTTGTTCTGGCTCGAGTTTGGTTATATCAACTGGTATCGTTAGTATCTTTGAGGTAACATAGCCACACATACACTAAGAGCACACTTACTGGTCTTTCCTGACATTGCTTGTGGTGATTAGTAATTGGCGTTTTGCTGAAAGTGTGTTGAAGAAAAGGAAACGCTGGATTTTTCACCAATTTGACCATACACACACCACACATCATCGTGAAAACAACACAGGGTAACGGGACGTTAAGAATCATCATCGATATGGATAATCAGGATTCTACGTCCTTTGCGAGTATTCTAGCTGGTGTTCAGAGACTCAGGGAGAATGGCGAAGTGGCGAGGGAGCCGGAGAATAAACAAGTACAAAGGCAACAGCAATCTCCACAACCAGTGCAGAGACAGCCATCACCACATATTGGGCAGAAGAGGATCAATGCCTTCAACCAGGACAAGTCTCGGTCACAAGGGCCCAAAGTGCCAAAGCCTTCATCACTCAACGTCAACTCGAGGCAGAAGCAGAACCCTTTGATGAGCTCGTTGACAAATGTTAACTATATCTTTGTCGAACAGCGTAACGTTTACGACTTCCTTGTGAATGGAAGAGATGTTATATTCTTATCGTTGAAGTACCACAAGCTACATCCAGAATATATCCAGAACAGAATGAAGCCACTCATGAAGAAGAATGCTATATTGCTATGTGTGGTTGATGTTGAAAACAGCGATTCTCTGTTGAGAGAGATCAACAAGCTATGCCTTTATAGCGATTTTACACTGCTTCTGGCATTCACGTATGAACAGGCTGCTAAATACCTGACGTATCTGGCAACTGCTACGAAAAGTGTCATGAAAACATGATACATTTATATACGCATTGCACTGTCCAATGCCTTTTGGAACGATTTGAGAAGAAGCTCCTTATCTTCCAACCCGATGCTCAATCTTATGAGGTTTCTATCAACTCCCCATTGCTTGACATCATCCAACTCTTTATAGTGGGCCAATAGGACAAATGGTATCACTAGTGTGAAGTTTGTGCCGAGAGATGGTCCCTTGTGCAAGTCAAGAGCGTCGTAGAACGCAGCTGATTGTTCCTCTTTTTCAAATACAATTGATATCAACATACCGTAACTACCGTGTTTAGTCTTGACTGAATCGAAATACGCTTTGGACTTGTCAACACTTGGATGGAACACTTTGCTGATGATTGGGCATGCCTTGAACAGAGAGAGAACAGCTTCAGTGTTTGTATTAGCCAATTGACACCTAGAGACAAAATCACGAGAGTTAATCTCCAGTTGAATGGCATCCTCTTCCCAGAATGTGTCTTCAAAGCTTTGATTGAAATACTTCTTGAAGGTGTTATAAAAACTGGACTCTTTGTTCAAGATCAAGGACCCAGCCATCAAATCTGCTTCGCCAGAGAAGAACTTCGTTAGAGAAGAAACAATTACATCTGCATATGGTCTCACGTCAACTTTATAGAACCCACTTATTGTGTCATCCACTACTACTGGGAATCTATAACGAATAGACAATTCATGAAGTCTTTGTAGGTTTGGAGTTTTCAATAATGGATTTGAAGGACATTCACAGAACAAACCGAGAATCCGTTCGCCGTTTGCCAACCTATCCTCTAGTGAGTCAAGTGATTCCTCGTCACCAAACCCATAGAAATGAACACCTGGACCGACATCTTTGAGGATGCCCAAGGTATCAACGAATGGGAATCCAAAACAAACAGACTTAGCATTAGGCAAAGTGTCCAACATACACCTATGAATGTTGAATATGGTGGACATTCCACTTGGGTATAGATAAATGTCATCTTTATCGGTATGTTGTGACTTTGACCCATTGTCGTTTAAGATATCAGCAATGCGTGATCTCACAAGATCTTTTGCATTGCTTAACTTGAGAGTATTGGAACTCCCCAATGCTCTTTGTTTGATCTCGCAATGGTATAAAACATACTCTGCAAATCTAGAAGAGATTCCTTGACCTGAATACTCCCAATATGTTTTTGCCAGTGCAAATTCCGATTCTGGAAGGAAAACAACATCCATTTCACATTCACCCTTTGGTGAGACTGCAGCCAATTGCAAGACCCTCACGTTTGGAATGATCTCACTCTTTTCAACAACGAAATCACAGCAACGCTTTGCAACGTTATAAGTTGGAAAGACAAATGCCACTTCACCTTCCTTCGCATACAGACCTTCAAGGTAGGCACACAGCTTCTTAATGCTTGGGTGGATCTGGAAACGTGGATAGCCCATGGGCATCTTCTGAAGAACCGATTCGTCACGTTCTAAGAAATCAAGTACCAATTGCCATGTTGGTAATGTTACGCTTATCGCATGCTTTGAAGTTATTGGGATACTTGTGCCGAGTTCTTGTGATGGGAGTGTCATTGGTAAAATCACTGGCTTCGATTGAATTAGCAGCTCGAGTTCGAAACCTGAGTGTTCAATCCAAGGGATGTTTTGTCAGAAAGAACTTGAAACTTTACAATAGTGCTGGCGTACACCTCCATCATAGGCCCCTCGGGGTATGAAATTTCTCATAATATTATATTATAATTTCTCAATTATATAATTATTACTACAAAACGTCAGTGCCTTTCTTCTTACTATCTTTTGTAATTTTAGCACTCTTTGCACCGAACTGGATCGCTCTCTTGGGTTCTTCACTAACAAATTCTAACCCTAGCCTCAGTGCTAACTGTCTCAAGATGAATTTCGATACCTTATAGTTGATCTCTATACCGTTTGTGCTGAATTCAATGACCTGTTCACTTAGAAATGGATATCTAACTTCAACTCCGTTATCTGCGATGACTTTATCATCCCTCTGTAAATTTCTCTCATGGATGTTGTTTATCTGCCTCTGTAGTTCTGGAACTAACGTTTCCAAGTCCTTATTTGCAAATTTATGATAACCACCGTAGAGTTCATCTGCTCCAAGTCCACTCAACAACACCTTCGCACGAGACTGGTGATCACCATGGTTAACTATCGTTCCATTCTCGAGTCGCAATCTCTGACCTTGACCCCTCGATGCAAAATAAAAGGCAATAGCAATTGACAAGTCCATCTCTGTGTTTTTTGGGTACATAAGTTCAATGACTCTGGGTCTTAGGGATGAATAAACTTCAAAGGGCACATCGATGGTTATGAGATTGAAAGAGATATTGGGAAATTTTAACTGCAAACATTTCCAACTGTTGAGTGCCAGTTGTCTATCAGGGGCATCCTTCGCAAACAACCCCGTTCTTGGGTTATCAAATGCCACGTTAAGCAAGTCTATAGTTGTTGAATCCGCTGAAAACTGTGCACAGAGACCGGCAATAACGGTACAGTCCAATCCACCAGAGAACAAGATCGAAAAGAGTGCATCGTGATCATCCACTATGTGTAAAGGTTGAATCGTTCTAATACGTTGTTCCACTGATTTGGTCAATACATGTGATAGAGAATCCAATCGCTGTTCAAGATGAGCCATGTTGTGATCTGTTTTGTCATTGATGACAACAGTCATGATACTAGGGTCAATCTCCAGAGTGTTTGTATGCAATTGGTATTTGTAGATGGCACCGTTCAAACAATCTTTAAACTGATCCCTTTCAGCTAAGGGATTCACACTGGATATGGTTAACCCTTCTTCATCCACTTTGTAGACAAGACTTCTCTTACCGATCGGGTCCCTTCCAAAATATACACAACCACTGTGCTTGTCGTATACGGTGAATGCAAACTCACCATCTAATAGATGTATAGTGTCTTCCACCGTGTTGCTCGATAATAACTGCCTTATGTACCGAGTATCATTTCCCCCGATCTGTTCATTATAAAGCTCACCATTAAACTGGATAACAAACCGATCATCATGGATAGGCTGAGGTGTGAACGGTGATCTCAGAGATAGAACTGATGAGTAAAAACAGATATTATCTGTGACTAGCACATTTGAGCTGTCTGGGCCTCTGTTGAAGATCTTTGGGACTAATTGATCAAATATTGGAGAGAAAGAGCCCGTTTGAAATTCATCTGTAGACTTAAATGAATAAGACTGGTCTGGAACTTTGGTATTGACTTGGAACTGTAGTAAGATACCGCACATTGAGAGGGAAAAAGGCTCACAAGATTATGAGATGCGATGAGACGATGGTTTTCGAGTGGGAAAAAAAATTAATTCCGATAAAAACGAACGGAATTAAAGCAGAAAGGAGACATCGGGGCATCTTCAGTTCTACCCGATAAACGAATCAACAAGAAAGGACCAACAAGAAAGGATCAACAACGACGAAGCATGGAAGAGAGAGACAGCGAGGAAAGTACAAGAACAAGGGCATCCAAGTTTGATTTTCAGTTGTTCCTGCAACAACTTCGAAGCAAGAAAGCGGATCCTGTACTTCGGTACATCAAGTCATTTTTGAAGAACTTTACCCAAAGATCTTTCACCGTAGATGAGCAGGTCAAGATCTTTGACGACTTTGAGGAGTTTATATTTGCTCGGATGGCAGAGTATGAACCTTTCAGCACAATGGATGAGGTGAGCTTTGAGAATGCCAAAGCCGGCGTCGAGAAGCTTGTAATGACCAAGCTGTTCGAATTGACGTATTCACCTGCCATTCCAAAGGCCAAATTAGACGAGAGCCATATGGAGGATCTACGACTCGATAAGATCTTACAGGATAACTATGCCAAGTATCCAGATCTGACAGCGAAGGATCTCGATGTTGACGAAACGCTTGCATCACAAGGACACCAGTTCATCGACATGGCAGCTGGCGAGTTGAACAAGATGAACCAGTTTAAGGCACCAAGGGCCAAGATCATCTGTCTCTTAAATGCATGTAAGCTTCTCTTCCAACTGATAAAGAGCAGCGAGCAACACCAAAACGCCGATGAGTTCCTGCCACTGCTGGTGTATACGACTTGGAAAGCCAAGGTCAAGCATCTCTACTCAGATTTACACTACCTTGAACGGTTCTCCTTCATAAAGACAAGCGAGACGCAGTACTACTTGGTGTCGTTAAGTGCAGCAGCCGAGTACATAAGGAACTTGGACAACCTCCACAGTAAATAGACATCCCATCTTACTCTCTAAAAGATTATATTATATAATATTATATTATATAATGGAAACCCGAATTATGCGATGTTATATCCGCGCGTTAAGAAAAACATGCCTCAGAACCCCAGAGAGGATCGGGGTTCGGTTTCTCGGGCTCTCTACAGGCTGTTGTAGCAGAATTAGTACCTCGCCGTATATATAAAGACCCTTAAGTTGTTTTTTCTCTTCTTACACTGATACTTTACTAATCAAATTGATTATCTTCATAAAGATTAGCAATGTTTACCCCTGTTGAGACAACAATTGGCGCGGTTCTCATCCAGCTGGCCACTACTAACTACTACTGGCAACTTGGTGGGACAATTGGCTTTTCATCAGCAATTTGTTCGGCAATCACCAGGAGATCGATACCAGGCCTGGAGATTGTGACCGGGTTAGTTTCTTCTGCGCTGATTGTAAAGAAATGGCTGCCACAGTTTGTTCCACAGTTCCCAGAGTCTGTGCTTGTGACAAAGGGTATCTTCTCGCAGACTCAGCTGCTATGCCTTGCGGGCCTGCTCGTTGGGCTGGGAACCAAGCTGGGGAGTGGATGTACTTCAGGCCATATGATTGCAGGTCTGTCCAGACTGAGATTTAGATCGCTGGTTGCAACGGCCACCTTTGCATCTGTTGCGATGGCTTCGGTGTACTTTGGTGGCTTGTATGGAATCCTAGGTGATGGTGCTAACTATGCTGTTGCATGGAACAAAGACCTTTTGCATGCCTCATGGGTCCACTTACTGCTTGCTTCGTCGTTTGCACAAGTTTATCTCATTGGTCCATGGTTGTCGAAGAAATTGAACAAGTCCGAAACCGGTAAGAAGATTGCAAAGGCATTTAACGGTATCTATTCAGGGTTCTTGTTTGGATTGGGATTACACATTTCAGGTATGGTGAACGTGACAAAGACCATTGGATTCCTCGCATTACCAACAGGTAAGCATTTTGACCCTTCGTTGATGCTGATTATGGTGTTTGCAGTGCTGCCGAACATCTTTGTGTGGAAGAAGATTGACAAGCCTTTGTTGGAGGATGAGTTCCACTGCGCAAACTCGACAGAGATCCCTACGAAATTTGTCATTGGTAACGCCATCTTCGGTTTGGGATGGGGTCTACTAGGAGTCTGTCCAGGTCCAGGTCTTTTGGATGCAGTCTACTTCCCTCAATTCCTCGGATGGCTGGCCTCTTTTGTCACAGGGCAATACATCGGGGGACAGTTGTAACGTTAGGTATACAGGCACATATACATAAGAGCTAAGTGAAGTGTTACAGTATCTTACCTCGGAAAGAAAAGAAAGCAATGCTATGAGTTAATGTTAATAAATAAATTGGAAATCAAGTCTCCTGTTACCAACGTCTCTTGAAGTATTGCGGTATATCTGTTGCTCCTCTGGTGTCAGTTGATCCCACTTACGTGCCTTTTGGCGGTTTCTCCAGATGTAATACTGTCTTGTAGCCAAGCACATCAAAACTGCTGCAATGCTAACCCCAACAAGCCAGCTGTTTCCTCTATGGTATAACGGTCTATCATCATCTCTGTACACGTTTGACCCTACAACACTCGCGGCCTGTGAAAACATGTTGACAAGGGCTGCACTTACAGCCCTGGCACGCACAGAGTTGGAATTGGCAGAGCACCATGAGATCGAGAGCGGCCAAAAGGGAGCTCGTCCAAGTAAGATTGTGAGAAGAACATATGTTGGCCAAACGTCAACCTGGGTGCCTGGCCAGAACCTCAAGGGTATAAGACAAGCTGCACACCAAGTGGCTGTAAATGCAAGAATCAACGCACGGGTTTGTAGCCTTTCACTGAGCCAACCGGTGATGATCATTGTGACGATACACAGTACATTTGCAGGTATAGTCAACAAGTTTGTATCAAACTTGGAGAATCCCAACTGGCGAAGAGTTAAAGTGAGGTAACTGGATACCGGTGCGGTCATCAAATCACCAAGAAATCTTACAGCGTAGATAGGCAAAAGATCAAAATCGGTTAGGGACAAGACCAACTCTTTCAAACTCACAGGTTGTCTGTTATTCATGTCACCCTTTGTAGGGTCATCTCTCAGCACTCTATTGACAACGATCTTTTCCTCGCGGTCAGTAAACCATCCATTCTTCCTGTACCATGTCTTTGTCTGCGCTGCAGAAGCAGGCATCATGAAATAGCTCAAGATGCCAACAAGCAGAGTAAAGATACCCTCCAGGAGGAAAACCCACTGCCAGCCATGTGGAAGCAAACCAGTATTAATTCTTATGAGGGCAAAGCCTAAAAGTGCACTCATGATGTTTGTCAGAGGGTTTGCAATGTAGAACAGCGAGAGTCTCATTGGCATCTCAGAGGTCTTGTAAAAATAAGACATCCACAGACAAGTATCACAGATAAACCCTCCTTGGAACAACCCAATCAAGGCTCTGGTGACGTAGAACCCAGCTTTATTTGTTATGGCAGCTTGAGATATGGAAACTATACTCCACAGGCACAGTTGAGTTGGAATCCATAAATCAGCACCGATTTTCTTAGAGATCAGCTGAGATGGCAGCTCTGCACTTAGAAAACACACCAAGTTGATGGTATTGGCGTTGTTGTAGTCATTTGTGGTTAGTCCCAAATCGTCAAGCAAATTATCACTTAGAGCCTGAGCTATGTTAGCCCTATCAAAGTCCAATGCGGTGAACATGATGTAAGCCCAAAAGGTAACTCTCCAATCACATTTCCAAATGACTTTGCGTTCTTCTTTAGCACTCCAAACAAATCCAGGGTCGAACAAGTGACGACACTCGTACTTTGCCCTTTCATAAATGCCTGTGTAGTATTCGACATTTTCTGGGTCCTTGAAGATGTGATAATCACTGCTAGATGACAGGGACTCCTCGTCGATGTGGAAGGTATTCTCTTCAACAGGATCTTTTACAAGATCGTCGTTGTTTGAGATGGTAGGCTTCACAGTGTTTACCATATTCTCAGATGGGCTATACCATCTGGTATTTTGATCATGATTTTGATATAGGGAAACTGTTCTTCAATTTATATCGCAGATCGTGGCTCATCAACCTTTGTATTAGTTCAAGGATCGGAGATCCATTTGTGGCCATGTTAAGTAACTAGTCACAGTGTTTGGCTACAAGGATTACAACGATATCTGGACAACCAAGGTTAAACCACAATTATTAGATCGAACTGTAGCGTATTAGAAAGATATGGAGAAACATTCTTGGTGTGGCGTGTGGGTATGTACATCAGCTTATTTTTTCGTTGTCTATGGAGTGAAGCTGACTTTGATGGATAAGCTCATAAATGATCTTTTCGAGGGATGTGATGCAGGTTTCATCTTTGTCTCTTGTTGTGTTTTCATTCTCATTTTGATGTTTTGATCAAAGATTTCATTACTTTTCTAGCCGTTAAGGTACGTTTTAATGGATAATCAACGTGTTCTCAGCACTATGCAGGCTCAATTTACCGTTCCTCAGCCCTATATTTCCCGTTCCTATTTCCTCTTTTGACAGGTACATATACATTCGTTTTTGACATATAGTGGCTAATGTGGCTTAGATTAAAAGCACAATTCCATAAACGTCATTATCACCCCTTTCAATGTTCATATCTTTGATATCAACCATACTCTCCGCTGTGGCATCACAAGCACTTCTCCAGATGTGTTTTTCACAGTTTCGAGAGATTCTCTGTGATTCACAATACTTACATTGGGTATAGCCTGTCGGGCTACTGCTTTCTATAGCTACTGTCTCTCATACATAAACACTTGCACTTAGTTCAATTGGCTTCCAAAAGTCCAAACTTGAGTAGCTATACAGTGATTAACCGGTACTTAGCCATAGATGTAGTGGCGTTATGGCTGACAGATAACAGCATTTTGGCGCAAAAAATTTGTGGCTCTTGGAATCATCACGAAATGCATTGCGTATATTGTGCATGCGCGTATCTTGTGTTTAAAGCATATGGTGTGGCACAGAATTGAACAAGTCGTTGAACGGACTGCGCCATAAGAGGAGTTATGTCCCAAATCGACATGAGTGCCGCTGATTCACCACCGTGTGAATTAGACGCTGATAGTGCTATCGCCATGGTACTCCGAGTTTGGTCTTTACCCATGTTTTTATAAAAGATGGTACCTATTCCCAATAATACTACCGGGCACTATAAATCCAAGGTCAAAAACATAAAGAGAAAACAAGCTATATGGCCAGTAGAATAAGTGTATACACAGCACCAAGTGCCACACATTTCAGAAAGGGCGAAGACCGCGTTGATGAAAAGTCAGGAGTGAAGAAAGTTAGTGAGAAGGAGTATAAGACTGCGGACTATCCACAATGGCTTCCCACTTGGGACCCAAATGAGAAGTACGACTCCTATCCTGAAGACTTGAATAGGGCCTTCATTGATCGTGGTCATTTGGCCGACTCGCAATTGAGAAACTTATTCCCACTGGAGAAAGCAGACGAGGTGAAAGTGAAGAAATTGAGTCCAAAACTGGGGAGTGAAGTTCGAGGTATCCAGTTATCTGAGTTAGATGACGCTGCTAAGAACGATTTGGCGTTATTTGTTGCACAGCGTGGTGTCGTAATATTCAGAGACCAGGATTTGAAAGACAAGGGACTTGAGTTCAACCGACAATTCGGTGCTTACTTCGGACCTTTACATATACATCCATCTTCCGGAGCTCCAGAGGGCTATTCCCAGTTCCACATTGTTTACCGTAGAAAGGATCCCAATGAGTACAAGAACACTTTCAAAGATCGACTCACGGTGAAAGGATGGCACAGCGACGTTACCTATGAGAGATATCCACCTGGAACGACATTCTTTACAATGCTTCAAGGTCCCGAGACTGGAGGCGATACCATATTTAGCGACACTGTTGAAGCGTACAAGAGGTTATCACCAACTTTCCAAAAGGTCATTTCCGGATTGAAGGCGGTTCATTCGTCAGAGTTACAAGCACAAGCTTCAAGACGTGATGGAGGAATCGAGAGAAGACCACCTTCAACAGTCTTGCACCCATTGGTTCGTGTGCACCCTGTTACAAAGGAAAAGGCGCTTTTCGTTCCAGGGTTTATTGAAAGAATTGATGGGTTCAAGCAAGAGGAATCTGACGCCATTCTGAAACTCCTGTTTGACCATGTCAACAATTCACACGATCTGCAAATCAGAGCTAGTTATGAACCTGGAACTGTTGCTATTTGGGATAACAGACGTGTGTTGCACGATGCGACTATGGATTGGGACTCAGGTTCCATCCGTCATTGTTACCGGATAACACCAATGGCCGAAAGACCTGTTGAGAATGTGGACGAACTCGAAGAGTGGAATCGCTGAGAGTCATCTCAAGCTTTGTGTACTGTCAGATGGGCGAAAAGTATCAATTTATCGTTGACCATTTATGTGCAGTAATTTGTAGGTATAATTAGATCACCAAACAACGCACGCGAACACGAAAGCAGCTGACTTTATCAGATTTCATCTCTTTAGAGAAGTTGTAGACGGAATGGGAGAAGGCTAAACGTGTTGAGATATTACATTCGTGACAGTTGGCCATTTAGGTTCGTGATATCGTATTAGGTAATTAAAGAACTAATATCTGTTGGTATATGATTCCGGGCAAGACCCGAAGTAGGAGTATTTCCATATACGGTAATATATGTGTGTGTAAAAAAAAACTTGTAGATTGGGGGGTGAAAATGCTACGCGTTGCCGACGCGTCAAATGGGTTTTCTGTATAATCAACAATAGTTATTAGTATCTTGGTAACCTTAGAGTCGAAACTGTTTGGAAACCCGTCCTGGTAGTACAGAAGCTTGCTTAAACCAACTGTGAGTGTTTTCCAGGACCAGTATTGGTGCGTGATATTAAGAGTGCATTTGAAAGACACGTAACAACTCCCTGATCTCGATTTTGCTTTCACCTTCAAATACAAAAATGAGTGCTACATATCAAACAACCAGGACTGAAGTGGTGAACGGCTTCCATGTTGATTGCGAGATTGGTGTTGTCTTTGACCCTATAAATGGATGTGTTATCAACCCTTATTCAAGCGGAACGAATTCTAAACCCACTCAAAGGGCTTTACAGAGGTGTTTGGATCGCTGTGGGAACAATATTTACCATGACTTCAGAGTGGCAGCGTACAACTCCGTGACAATCAGTGGCACTATTCCTGGTCTTCAAGTGGAGGAGTTTAGTATGTGTTGCAGCTGCAAGTCCTTCTGCTATCGCAATGTTGCAGGAGCCAGGTCACATCTTAGAGGGTGTGCAACACTGCACAAACGTTCAATCCCATGCAAAGGTTACTGTTTCTACTCTGGTCAACAATTGAGATACATAGTGATACAAGTGGGAACATCAGCACGATCTGATGACTTTGCCCCTGGTGCAGTGGAGACTGTCACTTATCCACTATCTCCCATGCCACAATTGAAAAGTGGTGATGCGCAGCAAGAGGTGACTCGTGCTGATCAACTGAAAGCATGTCCACACTTAAATGAGTCCAAGATCATCCGCTTTGTCCACAAATGGAATAGCCTCAAAGAAGAAAATCCTCTGGTCAGCTTGATGGATTTCAGAGAACAGTGGTCGCATCAATCTTCTCTTGTGAAGTTGGCAAATGACATTTACGAACACGCTCTCAAGTATCATAAGGATAGGAGACATTGCTTTGTGACGGACTCAAGAGTATCGGAACACTCAACTGCTACAAAGGATCCACCCTTTTGGCTCAACGAAGTGACGGACTCTACTCAGAAAGCTTACGTGAGCGTCTTCAAACAGTGGATGTGCAATATGTGCGGTCTAATGAATTCGCCGTTTGTTATGGAGAAAGTCAATTCCAATGCGGATCTTTCCAATCATTTGAACGTGCTCTACTCTGCTGCAACTACTGGGCTCTATGATAAGACGGAAGTGACAATTGCTCTTGCTAAGGCAACACGAATAATGATGGCTGACCCAGGAAACGAGGAACTGTATTTGGAAAGCTGTGGACTTCTGCTGGTAGGTCTTGCTCCAAAAGACGAGTCCGAGGGATGTAACCAGTTTGTCGTAACTGATTTACAGAAAACCTCGTTGCAGGCCCGGCGAATGGATGCCGTTGTCAACTTTACCAAGCTATTGATTTCAAGCTCTTTTGACGACGACACCGAGAACGAGACATTCCAACACTTTATTAACACATCAAGACAAAGCCTTCCGAGGTTTGAGACACTCTTACACATAAGGGATCTTTCCAAGCAATGTAAGGAATCAGGACGACTGCCACTAAATGTGATACAAGATTCAGATAACGGTATTCGCTGTGGTACATTGCTTTTCAGAGAAGAGTATCTTCCAACGCTTGTTCAAAATGGGATCAGTTCATTCAAGGAAGATCTCAATCGTCTGTGCAGAAAGTACCCGTCACTGGAGTTTCCGGATGTTGATAAGGTATGGCAATATATCCTTCGGAATGGAAAAGAAGATGTTATGGAATCTGGATCCGGGTTTTCGATGTTTTCCTCACTTGCTGGTGATTTTCAGCTCACCACTTTCCCTAAGACACTGATAGACGATGCTCGGCAAAATGTATGGAAGACAGTGAAGGAGTTCCAATCAATAGCGATAGACAATATCTTCCCTCTGCTCTTGATATCCGTTTTTGGACCGGCGAGAGGCAGTGAATACGCAAGAGCCACATGGAGCAATACGAGGATCCTCAGCCGGTCACTTTTCAAGGATGGGATGTTTATGATGGCGGGTTCAAAGACGAGAACATCTCAGAACAAACCAAATGCACGGGTAAGAATAGTGCCTACTCCGATTCTGAAGTTAATTGCTTATTACATCTACATCATCAGACAGATAGAGAAACGATTGCTTATGGTTGGTGGGGTTCAGATAACGAGTGGGCTTGAACATCATGATGAGGAGCAGGAGGAGAGCCAAGGGGAGGATGACGACTGCATTGATGATATTGATAAGGATGGGGAATCCTCCGTTCCACTGCACTCCCCCACAATCGGGGACATGCTTGACACATACATCTTTCTATATGGAGACGCCATCCTGAGCAGCACCAAGCGGACTGCTATAATCAGAAACTTCATCTCAAGAAACATTCCATTCAAAGGAAAACACCATGTGAGTGGTATGACAGGAAGGATTTTACGCCATGTACTTATCCACTATAACCGTCTAATCATCACCAAGGACAGTCAAACTGACTCTCTGATTCAGTTCATGGATCCCATTGAACTCAGTGGAAACCATTCTGTACAGACTGGCTTATCCACATATGCAAAGACAGCTGAAGTGAACTACGCTATTTTGGCTTTGGCCAACTGTTGGACGCGCTTTCTCTTTGAATCACCACAGGCCCTAGTTGATCAAGTTGCCTTCAAGTACCATATCGATAACTCTATCAACACCAAAGACTCATACCAATTGCGTGCGGTTGGTACCATGTTATATGGAAAAGACTTTGACTACCTGAGCGATAAGCAATGTTCGATAACTGAGACATCGTACTTCACAAATCAATCCATTCTGGTGAATTTGAAGACTGGTTTCGGGAAGACGATTGCATCGCTGCTTCCAGCTGCTGCTGATGCGTTGCACTTTAAACACAGACATAATCCAAATCATCCGGACTACAAGAATGCGTTAAACTGCTCGGTGCACACCAAAAAAATGTATGGGGAAATTAAACTGCTTGGTAGAATTAAACTGCTTGTCAAAGCAGTTTAACTTCTTTTTTTAGTGCATTAATTAATGTAATTGGAATGACTAATTTATATCACTGGATTGGTGTGAATCTGAACTCTACAATGAGACTGATTTCATGTCGGTAGCCCGGAATACAAGAATGCGCGAAATTGCCTCATGACCACCAAAAAAGACGTTTTGGGAAGCATATCTGGCTCATGAAAAATATATGCCTCATGATGCAAATGTTACTTGGTGTCTGGCTATTTCAATTAATGTGATTGGAAAGACTAATTTATATCACTGGGATGGTGTGAATCTGCAGTATACCATGAGACTAATTTCATGTCGTTAGCCCGACTGTACCATTGGCAACGTCGTATGTAAGGTTGTAGGCAGTGTACGCGTGTTGCTGTGGTGAGTGAGGCAGTCATCAGTGCGGAGATAAAGAGCTTTAAGCGGTGTTACGCGGCCGAACAACTCATTGGATATTCCACCTTCGGAATTATCGTTTGTTCACATCTTTGAATGTGGAAAGAGCACGCCACGCGAATCCTCGGGATTCGGGACTGCCTTCTGTAATGGTTGAAATGGAATTCCCTGAACAATTGTATTTCCTCCTACTTCTCGTTTAAAGGAAGAGAGAGCACTTTTATTTTATATTTTGGATTATATTGTTATTAAGATCATTCTTATTGTCATTATCATTTATTTAGCTCTATTCAGCCACACTGGTGAAAGGAACACTATAACATCGAGTATAGTGAAAGATATATTGTGACGGCGGTACAACTGGAATATAATATGAGCTGAACCCCGAAGAGCACACTCGGGTGTCTCTGACGCTGGGTGTTATCAATTTGCGGAGAAACTCTCAACCGGGCGAGGAGGTATTTCCTTAGACGGTATTATATGAGACACGTTAAAAAACTTGGAGACGGGGTGAAAATGCAACGCGTTGCAACACCTCAAATGGGCTTTCCACATGCTCAACAATCGTTATCAGTGTCTTGGCTGCCATAGTGTTAACACTTCTTGGGAACTATCTCTATTAGTACAGAAGCTTGCTTAAACTAACTGTGAGTGTTTGTTAGGATCTGTATTGGTCCAAGGTATTAACAATGCATTTGAAAGACACGTAACAACACCCTGATCTTGTTTTTTCCTTCCGTCTTCAGACACAACAATGAGTGCTACATATCAAACAACCAGAACAGAAGTGGTGAACGGACTCCATGTTGATCAGGACTTTGGTGTTGTCTTTGACCCTATTAACGGATGTGTCATCAACCCTTATTCAAGCAGAACGAATTCTAAACCCACTCA